AAGGATTTTTTAGCAAAGACATCAGCAGCAAATAGTGTTTGGTTTCCATTGCGGTGGCGAAGCAAATACAAGTAGCTAGTGAATTTACCTCTATGAACTCCAATTTCACCGATTGCTCCATTCACTATTGAAAGATGTGTATACTGGAATTCAGCTATTAACCATAGTACAAACAGGGTATCGAACGCGAACCAACTTTCAGTCTTGTGGAAATCAGTTAAGTAACTGGTAAATAACTGGTTACTAACGAAAAGTTTAAACTCTTGTAGTTGTTTATTGCTTGATAATGTCGAATAGCAATCTTTTGCCGTTGGGTGAAAAGTCAGATTATGATCGCTGACTATCTTCGCGTCACGAAGCATTTTTTCTTCACACCGATCAGTTGACATATGTATGAAGGGACTCTTCCACACAACAACGAACGAGAGCACAATAATGATGAAGGTAGCTGACTTGCATAGCTTAATAGGGAATGAGATCATCACAGTTAGTTTACTTGTGATGACGCTCTGAAAACGATAACAATAAAAGAAAATTCAGTATTGAAACAACATAGGGAATCAAGTCAATGCAGAAGAAGAACCTGCAGAATGATGGTGGATAGTTTAAAGTTGATAACTTTATGATTTATTTCGGCTCCTTTTCTATGCTATTTCATAGAGAAAAACGATTATGCGGACGATGTACTTCTAAGAAACAAAGTCTAGCGTCAGTATACGAGAGACCAGTAAAATTCGTTGCTGCATTGATGGTGTGGATAGTGGCGTAACTAGGATTTGACGAGTGGTTGGCCGGCTCGCTACTAGTTTTTAAATTGACTCTTTTTTTTAGTAATTAAGAGTGTATCAGGCGAAATGACCATCCCACAATTTTTGCAGATATCTCTCTGAGGTTCAATAGTGCATAGTTGCAGTTTTTCAAAAAGTAACCTATGAATTTATCTAAAATTCACCTCATTCTAAAGCATTGCGCAGGTCAGCTACTACTGTAGTATGATAGGTTATTTTAAAAAATGTCTAAAACTGCTGAAACACACGTCAAATTCTGTTTTGATAAAGGTATATAAACGTTTGCTAACGATATAAAATAGTTTTGGATGCTATTGGATGCCAAAATCGCGTTCTTCTAGTAATTTTGCACATTTTTTAAACAAGAAAAAGATTTCTGAGCATTTACGATAGACATGTATAGCTAGCATGGCAGGGCAAACTTTTGAAACCACTCTGCTCTGTGGTCATCTTTGTTCTGAATGATACTTTAAAATCTCCTATACTATCCAACTAGTATTATCGTTGATTTACATAAACTCGTATTATGCTTTGGATGTAGCCTACCACTATAGTTTTTACACTTTGATGTTTATATATTCGTGCATGACTGTATCTCTCTGCGTCAGAGGTATCCACAGGGCACATTTTCCCTGTCCTGTCCTGCAGGGCGAACAGCAGGGCTCAGTTCGAAAAGACGCTTTGGCCTATGAAACCTCTGTTTCGAGTACCACATACGGAACGTAAAAAATTCAACTAAGAATAATAATTTTAGCAGTCAGGTCTGCTCGAACATGTTCTGCTATGATTATCCATCAGTTTAACTGAATATAAATTCGAGAGTGAAGATACGATGGTAGGTAGGCTATGCACACATCAATGTCATTCTAACCTACACTCTTATCTCATACAGTAAATAAGAAACTCAAAGAAAAGTGTTCAAGTGATTATCACTGTTTGGTGAGACATAATTTAATCCAAACTTACTGTTGTTTTCAAAGTATCGCCGTTCAAATGAGAATATACGTAACGCCGTTGTACACAATCGCGACTTCTGTTCGTTTTCATTTGTTTTTGCTTTACCCATATTTTTGCTACTCTCTCACATTTTTTCTGTTCGGTGATCGCTGTTTCTTGTTTCGATTGAATCGTCACGGGCGGCCAATCAAAGCTGTGTATAATCTATTCCACATTGCCATCAATCAAATATAACTGAGATGCAGCTTATAAATGGACACGTCGATCGAATGATGAGGGTGCGTGAGAGCGTACCTGATTGGAATATACAGAAGCGAATTAAAGAAACTGATTCTAAACATGCGCACAAATATTGTGTCGTTCAGTCTCTAATAGTTGTGCACGAAGGAATAAGATTAAATACGATTACGATTCAGAATGAACAGTCGTATAATAATCGATTTAATTTTTGTCAATGGATGCGAAATTTATTCCGAAAATGAGTTCCTTTACTAAAATTGACCTTTTTTAAATTCACAAATTAAATCTTGAGATTCTATCATTTCCAAAATCAGCAACATGCAGGTTGCCTCCGTTATCAAGTGATAATAAACCGAGGAGAAGACAAAACTTATTTGATCCTTCGCCCTCTTCATTTCCCTCACGTCAACGCATTACTCGATGATTCTCTTGATTTAGATTCCGCCAGTGCATCTGTTGGTTAATTCGATGATTTGAATAATCGGCAATGAAAACAGTTTGAATTTGATTAACATAAATTCTATATGAATCTAAAAGGATTGGTTCAATTTGCTCGAGTCACGATTTTCGTAGTCTGCTTCTATTTGTTCAAATTTAATTCTTCTAACTGAGTTCTCGCCCGTTTTTTTTCGTTTTGAATTGACTGCGAATCTCAAGAGCAAAAGAAAACTTTCTGCAAGTCTGTCTATAGATGAAAAGCGTGAGAAGAAAAAAAGAAAAATTCTGTATTATCCAAATATCACTATCATCTCCAACTGACGGACATAGGATGATGTTCATTCAAACTGTTGTGACATGTAATTCGTTTTAACTTCTAGCTGATTGAAGGCGAAAGAGGGAGAAAGATCTTTCGTGTTTATGCAGAACACAAGGAATCTCCAAGATCGAAAGAGTTGATGCATGAAAAGAAAGAAACAAGTTTGAAAGCACTTACTTCCTCATCACAAAACTTCTCCGTTTAATGCATTATAGCTGTCTGACTGGACGAATGATAATAAAGCAAACGGCTATACTCACACATTGTTCCTGGAAATCATTGAATCGTTCGTTGTTCAAAGGATAGTTTTATAGCAAAGACCGGTAGATATTAATGAGTGTGATAAAACTGTTGACGTACAAGTGAAAAATGTATCGAATAGATAAGCAAACTTTGGCCCGAAAATATCCAAATCGATAATATTAGAAAATGCGAGTAGTTCGAGCGGAAATCAAGCGTAGCGTAAATAGTTACTCTATATTGCATCAAACAAGCTACCAAACGTTTTTGTGTCGAATGGAACTAATAGTTCAGCTTACTTCACATTCTTTCCTCTTTGGAAAAAACGACGCTAGCTTAGCAGCAATTTATATATAATTATGTTCCATATAAATGTAAGATTTTAGTTCTGTTTTTGTTCTCACAATGAGCTCAAACAGTTCAGAAATCTTCGACGACAAGAAACATATTCTTCATCGAATAAAGTTTTTTATCTTCATTGTGCTGGAAATTCCAGCGGTTATCATTAGTCTTTTGATTTTCGTCTTCTTCATCATCCATCGTTCTGTGCTAAAGAATCTTCAAAATCAAGCTTTATTAGTTTTACTAGCCGCCAACTTCATAGAATTAGCCACGAGTATACCGATGACTATAAATTTCTTCCAATTTTCCTACGTTTATCCAGCAACAGCAGTCTACTGTACGTGGTGGACATTTCTCGCGTATAGCCTTGCTGTCATCGGTGAGTTTCTGATGGCGACCTTTTCCGTACAACGACACACACTTATATTTCAACCACAAATATCACAAGTGTCTTTTAAACGCTGTTTAGTATATCATCTACCTCTGGTCCTTTGCATCATCTATCCAATTGTGTTTTACATATTTGCGATTTTTTTTTATACATGTGACGGTACTCAATGGAATTTTCAAGAAAATGGGTGTGGTTTCGCAAACTGTTATTTCGTATATGACAACATTCTGGGCACATTCGACTGGGCAATGAATAATGGTTTTCCGATGGTGGTTATTTTCGTGGCCAATGTCACCCTCGTCATACGAGTGGTTAGGAACAAATATCGTCGCCAACGACTTGTTACTTGGCGATAGCATCGACGAATGACTATACAGTTATTGAGTATATCCAGTCTTTTTCTAATTGCCTGGTCACCGAGTCTGGTCATTGCACTTATTCAACAATTGTTTTCTCCGGATTTTGCACTACAAATTCAACTAGATTATATAACCGAGCTGATTTACCTTGCGTGTGCATCGGTCTACTACCAGAATTTATCAAATGGATTGTGAAGTTTTTACACTGCGGAGCAACAGCAGACAATGTCATTCGACCAGTTACAAATAATATTCAAATATAAGCTCATCTTTAAGGTGCTGCGACACCTATCCTTTGTCCCTTGGTGACTTAAATAAAACAAGAAAAACGGATCCTGTTATTATTCATTTGAGCTGCGCAGTACAAACGACTTTTCTTATTTCAATTGCCTTAACACTTCTCTTCTTTCGCTCTCTTCTTATCGTTCTCAATATCAAAGTTAAGTGTAATTTTTTTAACCTAATTCTCGCTTTTTTTTTCTTTTTTCTTATCTACTTTGTATAAATACAGCAATTTGGTATCTTTCAAGGCATTTATTCGTTATTTCTTTTCGAGATTTCGTTCGTTAATAAATACATCCATGGATGACAAACGCAAACAACAATCAATCAACAACCTGATGAAGGAGAATGAGCCCAAAAGATTTGCAAAAGGTAATCAAATTATTCTTGATGAAAGCTGCTAATACCTTTAATTATTCGAAATGTTTAACCGTAAATAAAAATCGACTTAAATAAAACACACTTCTATTGATATAGATTCACCTGTACCACCAAAGCAACAAAACGAAAGCTATCAACTCTTAGTCAAGTTGCTTCAAGAGGCGTGTCATCTCGAAAATTGCTTGTTGAATTCGTATTTATATACGGCATGTTCGATCAAGAGTACACCTGGCGAATTTGAAAAGATCGANTAATTATTCGAAATGTTTAACCGTAAATAAAAATCGACTTAAATAAAACACACTTCTATTGATATAGATTCACCTGTACCACCAAAGCAACAAAACGAAAGCTATCAACTCTTAGTCAAGTTGCTTCAAGAGGCGTGCCATCTCGAACATTGCTTGTTGAATTCGTATTTATATACAGCATGCTCGATCAAGAGTACACCTGACGAATTTGAAAAGATCGATCATGCGGATAACAATATTCGTGCTGGTATCCAATTTGAACGTGCTCGAGAATGGAAACAAAGTATTTTGTTGGTAGCACATGAAGAAATGATACATTTGCACTACGTTCAATGCATGCTGCGTGCACTTGGAGAACGTCCTTGTTTCACGCTACCTGATCGGCATCCAACAACGGGAAACTGGTTTATTCCAAATTGGAGAGCTCATATTGGAGAGAAGCCGAATAACGAAGGTGTACAAGTTCCAATTGAACCATTGACCTCGGAGTGCATTCAACACTTTGTTTTGTACGAATCAACGGATGCGCTACAAGATCAAGATCCATACGGGCCAAAAATTATGGCTCTATTTGAACAACTATTCGACTTCGAAGTCAATTTAAACATTGAATCAACACTACTGAACGTCGACGATGAACCAACTCGAAGAAAATTATCCAGTCAGTTGCGAAGTCTCTATACCACGCAACTGCCACTTCTCGCACCGGCGAAACCGTTAATAAAAGTTGCACTGGCTGAATTACCGCCAGTAGAAGAGTTACATTTCGCTTCGATCGCTGATTTTTATCTACAAGGCGTTGCTCCATTATACTGGCAAGCCTTCCATGAACATTGGGTCGTTAACAATAACCGCGACTTAGTAAACGAAATGCTTTCGCCAGATTTTGCCGGCGAAGGTTTTCTGCCTGTTGGTCCTATCTACAGAAGTAAAAATTTTGATGCATTAAATACCCAAAATATGAGAAGTTATTACCGAAATGTCAAGAGTGTCGACCGTATCATTGCTGAAATTGTTGATGAAGGAGAAGGATTTAAAAATTTCGAAGAACGTGCGGAGTTCCTGTTGGATAAAGTCAAACATATTGGGACACGCGAATATTTACGTTGTTATCTAGAAGAGAAAGCACCGAAAACAACTTCGACAAAATACCCGTGGCTGGCTGATTGCGAACGACTTCGCCAGTCTCATTTGTACCGCTTTGCCATGATTATGATGAGTATGAAACAGGAAGCCGATTTAGCAAACGCGGTCAACGTCACATTCAACGCTTACAGGGAACCGGTAAATATAGATAGCAACGTTACCTTGAAAGACCTTACTACTCAAATACCTTATTATTTCAATGCCTGCTATCTTGTCATGATCATGTGGCTATCGCGAATGTACGAAATAGCACATTGGGCCGGCGATAAGTCTCAACGACAAGCTATTGAAATGATTGCCACTTGGCCACTTATGTCGCTCGCTATACGACCGTTTTTGGAGCTCGCCTCATTCTTTCCGATCGAGAAGAAAGAACTTTTTTCACTTAACGCTGACTATCTTCCGCGTTTACCTTTGCACGCTCGTCAATTGTTTCAGCTCTATGCTGCAGAAGACAGATCTGAAAGGATCAACGAGTCTCTCGATTACTTTGGTGTGAAAACATTGACAGATGTCGCGATGTGGGCAAATGATAAAATCGGACCGGTTGGTAAATCGGATTTACCAAATGAACAAAAAGAAATGATCATTACTCGTCTCAAAGCTCTCACAGTTTTGAATGAGTTCGAATCACAATTTACGTTTCGCGTTCATGGTGGTTATTCGAGCACGATGCCTGATCTAACCTATCAAAGAGAACATGACCGAGGTAGTCTACAATTCGAAGAACATCCGACCGGCGATACTTTTAAACCCGACGACGCTGCTTTTTATCAAGATACGTTACTGCTGCGTTTACGGTTTTCAGGCTGGGGTCTTGTTCAATTGGCTACCGATCCGGATCCACCGACTGACGAGGCTGGCTGTACGGGCACACAGATGTTACAACCATCCGATGGTAAAGGACGTCGTCTAAACAGAGCTCTTGTCTGGCAAAAGCATACCAAAGATCTTACTGAGATCACGCGTGGACCGCAGGGCATTGTACCGGAAATCGGAGTCAACTGCGTCGACGTCAGTCTGATGGTCGCAGGTTCGAATACCACAGTTGGGTACATGCCTTTGCAAGTATTGAATAGTACGGGCGCGGTACAAACGAGCGGCGTTCAAAGTACACTCAATATTACCGGTTTATCTGAACTACAACGGCTGAAACCGTCTGATATCACTGGCGATTCGAATAGAAAGATGCGTATTGATCTTCTGGAGAAGAATGGTTTCAAACCGTTGTTGCTTGGTGAAAATCATCTCGTATGGAAAGACGGCGAACCGATCGATCCTTTCATACTGGCTATTTTAATCGATAGTAATGATCAAAAACAACAACCGACTCTTGTGTGTAGTCGCGAAATTTACAATGAGGATAAACGCCTTCTTGAAATGACTCCGTATCAAAGACTTCGTAGCGGTCGTGCACCCTTCGGTTTTGATAGTGTGAAAAATATTCCAGAATGGGCTGCACAAAACTTTTCGAAAGCAGAGGCCGAACTGATTAGCAAACCAGAATATCCGACCAACTATCTCATCGCACGAGCACATAACCTTCAGCAAGCTCTCGAATCAGCTATTCATAGCGCCGCTAAGCCACCGAAACCGGAAGATGTGAATAACATCGTCTCATTAGCTGATCGAATGAGACAATTGGTACCCGATCCAACGAAAAAGCTATATCGATGGCTTCTTTATTTACTGCATTATGGCCATTCGATCAGTGGCACGCTCAATGCTCCAAGCACGACACCTATACTCGAAGTCATACGCAAAAATACGGGTCTTTCATGCGCTATTACTGCCAGCAACAACCGAAACGAAACTNCGGAAGATGTGAATAACATCGTCTCATTAGCTGATCGAATGAGACAATTGGTACCCGATCCAACGAAAAAGCTATATCGATGGCTTCTTTATTTACTGCATTATGGCCATTCGATCAGTGGCACGCTCAATGCTCCAAGCACGACACCTATACTCGAAGTCATACACAACAATACGGGTCTTTCATGCGCTATTAATGCCAGCAAGAACCGAAACGAAACTAATTCAAGATGGTTAATCAAGTATACTTTGGGTTTAATGGATGTTGATGCACTCTCCGACTTTGTTTTTGGTGAACTATATATACCTCTGACAGTCGCTAATGCTCCAAATCAACCCATCCAATTGCGTCACAGTTGGACGTTCAACAAAGGAGTCTACAATGCAGTGAAAGACTTTGCTCTCGATTTCTTTCGTGCTTTCTGGTCCGATGATTACACTTATGATCGCAGTAACAATACTCGTAGTTTACAGATCGATACTCAGCACAAACTAATCGAAACAGTAAGTCAATCAAAAGTAAAGCACTATCTTTTCTAATGCAGAAATAGATCATCAGAAAGTGACAAGCGTTGTCAAAATCCGTAATATATTTGAACTGTTTCATTGAAGTCACTCTGACCTTTCTAAAGCATCTGTATACTTTAGCTAAGTAATCCTGCGCAGAAACAGACAAGCGGTTCATCGTATGGCTATGAGTATACACAGACGGGCTTCACCGATATAACTACATGTTCTCAAAAAATTGCACTGACTGTCAACAAGAACAATGCGACATTCACGTGGAATATCAGCTTCGTTGCCAAAACGGAAAAAGCAACAGTGAACATGGCAATCTTCTTTACAAACCAAACTGCTCAGGCCGATGCTGCCTTTGAAAGATTTCTCCTGCCGTCACCAGATGATTAGTTCATGTAATATTCGAACGTTCGTCATAAGGAACTGATAATGTTTATCATTGATGACATAAAACGTGAAACAGCTTCGCTAGTCGTTATCATTTTTCTGTGGAAAAAATTTTGCAAAAGAAAAAACGGGTAGAAATTTCTTTTCGTCTGTTCGCATTTATTCAAATACTCTTTGACAAGATGAAAGAAATACGTCAAACGTTGAGAAACTCGTTCAGTTTGTACTCGAGGATTATATGAAGACTGCCATTTTTTATTTATTTTGTCTGACTGCTTTGGTCATTTTAATTGTATGCTGTGACATTCACATGCGCAAATAAGATGGGCGATCGGATTGATAATATTCATTTATCTTCTAATTAGCAGTTTAGGCCTCTTCTCTCTATCATTGTCTAGGTAGGAAGGAATGAAAAAAGTGTGCTTCACTTGTTTCATTTCAAATAATCTAATCAAGTCAGATTATAAGTTCTTTCAGAATAGGGAACTCTCGCTTCGTTTATACATAGAAAAAAAAGCCAGATTAATGAGTTGACTACTCACAATTCGATCGCCATCGACATTGAAATATGCTGTTATTATTACTATTTTTAGTTTAGTCACTTTGGAGAATTACTCTGTATGAAATAAAATGTGAACATTTGATAGTAAATCTCTATGACATAATACGTTTTTATTATTTATGATCGAAATGAATTAAACAGACAGGAAAATGTTTAGACAGCTTCAATCAGAATTTATTTTCTATACTTGCTTCATTAATGGAAAATATATCTAACCGAATAGATTAGTTTTATTCTTCCAAGCAAGTATCATCTATAAATATTTTGATACCGCAAGTACTTTTGTCGAAGTTTTTATAATGCTAGCATAGGACGTCCTTCCTTTGCTTTATACTATAATTACTCGTCTGTGCAGCTATTCGCCAATCCTGAATCTTATGATAGAGACGAAGAGTAAAAAGAATTCTTCTATGCATTTCATTGTTAAAGCTGTAAAATAACATCGTACACACCAATGTATTTTAGAGGTTAGTCACTTTAAAGTACACGACTACTAGGAAATTCTTTCTCCTCTTCCTTGTTTAAACCAATACAAGCGCAGCAAGTCTCAATCAGAAGTGTCTAGAGCAGTTTTTCTTACATCACACGAGTTATCGCGGTCTCTTGGACAATCCCGTTTTGACGATCACAAGATTCCTTTCGGTAGAATCTTAAGTATTTACTAGAAATCTTTCAGAGTGTAATCAACACATAAACAATGACTTCATGGTCATACGTTACCGTAATGTTCATACGTTATGCAGGTATTCCAATACTATGCATTAGCTTATTTGGTTGTATGATGAATGCAATGGTGTTTTCAAGTGGGCGCTCGTATCGAACCAAACCATGCACATTCTTTCTGATGGTAGCAGCCATTGCATCGTGTGTACAGTTAATATGTGCAACATTATCGCGTATTCTGGCATATGGTTTTAACAACGATTTAACCGCTTTGTCATTGACTTGGTGTAAAATAAAGCAGCACTTTGTTGCAACTTGCTATGGCATATNTGTGAATAACATCGTCTCATTAGCTGATCGAATGAGACAATTGGTACCCGATCCAACGAAAAAGCTATATCGATGGCTTCTTTATTTACTGCATTATGGCCATTCGATCAGTGGCACGCTCAATGCTCCAAGCACGACACCTATACTCGAAGTCATACGCAAAAATACGGGTCTTTCATGCGCTATTACTGCCAGCAACAACCGAAACGAAACTAATTCAAGATGGTTAATCAAGTATACTTTGGGTTTAATGGATGTTGATGCACTCTCTGACTTTGTTTTCGGTGAACTATATATACCTCTGACAGTCGCTAATGCTCCAAATCAGCCCATCCAATTGCTTCATAGTTGGACGTTCAACAAAGGAGTCTACAATGCACTGAAAGACTTTGCTCTTGATTTCTTTCGTGCGTTCTGGTCCGATGATTACACTTATGATCGTAGTAACAATACTCGTAGTTTACAGATCGATACTCAGCACAAACTAATCGAAATAGTAAGTCAATCAAAAGTAAAGCACTATCTTTTCTAATGCAGAAACAGATTATCAGAAAGTGACGAGCGTTGTCAAAACCCGTAATATATTTGAACTGTTTCATTGAAGTCACTCCGGCCTTTCTAAAGCATTTGTATATTTTAGCTAAGTAATCCTGCGGAGAAACAGACAAGCCGTTCATCGTATGGCTATGAGTACACGCAGACGGGCTTCACGGATATAACTACATGTTCTCAAAAAATTGCACTGACTGTCAACGAGAACAATGCGACATTCACGTGGAACATCAGCTTCGTTGCCAAAACGGAAAAAGCAACAGTGAACATGGCGATCTTCTTTACAAACCAAACTGCTCAGGCCGATGCTGCCTTTGAAAAATTTCTCCTGCCGTCACCAGAAGATTAGTTCATGTAATACTGGAACGTTCGTCATAAGGAACTGATAATGTTTATCATTGATAACATAAAACGTGAAACAACTTCGCTAGTCGTTATCATTTTTCTGTGGAAAAAATTTTGCAAAAGAAAAACGGGCAGAGATTTCTTTTCGTCTGTTCGCATTGATTAAAAGACTCTTTGACAAGATGAGAGAAATACGTCAAACGTTGAGAAACTCGTTCAGTGCATTGGAAGATTATATGAAGACTGCCATTTTTTATTTATTTCGTCTGACTGCTTTGGTCATTTTAATTGTATGTTGTGACATTCACATGCGCAAATAAGATGGGCGATCGGATTGATAATATTCATTTATCTTCTAATTAGCAGTGTAGGCTTCTTCTCTCTATCATTGTCTAGGAAGGAATGAGAAAAGTGTGCTTCACTTGCTTCATTTCAAATAATCTAATCAAGTCAGATAATAAGTTCTTTCAGAATAGGGAACTCTCGCTTCGTTTGTACATAGAAAAAAGTCAGATTAATGAGTTGACTACTCACAATTCGAACGCCTTTGACATTGAAATATGCTGTTGTTATTATTATTTTTAGTTTAGTCACTTTGGCGAATTATTCTGTATGAAATAAAATGTGAACATTTGATAGTAAATCTCTATGACATAATACGTTTTTATTATTTATGATCGAAATGAATTAAACAGACAGGAAAATGTTTAGACAGCTTCACTAAGAATTTATTTTCTATACTTGCTTCATTAATGGAAAATATATCTAACCGAATAGATTAGTTTTATTCTGCCAAGCAAGTATCATGTAAAAATATAGTGTCTACGACAGTATCATCTATAAATATTTTGATACCGCAAGTATTTTTATCGAACTTTCTATAATGCTAGCATAGGACGTCCTTCCTTTGCTTTGTACTATAATTACTCGTCTGTAAATAACATCGTACACGCTAATGTATTTGAGAGTGTAGTCACTTAAAGGTACACGACGATCTAGGAAATTCTTTCTCCTCTTCCTTACTTGAACCAATACAAGCGCAACAAATCTCAATCAGAAGTGTCTAGGACAGTTTTTTTACATCACACGAGTTGTCGCGGTCTCTTGAACAATCCCATTTTGACGATCACAAGATTCCTTTCGGTAGAAACATAAGTATTTACTAGAAATCTTTCAGAGGGTAATCAACACATAGACAATGACTTCATGGTCATACGTTACCGTAATGTTCATACGTTATGCAGGTATTCCAATACTATGCATTAGCTTATTTGGTTGTATGATGAATGCAATGGTGTTTTCAAGTGGACGCTCGTATCGAACCAAACCATGCACATTCTTTCTGATGGTAGCAGCCATTGCATCGTGTGTACAGTTAATATGTGCAACATTATCGCGTATTCTGGCATATGGTTTTAACAACGATTTAACCGCTTTGTCATTGACTTGGTGTAAAATAAAGCAGCATTTTGTTGCAACTTGCTATGGCATATCTGTGACATGCTTTTGGTTAGCAACTCTTGATCAGTTTCTAATAACATCACGAGCTGTCTTTCTACGACGATTGAGTAGGATCGAGTGGGCTCATCGTATCGCCGCTGCTGTCATTGTTCTGTGGATGTTGCAAGATGTACCGTTCTACATCTTTGTTGACATTCGGTAATTCAAATCTGAGCGCTATCTCTATTCTTATCTAATATTCTTTTCTCATGTATAGGTCGAATGTCTGCGGTATTTACAATTCATTTTGGCAAACTTACAATACTTACGTTTGCTTTTGGTTTTTATATATGACAATTCCGATTGTCATAATGATCATATTTGGTTCACTTGCCTATCGAAATTTACGTGGTTTGACAAGCGTGCAACTGCAAGGTGCTGATCAGCAACTTACCTTGATCATTTGTGGGCAGATAGCTACGATTATAATCACTGTTTTACCAACATGTATTTATAATGCTTACTCACAAATAACGATCACTGCAAACAAAAGTGCTGAACAGAAGAGTTTAGAGTTTTTCATTGCAAATATCATTAGTTTTTTAGCAGCTATTGGACTCGGAGTAAGTGAGATTTTTGTTTTTCGTTATTTTTATGACCTATTTCGAGCGATCTTTTCCATAGGGTACTTTCTATATATTTCTCATTATTTCAAGCACTTTTCGTCGACAATGTAAGCGGTGTCTATTTTACTTTTGTTTAAATTCAAAAGTTGCCGTAGCACCTACGAATAACAGTACAAGTGTCAGACAACGTACAAAAAACTGACTACATTTGAAGTGAACGATGAAATATTGTATTTATTTGCTTATGGTAACTTCCTCTTCTTTTTCTTTTTTCCTTTCGTAATAAGTGTTCGCAACCTTTTCAATAAATCGGTGGGACAAGATCAGCGGACAAGCGCGGGTATATACCGAACATTCATACCAACGAAGCATAAATAAATGTTCTATTAGTACATCAACGAAGTTCGAGTGTACCAATTATTATCAACAGTGTCGATGCGAGCGCTGTCTAAAGGAGAAAAAAAAACGTCCTTTTTGCTTTTTCTCTGTCTCTCTCTCTCTATCGTTGTCATATATATGAGATAAGTACATTTACCTCTCGTCTGCCTATTCTTTTTGTCTCGATACACTATAAGGAGCTCGTAACACGAACGCCATTACTCATATTCAGACGATAGGCGACTATTACTCGGATCAACAAAAAAGATACTTGTATTTGTACGGCGAGTATTAAGTGATGTCGAATCTCGCTGAAAAAGAGCCGTTTATTCCTACGGCGTCCGTATCAACTTCTATCACATTATCAAGTGAACAATTCGACAAATTAGTAAGTCGATCTGCAAAATCCAGTGGAATAGCTAATCCAGCTGCACTTGGTCTTGCTGCATTTGCTTTAACAACATTTGTCCTCTCAGCATTCAACGCAGGAAATTATCTAATCGATATTCGATTAGAACCAGTTGTATTACCTTTGGCATTATTTTATGGTGGATTAGCACAAGTTCTCGCTGGAATGTGGGAATTCAAATTAAATAATGTATTCGGTGCAACGGCATTCACAAGTTACGGAGCATTTTGGATGTCATTCGCCGGTTATGTTCATATTATTGTACCGCATATCAAACAATACGGAAATGTGAAAAAGGCAACAAGTCTTTTTCTTTTAGCTTGGTTCATATTCACTCTCATCATGAATGTTGCTGCTTTGAAAGTATCAAAATTTTTATTGGTCTTATTCACCATATTAGATGTCACGTTCTTGTTACTATTCCTCGGAAATTTTTTCAATATTCCTTTAATTGTGAATATTGGAGGATGGTTTGGAATTCTAACAGCATTCGTCGCTTGGTATGGATCTGCCGCGGTTGTTATTAATTCAACTTTCAAGCGACAAGTCTTACCCCTTGGTGTTTATTCTTAATTGACAATCGAGTTAATTTGCTTCTTTTTTTTGAAAAATAAAACTAATCGTAGACTATAGGCGAAAAGATTTTGAATAGTTTACTACAAAAACAATGATCGACTATAGTCAGCAATGTTTTATAAATCTTTGACTTTCATGATAACAAATTTTGATTGATCTCATCTTTCTGATCTCCTCGGAAAGCTTTGATGGACATTTCCATGTAGTTGTCTTGTGCCCGGACCAGAGTTAAATAATTCCTTCTCAAACCCCCTATGTCGTATTCTTTCAAAAGTTTCAATAATCGATTTCTACCACACTTCATAACCTTTGAAGATTTCCGCTCCTAGCTCAAGTGTCTCTGGTAAATGACAGTTGAGGTGAAAATTATGATGACAACCTGAATGTGCATACAATGTGTTATGTTCAGTCGTTTCTTCTAGGAGCGTTTTTTCGGTTAGTTCAGTTTTGTTAAAGTTCATTGATGTAATCTTTTTCTTCTGAAATAATTTGATATTTTCTTGAATAACCTGAATTCTTTGCGTTTGTTTCATCAAATCTTCGTGTTCACTTGTTAATGCTAAGTATTGCTGTTCAATTTGTTCTTTTAATTGATACAATTTATGAAATGTGTTGCTGGCAATCGATTGAAAGTGTGAAATTATTTGGTACATATTCCGTACTATTGATATCGTTTGTTAAAATGAGGTTTTTGAAGTTTCAAGCATTTTCTCATCTGTAACTGATCGTCGACCGTCTCTAGTTTTGTTCTGAGCTTTTTCTAGTTCACATATTGGGTTATCGATGAGCCACTAGTATTGAATTTCCTTTTGTACATATGCAGCCAGAGTACTTATATTAAAATTTAGTTGTAAAGCATTGTCCACATTTGTAAATATAAAATGGTACAATGCACATACTCTATTTGTTCAATGGCACGTATGATGAGTGACCTATTGTTGTATAAGCGAAGATTTTCATTTAGTGTTTTACCAGAAATTTTTAAACTGGTTCACGTGCTCGTATAATGTAACGTTCAGGAATGATCTTTTAACTTGTTTCTTGTACTACATTTCTTAGTGATTCATTCATCGTGTTCCATCCTACTCCTTCACTGAACAAAACGCAAGAAACCAATAGTAAATAAATAATAGTTCTCATCGATGAAAATATCTGAGAGAAAACGAATTTCACAATCGCCAGGTACTGATGATCACTGTTTGGAATGTACATGAAAGACTTATACGCAAAAAAAAGGACATGTTATCTACATTGCTGATAAGGAAAGAACATGAGCAAAGTACTATTTGCCTTGTCTAAAGTTCCATCTAGACAGATGTCAAACATGATATAGAGAAGGGTAAGAAAAAGAAAGAACTGTAACGATCTCGGTTACAGGCACTGTACGCGTGCTATATGTTCTCATTTCGATGCACTTTGAATTGTCATTCCTTTTCTTGTATTTGGTGAATCAGTATATGATATAATTTTAAAGAAGAAGAAATAAATAAAGAGGCAGCTTTATCAACGCGTACATGTCTTTCATCAAAATCGGCACAAGAACGAAAGAAAAAACAAGGAGAAAAGGGTATGAAGTTATTTGTATAACATAGATCCGAATACAGCATTTATTTTTACAACGAATTATATGAGCAGACGTGCCAACACGGCAATTCACCGGCGTACCAAGCACTCAAACAACACGTACTCTTCTTTTACTTGGTCCATCCCGCGCAGGCAAATCCACGATATGCCTGGCTTTTGTGATAATCAACCGCAATCGAGCAACTTTAAATTGTCGGACAAAACAATCGTGTCTATGTTGAAACCAGAAGTAGCCGAAGCTGCCATAGCTTTGATGCGCCTCTTTTAATCGAAGTTCCTCAATTAACGAAGAAACGAATGAAAGTCAAGGACGTCAGTTAGTTGACGACCTTTTTCGTCATTCAAAATATTCAATCACAATACTTCTGCCCATGGCCACACTGTTGGCGGTGGCCATGTCGATGAAATCCTAGCTAAGTATCAACAGATATTTGAAGAACACCTAAAGAATGCCAAAGAACGATTCGAAAACGCGGAAGAAAGTTTCATGAACGCTGACGAATATGGCAAGACCTATCGACGAGGGATGAACTGATGAGAGAAAATTCGATAAAGGAAGTAAGTAGTACCGAACAAGAAGATTCTGAAAAATAATTCGTCAGAAAGGTGGATTCGTTGGTTTAAAAAGTGTTTTGATGTCTATTAATTGTAAATCATTATTGAATATAAAATTCTATTTTACATTGATAAATGGCGACGATGCGGCCAGAAGACAATCGCAAACACCAGCCTGGTAAGATCATTATCTAACGTCGCAATCATTGTTCATATCGACCTGCTAGCATCGGAGGATGAAATACGACCGATACCAACGGGTACACTAAATCGTGCTGCGGCTAATCACGGCAACGAAGCGTGTTATTTCAATAGTATCGATTTACCCGGTCTGTATGATAATACAACCGAGTAAAATGAACACGTGACCAATGAAAAAATTCGAAAATATATCGATGAGTGCATTACGAAAGACGTTACCGACATACATGCATTCGGATTCGCCTTCAGTGCAAATGGTGGAATTAATTCTAAAGATATCAAGCCGATGATATTTATCAACGAAAAGCATTTTTTCCTCACAAAGAGTTGGTTAAATACAACTTGAAAGACCTTTCCAGGCTGTCTTCGATCTGCTTTAAGAAATTTTCCAGATTCTAGAGCAGCCACGTTGCAAATCAAACACACAATCGATATGCGAAAGAAACTACTTAATTTTCTTCTTTCGCGTGAAGAATTTTTCAACATTCATCGTTTTATTCCATCTGGTGACACCGCCATCATTCGTCAAGTACGTTATTTTCAAAAATTATCTTGGTCCATGCCTCCATACCTGATCATTTTAATATTGGGGATAATCATCGAATTAGTTGCACATGATGTTCTTTTACATTGAGATTAAAGTTTCCTTCTCTCTATTGTCAATCGCATATATTCTAATAAATCACTAAACATTCAAACTAAGACTTGAGAATGAAGGTAATAAACAATACACTCCTCTGATATTTTTGGTGATATTGTGTAAGCAAGACCAGAATACATCTGATGGTGTTGTGAATCTGTTTTATGAAACTAATGCAAATCCTGACCACAAGCCAAAACTAGTCGGCATGGAAGAGAGACAAAAGAAAGATAGTATTTCACTCCCTTCTTTGATTTCGATTCACTATTTATATAGAGTACGAAAATGAGTCCCCAATGCATTGCGTTTATTCAGAATATGATGTACTTCTGTAGTGGTTGAACATCCGCTGCTGACGCGATGAGAACTTATAGAGCTATCATGCTATTTTCAGTTTGGTGTGTTTTCGGAAGTTGCTTCTATGACAGACATCTCTGTTTGCTTACGTGTTTCAGATATATATTTTGTTGATCATTGCGAAAGAGTCAGTTTCAAGAAAAAAGTTGAGCGGGTTCTTCGACTGACGTTAGTTATATGAAATATGACTACGAAATATGTATTTTTAGTAAATGAGGAAGAACAGAAAAGAAAAAGTGAATAAATCATGCAAACGTGTTTACTCAAAAACATCCTTAAAACATTTCCGATATGATCGACCATAATAAATACGAATGAAATGAGCGTTCATTGAAACGATTATTTATTCTTTACTAAACTTGAACAAAGATCAAATAATTCGAAACAGGTTTGACTATTTTCTAAGAAAAATGATCTGCTGTCAATTTCATGTGTGTCGTCATTATGCAAGTCGATATTCTCCAATTAGACATACCTTTCAAACAGACAAAATCATGACTGATTGATTCTCACTTATAAATAAACGTAAAATACGCGATATGTTTTTACGTATATATAAAGTAAATGATTCAAGAGAGGAAGGGATAAGATAGACAAAAACTCGATAGTCACAGTAAGTTGTTTGAGTCGAATGTTCTTTTGCAGATATAATCCTCATTTGTACATTATTGCACTTGATATGCACATTTCTATCTCTAGAGAATGGCTTCAAAAGTTGACATTTCTCAAATAGAAATCAATGAAACAATTTCGAAAAAACGACAGATCAGAAGTTTAGTTAGTCGACAGAAAGCCTCGTCTATACAACATATTCCATCTGTTTATCTTTATAGTTCCATTACGCTACAAAGCTTGATTGGTTCTACATGTTTTTAGCAGGTCTAGTCAGTATTTTACATGGTACTACGATCCAAGTCTTATTAATCGTTTTTGGAAACGTTACGAATTTATTCACAAATCGTTCAACAGACCTTTGTATGACAAATTCCACTTCGCTATCTCAACTAAACTGCTCGTCGTATAATCAATCGAATATCGAAGAAATTTTTCCGTAAGAAAATGTAACATAAAACTTGCTTCTAAAATTCTCTCCAGTTTATGCAATTTCACTCGATTACCTTCGAAATTGGCATCCGAAATCGGACAACAAAGTGTATATATAGCTGGTAAACTGCAAATAAGATGATTGAGTTGATTCTTTTGATGAATTGTTTAGTTATGGGTTGTATTGTCTTCGTTTTTGGCTACATTCAAGATACTCTCTGGGCATTGACATCTGAAAGGCAAACATTTCGAATGCGTCAATCGATTTTTCGTTTACTTATGAGGCAAAATATCGAGTATTTTGATACTCACCATGTTGCCGATATGAATACCGTTCTTATGGAGTAACATCTGTTCTTTGTTTTTCTGTATCACATGAACTTCAATTTCGTAGAAATATCAATAAAGTTAAAGATGGTCTTGGTCATCACCTGGGAACTATTTTACAATGTCTGGCTACTTTTCTCGCTGGTTTTATCATTGGATTAATCAAAAATTGGAAATTATCCCTTGTTTTATTATCATTTTCTCCAATACTCATTACTTGTCTGCTGGTTCTTTCCAAAGTACGTATTTGTCCCTAATTACATTCAATGACGGTCCGATGGCTTTTCTATCTTCAACAGATGATGTCAAAAATGATCACGACGGAAATATCTGCTTATGCAAAGGCCGGAACGATCGCTCAAGAAGTTCTTTCATCAATAAGAATGGTTTTCGCCTACAATGGAATGGATCACGAATATCATCGGTATAGATCAAAACTTGTTAATTAATTTCATTATCTAGGATTGATTTTGAGATATACACAAAACTTGCATTCGGCGAGAAAAACTGGGATACGCAAAGGGATAGTTTTTGGAATTATGATGGGATTCATACGTCTTGTTATTTTTGTAATATACGCGGTTGGATTTATTTATGGAACTCATTTGATTCAAACCGAAAACTCGACGATCGGTGATGTTTTTGTGGTAAATCATTGCCCATATGGAACTTATTTATATCTGAAAACATATTTTACTGTAGGTCTTTTTTGGTATTTTTATCGCAGTTTTTTCTCTTGGACAAGCGACGAACACATTGCGATACCAAAGTAAAAACATTACAATGAAATGTGAATTATTTTCGCTTGAAAAATTGTTATTGTAGATGAAGCCATTTGTGCAGTGAACTCCGTTCGGACATTGTTAAATCTCGATGTTTTCGAGCAAGTCCATCAGCAACGCAAAGAATTTGATCGTCAAGTGAATATCCATGGAGACATAACATTTGACAATGTCAGCTTCGCTTATCCATCACGACCGAATTCAGTCATCATTTCAAATGTGACATTTCATGTAAAATGTGGCGAAACTGTTGCTATTGTAGGATCAAATGGTTCTGGGAAGGTAAGCAGAAAATAGTGGATCGTGTAACTATATTCTATTTTGCCTGACTTGTAGAGTAGTTGTTTACAACTATTGCAAGGATTCTATGAACCAACAAATGGAAGCATAAGTCTCGATGGAATACCATTAGATAAATATGATGTAGATTGGCTAAGAGAAAATATGTCAGTAGTTAGTCAAGATGCTGTGCTCTTCTCTACATCGATTCGTGAAAATATCATGTGCGGAAATCGAAACGCAACAGTGAATGATATGTTACAAGTAGCAAAACTGACCAATCTAGATCGCATAGTGGAAAGATTTCCTCAGGTAGAGTGAATGTCGAAACAGCCGTTGGCATTTTCAAGTTTTTTTTATTTCTTTTCATTGAAATATCTTAGGGATACGATACAATCATAGGTGACAATAGTAATCATCAACTGTCTGGTGGACAAAAACAACTGATTTGTGTAGCAAGAGCGTTGATTAAACAAGCGAAACTAATGTTGCTTGATGAATGTACCAGTGCATTAGGTGAAAGAAATCAAATCGAATGTAAAATTGCTTATAGATGTGGGATTTCTTCTACATAGACTATGAAAATGAGTCAAACATCATGGAAATTCTCAAGCAATCATCATCAAGTTGTACTTTCAAATCGAATCACTTGGATGAAATTGATTGATAATTTTTAGATCGAACAACTATAATCATAACTCATCGAATTTCTACAATTCGACATGCAAGTCGAATTCTTGTAATGCAAGATGGCCGAATAGTCGAACAAGGTACACACGAAGAACTCATAGCAGTGAAGAATGTTTATTATAATATGGTTCATAATTGCGAACAAAATCATAGGATGATCGATGATTTCGAACGAGTCGAGTCAGATTTAGAACGACACGAGAATAATTCCAATCAGCCATCAATCGTCGTCAATGATCAAACAGATACGGTAAGGATAAACAAATTGCACATCTACAAAACGCGTCGTAGATTGTAATTACAAGTTTTATCTCGCATTCCATATTTTCTATAGACATCTGAAGATAGAAACATCCGATCGCCAACTTGGTACATGCTGAAACTGAATCGACCGGAATGGTTATATATCCTATTCGGATGCGTGGCCTCTTTTTGTACTGGCGGTTTTCAACCAGCTGTAGGTATTCTAATCAGTAAAATTATTGCGGTAAGAAAAGATATATTGTTTTTCGAAGGAAAATCGATTTCTTTCTTAATATAGGTTTTTCAAATGTGTAGTACAGATGAGCAGAAAGATAGAATTGGACTTTATGTATTGATATTCTTTATCTTTGCAATTCTAATATGGATAACCGTTTTCCTACAAGTATGAAAATTAGGATTAGTGATAAATACATCTGTTTTCAAGAATTTTTTGTTTGCATATTCTGGAGAATCGCTGATACAACGAATTCGTTCGAAATTGTTTAAAACCTATATGGGCCAAGAGATTTCTTGGTTTGACGATCCCAGTCATAATACCGGGTCGCTTTGTCTTCAATTATCGTCCGAAGCATCTGCAGTACAAAAAGTAAATGATCATCTTTCCAGATGCTAACTCAACTTTTGCTATTATGTTCGCGGAATAGTCAGTCGGCGTGCATTTGGGTACAATTTTCGAAACATTTGGAAATTTGGGTACCGGAACGGTACTCTCGTTTGTGTACGGATGGGAATTGACCCTTGTGATCATTGGCTTTCTTCCATTTCTAATTATATCCGGTGTAATCAATATGAAGTTAGTAGACAAATACACGAAAAGAGATTTAATAACATTTAAAGAAGTATCTCAAGTAAGTCGGATGGAATTGCACGGTAGAAATATGAAATGATTATTTCATGTAGTTATCCATGGAAGTCTTGAAAAATATTCGTACAGTTCGCCAATTGACAAAAGAAGATGATTTCATTCTTCGCTATGAAACATTATTGTCAAAGCCGCATCGGTTTGTCGACTTTTCAGCAGAAATATTCTCATACAAGATATTCTTTGTTTGATTTTCGAAAGATTGGCTTGTAAGAGGGCTCATCTCAATGGCTTCCTCTTCAGCTTCTCCAACGCAATGGTCTTCTTCGCACAATCTGCTCTGACAGCATTCGCTGTCTTCCTTGTGACGAACAATCGAATGACATTTGAAAATGTTTTAATGTGGGTCCTTGATACATATCTTCATGAGAACTTGTTGTTTGTTTGTTTGTTATCTTCAGCGTTTTCAACTGTATCTTACTCGGAGCTCAAGCGGCAGGGCAAACTGTTTCGATGTAAGTATTAGAAATGAGAGCCACTTGCTGTTCTAAATCATGACCTTTTATCGAAGATCATCTGATTATGGAAAAGCTCTACGCGCCACAAAGAATATCATCAAATTATTCGAAGCAGAAAAGCAGTTGACTGAGAAGAATTCTAGTGCTGGAATGAAACTTGTAATGTTTTGGTTATTCAAACTTTTCTTGATTTCACATTCTTATACACTTTTGAAGACGGATTTTCAAGGCAACATCGAACTGAGCATTAATTCTTTTGCGTATCCCGCTCGACCAAATGTTTCTGTGTTAAAGAATCTTCAGATAAATATTCGAGCCGGTATTTCGAGAAGAGAGAATTTTTTCCAATGAAATCAAATTTCCTTTCTAGGACAAAGTGTTGCTCTAGTTGGTCTGTATTCGTTACGGAGTAAAAAATCATCTGTATTGTTTTCCTCGAAATCATATAGGTAAAAACGGATGTGGCAAATCGACGATTATGCAACTAATACAGCGTTTTTACGATGTTTATAATGGTCATTTGGTAAGCACATATGCAAAGGCACGATTGAATGGCGCACTGAGGAGAATTGCAAAACTGTTTTAGCTAATTGATTCAACTGAACTTCGACATCTTAATTTGCAATGGTATCGTTCACAGATTGGTTATTTAAGTCAAACACCCGTACTTTTTAATATAACTATTGAAGAAAATATTGCATATGGTGATCTTTCCCGTACGATTTCACAAGATGAGATTATCAAAGCAGCGAAAGATGCACATGCTCATTCTTTTATTGATAATTTACCTGAAGTATTGATTGCCGTGTTCTCGTGTGAAGGTAACAAATCGGAGTTCTATATTTAGAAGTATAAAACGATGGTTGGACCGAATGCTGAACGTTTGTCCGGAGGACAAAGACAAAGTATTGCTCTGGCTCGACTTTTCATCCGAAATCCTCGAATTTTACTACTTGACGAATGCACAAGTGCTATGGGTAACATCCCTCCCGCCACTTCTTCTTTTAAATTGACATAAGTTTTGTTTATTTTTAGATCATATAAATGAAAAAGTAAGTGATTTCGAAGAATTTGTTTCATTTTAACAAGAATCGTATTCAAGGCTATAGAAAACTCTCTAAGCGGAATCAAACAAAATCGAACATCGATTGTAATTGGACATCATTTATCATCGATTCAACATGCTGATATTATCTATGTGATACATCATCAGGGGCATGTTGTCGAATCAGGTACACATGAAACATTAATGGCGGCTCGGGGTTATTATTATAAACTAGCATTGGACTTGATTCATTAAGATAAATTTTGTTTTGATCTTTAACTACTATTTAAAACTACTCATATAATTCATGTCCTCAAGATATAAACAATCAATCAAATAGAGTTCTTTTGAAAAATCATATAGAAAAAAAACGATGATAAGACCATCGAGCATGGGATCAAAGCCAATTTTGTAGCTGATGCAATAATTCTGCTTAGTTTTGATAGTATGATAGAAATAATCGAACTCGAATGAAGATCTTTGTCTTTCTTATCTAAAATATCAATGATTGAATACACATTCAAATTCTCATCGTTTGCAAAACATTCCAATAGGTAAATAACTCCATTATGAAATCTTCTACCCCATTGTTTGCTTAAACCAGGATATGTAAATGTAGTAACTAAATTCAGACAGCCGTCATAAATACACGTATAATTCATATGTGACGAAGCATCGAGAGGAGTCGAGTTATAATGAGCTGTCATGATCCGTAGATCGTTGATGCTTAACCGATGATATTTCGTTTGGAGTTGGGCAGTTCCATTTGACGATGTCATGAGACTTGCTGGTTGTACAGGCACATTGAACTTTTTCGCATTGAGAAAATGCCATCCCATATGTTGATGATTATGTTTGTGAAGTTGTTTCGATGCGTCTTCAGCAAGAGACCATAAAGATGAATGCGGTTCGATGTTTTGCTCCCAAGCCAATGGTGCCGATGCTTGAATACAATCTTCAGGATCGATAGGAGGTCGAGCAGATTGACGAAGATTAGTCGCACACCAGTTCAATGACCAGATTGGGAGTTGAGGGCGTGATTTTCGAATCCAGATCGATGTGATTAGAGCAGCAATACTCAAAACTCCTTGAACTGTCGTTGAATGAGCTTTGGCATTAGTTACTAGTTTCGTTGTGGTTAACTGATCAAATTTTTTGAATAAACCTATCGTTTGCCCAGATGAAGATGACACCACCGATTGAATTTCATCGGTATCTGCATCCATTTCTTGTGGTGTTAAGTAATTATGATTGAAATTAAAGCAAGGTGCTTTATCTATCGGATTTCGTGCAAATACATCAATAAACGATCGTTGCTCTCGTGGTAAAATCGTTGAATAAGTTTCACATTGACTTATCTCACCCAGATAGCTGAAAAGCGTGTGAAGTGCTCTCATAAAACCCAAACCATCCAATGCTATATGATTGACGACACCAAAAAGCTGGTATCGACCGCGATTATTATAGTGACATTGAAGAAAAGTCAGAGATGTATTATGATCAAATGATTGGTTTGCAAGACGATTAACTTCTTCTTCCCAGTTGTCCAAAATTCCTTCAAACCATACCAATGGAATACTTCCGGACTCTTCTTCAACGAGCCATATTGTATCGTTTACTTTGTCGGTATGCAAACGAAAATAAGGATGATATTGTCGCAAAAGAGCCAGTGAGTGATTGATCATACTCTGAGTTAGATTCTCACATACAAAATCACAATAGAAAGTGATGCTTGTACTGAGATCTTCCGTGATATCGATGGGACGCTTGAAAAGTATTTTCGGATCTTCATTCATTGATCGGACGCTAGGATCCATGTACAAATTTCTTAAAACTGGAAGTTACAAATCAGCGAAGCGTTTTTATAATACTAGCACACGCACATACACGAATGGTTTTTTCCTATTTAATTTCATACTTTCTACATTCTGATAGAATCATTCCAATGAGTAAAAGCCTGATTTATGCATATTTTTTGCTAATGAAATCATTTTTAGTTAATTATTTTCACTAATTTTTCACCTTTCTCCCATGATACTTCACTAGTCAACTGCTATTTTTATCACTTCCTTGCCAAAAGGTACACTATGAGTCATGCATCAACGCGAGGTACTAATTGCGAATATCATTTGCGTATATATACAAAATCACGGATCGTTTATTGAAGACAAATACGTGAGATATCCTAAAAATAGATATAAATTTTTTCAACGAACGTCATACACACAAATAGTATCGGAACTAGGCAGAAATTGCGCGATTTGATAATATGGTATATAAGCGCTTATTCAATCACTACACAAATCACTTTGATTCAAACAAAAATGGCTCTCGATTATCTTCGACAAGCGGTGTATGGTAAGAATATCAATTCGGAATATGTTTCGGGACATGGATCAGCGCCAAAACCAGTCAAAGAAGATGAATGGAAATCATTCGACAAGCAATTCTTTGGTGACATGTCAGGTGGATTTACTCTCGTCGAAACATCTGCTGAAGACATGGCGAAAATCGAAGAACTTCTCGAAGTGAAGCCAGGTTTTTTCACATCACCTTATGTGATCAAAACAAAGAAGGAATGTTGTGAGAAATGTGGTCGTCGTAACAATTTCTTAGACGTTGTTACCACCGGACTTCGTGTGCACAAGCCAGCTTTCTTGATTGATGTTTTCAGTGGTAAATTCGGCCACATTCTCAATTCACAGGAGCATCAAGTATGCGTTTGCTATGGCTGTGGTACTCAATTACCTGTCGATGCAGCGAAATATTCGGCACCCAAACCTTGTACTGGTTCGCAAAAACCACGTGCTTGCTACCGCTGGAATTTTTGAGTGAAGATCAAACAGTTCAGTATCATTGAACATTTAATCAAGATAAACTGTCCGTGCATGTAAACCACGAAAAACCTAGTGTTCTTTTTATCTTTGTAATAATTTCTCGCTTTACCTAAATTAATCTTATTACTGTCAATAAATTTTTGTACGTTGTCATTTGTATAGAGATTCACTTATGGCGGAAGGTATAAAAAGAGAGTATAGCGGTATTGCTTAAACTAGTTTCGAAATATATACGTATATATTGAACGATCGAAACGATCATATCTGCTTTATACGCATAGGAGAAAAGAAGCGATATAAATGCCTTGTACTGATTTCAACACCAATACAATTGAGAATGTATTAACTCATTATTTCATTGTGAATTTATTGAATAAACTAGAAAGATATCCACTAATTATAACGATTTTATTCGTCAGATTGGTTCGGAGTCCCATCGATTTAAGTTGTTTTGCATTCATAAAACACATGCTATGGTCGTTAAGAAACATGTGTGATTAAGTTGCCGAGGAAAAAAGAAAAGAAAAAAAAGTTTCGCAAGAAACGACGTCATTCTGTCATTTTTGTTGTATGCTGAATCATGCAGCTCGTAATTGCTCAACATTTGTGTGCATTGTAAAAAGATAACAAATACTAACTGAGAAAAATAAGTTTATTCTCATTTGAATCAAACAGCATGCGACGAAATGGCAAGTATAATAGCAACAAGACCATCCGATATTGCAGATATTGTTCCGATCAGTCATTTCACAGTCACTCATCAAATGGCATGTCGATAGACAAAAGAAACCGTTGGCAACTGATTGAACTTCTGAAGAAATACAGTCAATCAACAGAGAACATTAACAAAAAAGTGACGCGTCGTGATTATCACTTCTACATGTACAATGGCTATTCATGGTATCTACCTCATCCTCCAAAACCACCTAAGCATTTCAGCTTTCCACAAAGACCAGATTTTGTCTATCAGCCTTATGTGAACTTTGTCAAAGTCAATCAAGACATCTTCAAACTCGCTCTTCAGCATGGATCCGAGTACTTCAGAGACAAAACTATTTTACTACAATTACTCGATGTTGATGCAGCAGATCTCACGGTGACTGTCATCTATTTCATGAAGGGATCACGGCATTGGTTTCCAAATGATTGGCACAATGCACAAAGACATGCACATGGAGGTTACTTCGCTGATTACCATATGCTTTGCACAGGTGCGTATTGTCCTTTTGGACCGAAAATTCGTGGATTGACAGAAATAGACTCAAGAATCGATCAAGTATTATTTGTGAACACATCTAATGAACGACAAGGACGAATGGNATAATGCTTACTCACAAATAACGATCACTGCAAACAAAAGTGCTGAACAGAAGAGTTTAGAGTTTTTCATTGCAAATATCATTAGTTTTTTAGCAGCTATTGGACTCGGAGTAAGTGAGATCTTTGTTTTTCATTATTTTTATGACCTATTTTGATCTTTTCCATAGGGTACTTTCTACATATTTCTCGTTATTTCAAGCACTTTTCGCCGACAATGTAAGCGATGTCTATTTTACTTTTGTTTAAACTCAAAAGTTGCCGTAGCACCTACAAATAACAGTACAAGTGTCAGACAACGTACAAAAAACTGACTACACTTGATATGAACGATGAAATCTTATATTTATTTGCTTATGGTAACTTCCTCTTCTTTTCCCTTTTCCTTTCGTAATAAGTGTTCGCAACCTTTTCAATAAATCGATAGGACAAGATCAGCGGACAAGCGCGGGTATATACCGAACATTCATACCAACGAAGCATAAATAAATGTTCTATTAATACATCAACGAAGTTCGAGTGTACCAATATTATTAATAGTGTCGATGCGTGTGCTGTCTAAAGGGAAAAAACGTCCTTTTTACTTTTCCTCTTTCTCCCTATCGTTGTTATATATATATATATGAGATAAGTACATTCACCTCTCGTCTTTCTATTCTTTTTGTTTCGATACACTATAAGAAGCTCGTAACACGAACGTCATTACTCATATTCAGACGATAGGCGACTATCATTCGGGTCAACAAAAAGATATTTGTATTTGTACGGCGAGTATTAAGTCATGTCGAATCTCGATGAAAAAGAGCCGTTTATTCCTCTGGCGTCCGTATCAACTTCTATCACATTATCAAGTGAACAATTCGACAAATTAGTAAGTCGATCTGCAAAATCCAGTGGAATAGCTAATCCAGCTGCACTCGGTCTTGCTGCATTTGCTTTAACAACATTTGTCCTCTCAGCATTCAACGCAGGAAATTATTTAATCGATATTCGATTAGAACCAGTTGTATTACCTTTGGCATTATTTTATGGTGGATTAGCACAAGTTCTCGCAGGAATGTGGGAATTTAAATTAAATAATGTATTCGGTGCAACGGCATTTACAAGTTACGGAGCTTTTTGGATGTCATTCGCCGGTTATGTTCATATTATTGTACCGCATATCAAACAATACGGAAATGTGAAAAAGGCAACGAGTCTTTTTCTTTTAGCTTGGTTCATATTCACTCTCATTATGAATGTTGCTGCTTTGAAAGTATCAAAATTTTTATTGGTCTTATTCACCATATTGGATGTCACGTTCTTGTTACTATTCCTCGGAAATTTTTTCAATATTCCTTTAATTGTGAATATTGGAGGATGGTTCGGAATTCTAACAGCATTCGTCGCTTGGTATGGATCTGCCGCAGTTGTTATTAATTCAACTTTCAAGCGACAAGTCTTACCTCTTGGTGTTTATCCTTAATTGACAATCGAGTTAATGTGCTTCTTTTTTTTTGGAAAATAAAACTAATCGTAGACTAGGCGAAAAGATTTTGAATACTTTACTACAAAAACAATGATCGACTATAGTCAACAATGTTTTATAAATCTTTGACTTTTATGATAACAAATTTTGATAGATCCCATCTTTCTGATCTCCTCGGAAAGCTTTGATGGACATTTCCACGTAGTTGTCTTGTGCCCGGATCAGAGTTAAATAATTCCTTCTCAAACTCTCTATGTCGTATTCTTTCAAAAGTTTCAATAATCGATTTCTACCACATTTCATACAGCTCAAACCAGTTGAATCCATCGCTGCACAACCTTTGAAGATTACTGCTCCTGGCTCAAGTGTCTCTGGTAAATGGCAGTTGAGGTGACAATTATGATGACAACTTGAATGTGCATACAATGTGTTATGTTCAGTCGTTTGTTCTAGGAGCGGTTTTTCGGTTAGTTCAGTTTTGTTAAAGTTCATTGATGTGATCTTTTTCTTCTGAATAATTTGATATTTTCTTGAATATCCTGAATTCTTTGTGTTTGTTTCATCAAATCTTCGTGTTCACTTGTTGACGCTAAGTATTGTTGTTCAATTTACTCTTTTAATTGATACAATTTATGAAATGTGTTACTGGCAATCGATCGAAAGTGTGAAATTGCTGGGTACATATTCCGTACTATTGATATTGTTTGTTGAAATGAGGTTTTTAAAGTTTCAAGCATTTTCTCATCTGCAACTAATCGTCGGGCGTCTCTAGTTTTGTGCTAAGCTTTTTCTAGTTCACATATTGGGTTACCGATGAGCCAGTAGTATTGAATTTCCTTTTGTACATATGCAGTCAGAGTACTTGTATTAAAATTTAATTTTAAAACATCGTCCACATTTGTAAATATAAAATGATACAATGCACATACTCTATTTGTTCAATGGCACGTACGATGAGTGACTTTTCATTTCGAGTGACATATTGTTGTATACACGAAGATTTTCATTTAGTGTTTTACCAGAAATTTTCAAACTGGTTCACGTGCTCGTATAATGTAACGTTCAGGAATGATTTTTTTAAACTTGTTTCTTATACCAAATTTCTTAGTGATTCCTTCATCGTGTTCCATCCGAATCTTTCGCTGGACAAAACGCAAAAAACCAGTAGTAAATAAATAATAGTTCTCATCGATGAAAATATCTGAGAGAAAACGAATTTCACAATCAGCAGGTACTGATCACTGTTTGGAATGTACATGAAAGACTTATACGCAAAAAAAGGACATGTTATCTACATTGCTGATAAGGAAAGAATATGGGCAAAGTACTATTTGCCTTGTCTAGTTACATTCTTAGTAATTTAGAATGCCGCTTGCTCTTTCTCTCTGTCATGAGAGTTGCGCATATTTATATTGAATGATCGAGGTAAAAATCTACATCCAACGATATATAAGACAAGTTCCATCTAGACATACGTCAAACGTCATTTAGAGAAGGGTAAGAAAAAGAAAGAGCTGTGACGATCTCGGTTACAGGCGCTGTACGCGTGCATATAATTTTAGAGAGGAAGAAATAAATAGAGGGGCAGCTTTATCAACGCATACATATCTTTCATCAAAATCGGCACAAGAACGAAAGAAAAAAACAAGGAGAAAAGGGTGTGAAGTTATTTGTATAACATAGATCCGAATACAGCATTTATTGTTACAACGAATTATATGAGCAGACGTGCCACTTCACGAGATAAAAGGAGACGATAAGGCTACTCGTTGTTTTTCTCGCCATTAACTTTGAATACGACTGAGAAATGTCACGAAAAATAGGTGATGAATTAAACGAGCCAACACGGCAATTCATCGGCGTACCAAGCACTCAAACAACACGTACTCTTCTTTTACTTGGTCCATCCCGCGCAGGCAAATCCACGATATGTCAGGTTCTTCGCGACAGTCGGTATCAGCCGCCCGAACCAAAACTTTATTCTGCTACGAGGGAACCTGAACATCATTCTGTTGGTAATCTGCGAATAATTGATATGCCTGGCTTTTGTGATAATCAACCTCAATCGAAGTTCCCTCAATTAACGAAGAAAATGATATTAGTGATAACACATGCTGAAGAAATCAATGAAGGTCAAAGACATCAATTAGTTGACGACCTTTTCGTCATCCAAAAATTGTCCAATACTGCTTGAAAGAATTTTTCCAGCGAGGAGTTTATTTTCTCGGTTCAATTCGATATGAATCTACTCAACAGGAGGATGCTGCTGCAATCGCTCGAGACCATCGAAATGTTTTGGAAATGCGGCAGCAGTTTATATATAAATGTTTTCAAGCAACGATTTTTAAAAGAGAATATCAAACTCATTCAAAATATTCAATCAAAATACTTCTGCCCATGGCCCTTTTACTGTTGGTAGTGACCATGTTAATTATATGTCTACCTAAACTATTAGGAACAAATCCAAGATCAGTGATACAAACGATCGTCCGCAGTTCAGACATGAAAAGGACGGAAAGTATAGTAAATGATCGGTTTGATGAAATACAAACTAAATATCAACAAATATTTGAAGAACGATTAAAAAACGCGGAACAAAGTTTCAAGAACGCTGACAAATTATTAAACGTTACCGCATAAATTCTCAGCAAATTGCTCTCGGGTAATTTTCGTTCGAAAAGTATGACAAGAGCTACCGACGAGGATGAGCTGATGAAAGAAAATTCGGTAAAGAAAGTAAGTAGTACCAAACAAGAAGATTCGACAAAGAACAATTGGTAGGAAGGTGGGATTGTTCGGATTAAAAGGTATTTTGGTTACTAATAATTGTAAAACATTATTGAATAAAATTCCTTTTTACTATGTGCTTATTAAATAAGTTTGTCTTGAGTAATTTTGTTTTAAATATTGTATACTGATCAACGACAATGACTGCACAAGAGAACAATCCCAAACACCAGCCAGGTATGATCATTCTCTAAAGTAATAATTACTGTTCATATCGATCTGTTAGAACCCGAGGATGAGATGACTTTTGACACGATGATGCGAGAAGAACTCGAACAGGCAAATCGACTGAAGCTGAGGTCCTCCGCGATCCAACCTATGTAGCCAAAGACGCAAAACTCTTTGCAGAAACTCGAACGAGTACTCTAAATCGTGCTGCGGCTAATCACGGCAACGAAGCATGTTATTTCAATATTATTGATTCACCCGATTTATATGATGTTACAACAGAGCAAAATGAATACCTGACCAATGAAAAAATTCGAAAATATATCGATAATTGCATTACGAAAGACGTTACCGACATTCATGCATTCGGATTCGTGTTCAGTGCAAATGGTGGAATTAATTCTGAAGATATCAAGTCAATGATATTTATCAACGAAAAGCGTTTTTTTCTTCACAAAGAGTTGGTTAAATACAACTTTAAAGACCTTTCCAGGCTGTCTTCGATCTGCTTTAAGAAATTTTCCGGATTCTAGAGCAGCTACACTGCAAATCAAATACACAATCGATATGCGAAAGAAACTACTTAATTTTCTTCTTTCACGCGAAGAACGTTTTAATATTTATCATTTTGCTCCGCCTGGAGAGACTGTCTATACTCAGCGAGTACACTCTCATGGCAAATTACTTTGTCCTATGTTTAAATATCCAGTTGTTTTAAGACTGAAGATATTCATCGAGTTGATTCCTTGCAATGTTCTTTTTGATTTGTATACATCCGAATAAATCATTAAAAATTTAAGACAAAACTTGAGTATGAGGATAAAAAGTATCACACACTATCCTGTTGCCTTTTGACGATTGCAGAAACAGGGACCAAATCGTGTCTGGTGATGCTATGAGTCTATCATACAAAACTCATCCGCATTCTCATCTTCACCCTCATGAAGCAAACACCAACTGGAAACATCGCTGAAAATAGATGTGAAACTTTGTTAATGGCTTTTGACGTTACAGTTGAAAGGTTCGGTGAAAATGTTGAAGTCACACTGGTAACACAACTCGTCACGCTTGTGTTTGTAGCTGTATCGGTAATTGAAAATACACCTGTGTTCAGAGCCGTCCCGCTACTGTTATTCATTGGAGTCATCTACGAGATTTTATGAAAAAGTGGAAATTGTTGCGCAATATTGTTTCTCACTACATCAGTTATTGTTGTGCTTTGATCGAGCAGTTCTTTAATCTCGATTTCTGATTGAATAATGGCTTCACTCAGTTTATCTACTGCTATTATCCAATTTTCTTCAAAGTTAATCTGAATCGACTTAAGGTCTTTGGTTTCATTTGTAAGCTTCTCTACCATTAGCACTTCCATGCCACTAGCAGCCGCCTATGAACATAATACAATATGGAAAGAATATACATTTAACTTTACTAACCTCTAATACACCCGTTGTTTGAATGTCAAAAACGCACGCTTCGCGAACATTATTAATGGTTTTATTGTAGTGTACGTCACGATGTCCAGATATTTGAGAAATCATTGCCAAATAGTTCTTTAGATAGATCTCACAAACCGTACATGCCATTTCCAGAGTAACTTTTTGATAATTATTTGACTTTTGTTGCTGCACCTCGTGATGCTCCGATTCACACGTATCACTTTTACAGATGCCAACAGTTTCATTAATCATACTAAATGCATGCCAAACATTTATATTGTAGTGAAGCAGGTAACCGCGAGTCTAGATTATGCGAGAAAAAAATAAATACTTATTATGTGTCCAATATACTGTGGCAACAGAACAGTGCTCGATTCGGAAGTTTTTCACGATCTATATTATCACGCGTAGTATTTGCTCCTCGGTGTTACCTATGCGTATCACAGGCAGTCGAACTTTTTAATATGTGGAAGTTAAGCTTTCTCACAGTAGGCTTCTGATATGATCAACGAATCGAAATCTGAAAATGAGATGTATAATAAAAAGAGTTTCTAATAATGGAAATGCTTTTATTATAGACTGCGGACTATATAAAATAAGTTTCCGAAATGTACGGACTACTAAAACACAATACGATATTATTTTGGCCATGACTCTTTAAAATTTTTTACTGTCAGCATTGGTGTCTCAAAAGAGTTGTTACCTTGTAACAAGGTGCACATCTACTCCCCAGAGAAATTCTGAATGAGAGAACTCACTCGAAAGATATGTGAGAGAATCTTGAGCAAATGAGTGACGTAAATTATGACCGAAAAAAGTCAAAAGCTAATCTCAAACATCGTCATCCGCACATTTATACACACTCTTTTCGATTACTCAAGATTTCAGTGTCACCTCAGAAGCTTAAGCTCTTTAGTAAAGGATTTGTTACTATCTGTTAGCGATGTCATCCATACTAAGGCGTCCAGCAACATACGTTATGCGTTATAATAGCTGTGAAATTAGCTGTTTTATAATAAATCGAAATCGTTCGAAATATTCCCATTTGATTAACTCGAACGTTGACACCTATTTTAAAATTCAACTTTAAAACTGAGCTTCGAAGCCAGTTAGTTCTATTTACCGTTTTCAGCACAATCAGCACTTGGCTCTACTTGAAAGTCAGTAGAAGAGAGAACACAACGAGGTGCTAACCCTTCTACAAAGATTGCTTATCGGGCGGCCTATATCGACTCGTGAAAAATGCATACGTGCAATATGATATTTATGTGAAAAACAAATGGATGGTTGATGTGAGTTGAAAAGTCTTTTTGAACTTCCTGATACACATTGCTGATATGTTTTAGGTGACCTTGATTTTCTCTGATGGAATCTCCATAAGTCCATTGTGTACTGTCAATACGAAAAATTTTAAGATTGACGCCAGTATCGGATGTAAGGAACACGGTATATACAGAGCTTTTATTTGTACGTTTAGACACATGAAATCCTCATTTTAGGAATTAACTATACGCAAACTGAAACGGTGGATGCTTGGCTTGTTGAAATCAATTACAGAAAAATCAATTTTCTGACTATGATTACTCATCAGGTTTGTGATGCGACGTTGTAAGCCATAGGCGTCGTATTTGCTGTCTCCATTCCTATAACATCTGAGTTTCAATTGACTTATTAGCAAAAGTTTTCAATCAACCATCTCAATTATTGAGTGATAAATACGTTCAAGGACGACCCTCATACTTTTCAGATATCAAAATTTGTATTGTTGGTCTAGTTATCGTTTTTGTGTTCATTTAGAACCGTGCCAATCCCAAACACGCCAATATCGAAGTCTTTCAACCTAGGTCGTTGGTACTTCCTTCAGAGGGCATGTGCACAGGCACAAAATGCAACGAAGATGATCGTTCATTCATTGAACAACTTTCAACACCAGTGCGAGCGTTCACGGGACAACAAGCTCATGATATTTGTGACATACATATAAAAAATTATTTGAACAGACAGCGACGATCGGCATACCAGAGAAGCCGTTCTCATAATGATACAATTGACGCGGCGTAGAAAGCATGTACTTTCGATGTTGTTTCAACTGGAAAGCCGAGTGTAAGTCTTTACGATATTGAAGTACTCATTGAGTTCAATGATTTTGAAGGCAGCTGCTGGAGTAACAGACATACTAATGATGGAAGAACTAATCACCGGTATGGCGGATGTTGACAATATTCGAAAAAGCATTCATAATGGTGCTTACAATGCGTTAATTGAACTGAATGATGCTAGTCGAATATCTGAAGCCGAAATTCAGCGATTGTATCCTGATAGTATTCAATTGGGTTAATGTTTCGAAAATGCTACTATCGTCAGAAGAGATCGATAGCAATCAAATACCGACATTTTTAAAAAATTAAATTCGATCTTTTGATTTTCTTTGTGTTTCATCGGAATGTGAGGGCGTGATTTTTAGTTTTACTCTGATCTCATCCTTATGATGGCGTTCTACTGATTTTAACACATTATTTCATTGTGAATTTATCAATTAAACTAGAAAGATATGCACGAATTATAACGATTTTATTCGTCAGATTGGCTCGGAGTCCCATCGATTTAAGTTGTTTTGCAGTCATAAAACACATGTTATGGTCGTTAAGAAACATGTGTGATCAAGTTGCCGAGGAAAAAAAGAAAAGAAAAAAGTTTCGCAAGAAACGACGTCATTCTGTCGTTTTTGTTGTATGCTGAATCATGCAGCTCGTAATTGCTCAACATTTGTGTGCATTGTAAAAAGATAACAAATACTAACTGAGAAAAATAAGTTTATTCTCATTTGAATCAAACAGCATGCGACGAAATGGCAAGTATAATAGCAACAAGACCATCCGGTATTGCAGATATTGTTCTGATCAGTCATTTCATAGTCACTCATCAAATGACATGTCGATAGACAAAAGAAACCGTTGGCAACTGATTGAACTTCTGAAGAAATACAGTCAATCAACACAGAACATCAACAAAAAAGTGACGCGTCGTGATTATCACTTCTACATGTACAATGGCTATTCATGGCATCTACCCCATCCTCCAAAACCAACTAAGCATTTCAGCTTTCCACGACCAGATTTTGTCTATCAACCTTATGTGAACTTTGTCAAAGTCAATCAAGACATCTTCAAACTCGCTCTTCAACATGGATCCGAGTACTTCAGAGACAAATCTATCTTACTACAATTACTCGATGTTGGCGCAGCAGATCTCACGGTCACTGTCATCTATTTCATGGAGGGATCACGGCATTGGTTTCCAAATGATTGGCACAATGCACAAAGACATGCACATGGAGGTTACTTCGCTGATTACCATATGCTTTGCACAGGTGAATATTGTCCTTTTGGACCGAAAATCCGTGGATTGACAGAAATAGACTCAAGAATTGATCAAGTATTATTTCTGAACACATCTAGTGAGCGACAAGGACGAATGGGTTGCTGTTCTAATGTTGCCTGGAGATGTCCAACAAGTGCGAAGCGACACAGCTACAAAGAAGGTCGACATCGCATCAAAAGTCAACGTCGGCAAGGAAATCGGTTAACAAAAGAAGCAAACAAGTATAACTAAAACTTTTATTTGAAATCATGAAGGAGAAAAACATAACGTCATCATTCCATATCCTTTACATCCAACACCTGCTGTGGTAAACCAAGCACCGTCGATAGCCACAATGAATTTTCCCGTTCCAGTTTTGATACTTAACAGTGACATCTTGATCAAGATCATAACGACTGAAAATCGAACCTGTTGTATGATCACTCGTTGGAATAATTCGACAATCCATTGGATAGACATCAAATGACCAAGTACAACCTTCATTCGGTGGATAGATCCTTATCTTTAGAGATATTATCGTTTGTGGAACAAGTAAACTTGCATCGATTCGGTGGTGCGATATATTCGATAGATTGGTTTATGCATGAATTCAAAGAAATTCCTCTGCTACCCGTCGAATGAGTATATGGAGGCGATGGTGTTGACACTTGCTGGTTTCTCGGCGTTGCATAAAGGATTATTATGGTTAATGCTAAGATAAGAGATACAACTGCAACAGCAACACTAATTATCATAATGAATTTATTTCGGCATTGCTTTTGTCTTTGCTCGACTGAATCAGTCCAAGATGGAGCAGCGCACGAAATACTCATATTAGAAAAATTCATTCTTTAGAAATTATATGTTACTATCGATCAATATGTACTACACATTGAATAGAAGTCAACGAAGCGCATCTTCAAATTGGGCGTCACTTTTCTTTTTTCAACCATTCGAATTGTAAAGGAGAATATGGCGATAGGAAGGTACTCGTCAATCATTTGTTACAAAAATTAAGAATAAATAAGAAGCTAGTTTCTAGAAGATCTTCGTCGGCGAACTGATATTCATCGAGGTAATTTCATAGGGAGGGAGATGACGGCGAGTGTGCACGACAACACGGAAAATCCTGAAGACTAAATTCCGGGGCGCTAAAAGTTGTTAATAGATGCAATATAAATTGAATCTCTCATGGTAATCAACATTCGCATTGGCCAAAAAGACATTCTCAATCTCCTTCCAGTTACGAATGATATTCGCAGTAAATAATCGTTTGCAGGAACACAGTCAGAGAGTGTTCGCAAATCCAGACCAGCTCTATGCGATCATAATTAATACGTCAGAATTAACAGAAGGTCTAACTCTCCAGATACTGTTTGCTTCTCGATAATGAAACTCAGACTGGTGCTCAATTGGCTGCGCGAATACATTCGTTACGACAATCTGTTCATACATGATGAAAATGATGATTGATCAACTTCTTCACTACTCTATTGTCAGCGAACACAACTTCGCCCATTACCATTATTGTACCAATAAGTGGATTCGATCCTCGATCCTCGATCAGTGAATCATGGTAATATGATTATGTCGGCGTACGAAACTTACTTCACATTCATCGATCCATGGTCTGATCTTAAGGTGTCTATTGCAATTACAAAAGCAATGATCTATGATAATAACTTTTCATGCTAATTGAATATGAATTGCACCACTCAAGCTGGACTTGTTCAACCAAATTCAACCGCAATTAGAATTGTTGAATTATCCGATGTTCACTGGCAACCAGTCAATAGCAATTGACTATAGAGGATACTTCGACCCATGTTTACCTTCTTCATGCTCATATAAATACTCTACAGCTGAACGGTCTCGTGGTTGGCCTTTTTGGTGGCTTGACATTTGTGCTCAAATTGATATGCCTTAATATTATGTATTTCTTTCACAAAGTCCATCAATACAAGACTAATCGAACGAAAGCGGATGAATTGACGTCGTCAATCCCAATGATAATCGTGTAGAGTATCGCCTTAGCGGTGGGTACTGAATGTACTGAGAATGTTCCTACTTATTCACATCCGCGGCGTCACCAACTTTAGCAAACATGTAAGATACTTTTTTCTGAATTTGAATTGTCATCGGTGTCTTGTTATTGCTGCTAGGGCACAAAGTTTGTTCTGATTATTTTACTTTGAAAGAATGCGCAGAAATATTGTATATGATGCATAGAGCTTTGAGTACGGAAAATAACGTTTCCAAGGAAAATTTTCTTGTAGAATAAACAGACATAACGACTCTTGCGACAACTAATGCGATCCTTTCGACTACAGCAGTTGAACACTCTTATTCTCATAAAATCCTGAAACGATTGTAGTCAGTTGCAGATTGGAAGATTTTGGAGAGAATGTGAGCAATCTCATTCTTTTCTCTGCTATAACATGGCACTGTTCGCTGACATTCAGGAATAAGAATGGAAGTTTCGGCAAAAAAAAGTGACTTGTTCCACTGGAACATTTACTTCACTGACTTCCGTGACCGCGGCTGACTTCAATCACGACCGTGCAGTAAATCCTGCCGTTGCCAACGAACATGCCCTTAGTCTGGGTATTTGGCTTGGTGTTGACAATAGAACTTGTTCTGTCACCGATCACGTTCTCAACCGGGATCCGTACTACTTCAGCACGACGGCAACATAGTCATTTTATTAAACGCATGTACATATTGTGCGCATCCAGTTTTGAACAAAAGTTATTCATCAATTGATCTTTGATAATCTGATGCTGAAGATGTGCTTGTTAGCTACACTAACACACTAGCGAACGATCTCACAGAATATTGCGTGTCCAATGGTCATTATCAAGTAATTTGACGTTTTTCATGAAACTTGAAGCGATGTGAGGCGTAATTTATTGATGAGACAAAAATAAAAGTAAAGCTATATGAGCTAGTTATTCATCATAGCTACAATTAACGAGACGATCATCAATAACCATTGAAGATTGTGATCAGCAGCAGCAGATGGCATCTGTGCGCTTGTCGTTGTTGCTGATGATCTTGGAATGCTTGTCGAACTAGATAAGCGCGTTGTTGAACCTAAATGAAATCAAGGTTAAAATATTCTAATGAAAGTCTCGTATTTACTTGAAACTATTGTACGAATTGTTGACGACGCTGTTGTTAGGCGAGTAGTGATTATTGTTGTGCTTGTCACATTCGCTATTGAAGTCAAGTAAATATAGAAGCAGTTTAAATTGAAAACTTACAACAAATGGCCGAGAATTTTTGAGTTCGATTATTTTTAAAATCAGGAACATAAATTGAATAATCTGGACCAAATTTAAAATTATATGGATTATATAATTGATTTGATGATGATCCAGCTGTTAAAGTTCCAACAATAAGACTGCCGACCGTTGCTCCGACTTGCCATTTCACAATCGAACTAGTTGTAAAACATAAAATATATAAATTTTTGTTTCCATCTCCAATCACTGATATTGGATAATAAAGCACACTTAAACTCGAACCAGCTACACCTGTTTGTCCAGCTACTGTTGTTCCATTCTTTGCTCCTGACAACCATTGTTGAATTCGATGATTATATGTATCAGCAACATATAATGTATTCGCATCCTTTGTATCAACAAATAATCCGAATGGGTAGTTAAACTGGTCAGCATTTGATCCATTACTTCCACCAACAATGATACCTGTTGTGGGTGATTCCCAACGAACAATTCGATGATTATATGTATCAGCTATCCAGATAAACATCGTATTTGGATCAAAAAACATTCCGCAAGGTGCGTTCAACTGATTTGCGCCATAACCATTTCCATATCCACCTGCTACGACCGTTCCATTCATATTCGCAGTTGACCATTTTACGACACGACCAAGTTTCACATCAAGAATGTAAAGATTTCCATTGGTATCACCTTGAATGCCAAGGACTGTAGCAAAAAAAGAAACACTAAAATTTAATTTCTTCTACAAATATAAACGCTCACTATAAGATGACTGATTGAAAACTGGTCCTGTCATCGCATTTATAAACGTCCGTTCGACTGTCGAATTGGGCCATATACGGCGTACACGACCATATCCGCTATCTAATACATATACAACATTGTTTTGATCAGCATATAAATCTCGGGGTTGATTAAGATTTGTGTCATCAGTCAATGTTTTAGCATTCGATTCCCATTGTAATGTGAGACAATTCTCACCGATTGCGAAACATTTTTCCATTGAACATCTGCAAACATCTCTTTGTATGGAATTAACATAGACCAAAATACGATTAACTTACGTGAACAGAAGAAAAATGATGAAATATAGTTGCTTCATATTCGTCTAAATGAGAATATTCAAGAATGCAAGCGATTTTATACCATCGAGTGAAATGAGAATTTCTAACGAGAAAAAAAAAAGTAATCATCTTGAAAAGAAAGGAAGTGTTGTTTTCAAATTATTCATTTGAACAACGAGAAGCAAAATAAAAAAAAAAGAATATCATTTACTGAATAGCTCTTTTCGAACTGTATTAGAAGACTTACATGAAAGTTTAACCGACGTGAAACGTCACCCTCTATATTTTCTGAATTGTACATTTGTGTTTGCTCCTGTTGATTATCAAATCATAGTGAATTCACATTATTGACGTTTCCAGGTAGAAAAATCAGAATGTTATATATTATTCTATTCGTGAGGGAGAAAAGCACTTCACTGGGAAAATTAATTGAAATCTAAGTCATGCTTGTCGAATTCTCCTCGCTATACTTGTTCTGCTATGGTTTCACTCAAAAATACCCTGAGTTTATATTTATGAAAAGTCAGTTATATTACTTTTCAGTATAGGTATGTTTTATTCATTTCAAATCGAGTGCGGATATCTTCTCATGACGATAGAATAACAGAAAGAAAACATTTTTCCTCTGTAAATATCAACTGTTGAAATAGGGCAAATATATCTACACTCGCAAATTCTTAAATGATGATATTGTTTTTGTTTCTTATTTAGAGGAGGATGAGTTGCGACTCCGCAAGTAGCTATAGTTATGTATGGATGAGATACAGAAGAGTTTATTGCACATACTAGTAAGTTGCTTTACTGTTAGCTCTCCAATGAATTCGATATAAGCTGAGTCCAGAATGGAAGCATATGGAGAACGACTTATCATGCTCAAATTTGATTTATCAAGTCCTCATCTAGATAGCATCATAAGATACTGTTAACATTTATTATGAGAGTGCATATTATATTTGCACACCTCGCCTCCAAGAAAATGATTACTGTCGAATCGAAAAAGATTTATGACAATATTCGAGCGCTTTTGTATAATCACCCATGTTCTTATACACGACACTGATGTTGATATAGGATGTAGCCAGATGAGGATGATTTGCAGGAAGTGATTGTTCCCAAATTGAAAGAGCTTTGTGATAGTATTTGAGTGCTTTTGGATGGTCACGCATATCACTATATACACCACCGATGTTGTGGTAAGAGGCCGCCAAGTCAGGATGATTTGTAGGAAGTGACTGTTGTCGAATTGAAAGAGCTTTCTCGTAGTATTCAAGTGCTTCTTGATAGTCACTCATATGATGATATACCAAACTGATGTTGTTGTAGGACGTGGCCAGATGAGGATGATTTGCAGAAAGTGATTGTTGGTCGACTGAAAGGGCTTTCTCATAATGCTCGAGTGCTTTTTGATATTCACCTGTATGACTGTACACACTACCAATGTTATTGTAGAATGTGGCTAGATGAGGATGGTTTGCAGGAAACGCTTGTTGATGAACTAAAAGTGCCTTCTCAAAATATTTGAGTGCTTCTGGATAATCACCCATATTCTTATATATCAAACCGATGTTGCTGAAAGATGTGGCTAGATCAGGATGATTTACAGGAAGCGATTGCTGTTGAATTGTAAGAGCGCTCTGAAAATATCTGAGTGCTTTAGGATACTCACCCGTCTGAGTATATACACTACCAATATTGGTGTAGGATGTGGCTAAAACAGGATGATTTGCAGGAAGTGAATGTTGCCCAATTGAAAGAGTTCTCTGATGGTATAAGACTGCTTTTGGATAGTCACCCATATAATGATACACCAAGCCTATGTTATTGTAGGACGTGGCCACATCAGGGTGATTTGTAGGAAGTGATTGTAGTTTAACTGAAAGGGCTTTCTCATAGTATTCGAGTGCTTTTTGATATTCACCTGTACGACTGTACACACTACCAAGGTTGTTGTAGGACGTGGCCAGATGAGAATGATTTGCAGAAAGTGATTTTTCGCAAATTTCGACTGCTCTTTGACAAAGCTCTATTGCTTTCAGATATGCGCCCTAATGGTCCTGGACGGTAGCAAGTTGATGATAGATTAGCCATTTATCATTATCATTCGACGTTTGACTTAACAATACATTGTAAATTTCTTCAGCTTTCTGATTCTGACTCAGCTTGATTAGCAGTTGACCTAATCTACTCCAACCATCTCCATCTAAATAATTCTCTTGTCGAATATAATTGGTAAGTGTACTCAGTTCTTTGTCAACGTCGCTAGTTAGTAATATATTCACTTCGTAGATTGGGCGATCGGTACAAAGCGGTTTGATCTCATGTATGCGAAATACACTATGCATAGTAAACAACACTTCAGCTTCAACGCCGAATTCACTAACATTTTCAATAAAAGCAAATGGCGTGGTTGTTTGAGTAGGATCAACCTTTATGTTAAAAAGAATTCCCACTAAATCAGAATTGTATGCATTACTGTCTGCATAATGATTGGCAATGTCGCGTTCCATGGTAGTAGATAAGAAGTAGTTGAATGACATCAAACCACCTTTAGTCTTAGATAGTTCTTCAAAGTCTTCTCTAGACAATCCTTGTCCACGATAAACGGTAAAGATGTTCGAAAAAGATGTATTAATAATTTGTTCTCTATGCAATTGTTCGATGTGTCGATGAAGATCAGCGATGAAGAATCCCATTCGCACGAGGATTTCACCATCTATTACTCGTAAGGCACGATTGAGCATGGAGTGTAAGATAGTACCTCTAGTATACCACCAAATAGGCTCATTTGCAAGATAGTCATTCACTAATTGATCGGCATCGCTAGATTGTTTACTATTGATAGTTAATGCAGTGGGATAATCATGGATAAATTGTTTTATATGTTCGTCGCCAAAGTTTATGGTTAATAAGACTTCCTTGAAGAGTTGCGTATACATGAACGATGGATTGAGTTGATCCAGTCTTCTTTCTGATGCTAAGAAACTTATTGGCATAGCATTCTGTTCGTACCGATTAAATATATCTTTTACTGCTTCATAGAGTGACTTTATGTCTATGAAAACACCCTTTATCTTAGTCCAAATTGTCGCCCATGTTTCATGACGACGTTGATTTTCACAGAAGATGAAAATTGAATCCAATTGAGGCATATCATGAATACAAGGAACAAGGTATCGTACAACTGAATCAGAAAGGATTATGTATACTTTGCTCTGACTACTATTCAAAATAAACTCAACGCATTCGTCATTATCGGTAAACGTATTTACATGACTCACAATGCGTTCAAGTTGTCTAATTGTATATTGAAAATCTTCGTTGTTGTGATCCTCACAATCGTGCAACCATATCGTAACAACGCTAGGCATCTTATGAACAGCAATGAGTCGACCATTGTCGCCTTCATTTGAAGTTGTGACTGTTTCTCGGCTTGCCATTGATACTATAGATCGAATCGTTTCAATGTGTAGCTAGTTTTGCAAAAAAAATTCTCTCTCTCGGCTCCCTTTTTCCAACGTGGATGAGATGTTTTTTTCCGTTATATTTACGTGTAGTCAGTATATGTTTTGCCAACAACTGAGGGATGATAAGAACGTTACAATCCGTAGTTTGTTATCATCAAACAGGATAGAGTCAAGTAAACTGAAAAAAAAACTTTCATAAAGAAGATATCCTTCTCACCAAATACAGCAACACGTAATTTGCATTATGTAATCGTGATGATAGATAAAATAACGCGTGCTAAAAAGATTTAGTTCCTATAGAAGTATATTTTTTGTGTTGATCTTCCGAGCGCTTAGCTTACAGAAAAAACAGCATAACCTCATGTTGGTTTCTCCCAACACTAAACATTTTATTGTGCAAAAATGAAACTTGGAATTACTGTATGTCTTTTTTAGATTTCTATAAAAATGAAAAATCCGAACAGAGAATCATGCAAACACTCCCGAATTTTCACAGTGACCGAAAATGCCTGCGGGAAAACGACAGTAAGACCTTTGCAGAAAAAAAATACAGACAAGGTAATTCTGGACATGTCGATGAGAATGCAATCGAGAAATAACCAGATTTTACTACCAGCTTCAGTGTAATAGTGACTAAATTTACATAATGGGGTCCATCAATCGCCACAATCTATAGCCATAAGCCGAACAAAAGGTAATTGTTCGTTTACTTACTAGATTAAGTCTACTGAAGTTTTGCACACACCAAATGCTTGATCCTCTTTTGATGAAACTCAACATATAGAATATGAAACCAAACATTACACACAATACATTCTTCTTAATCAGAATACTCAAATCACTCACTTAGATCAGAGATGACACTGTACTTCACCTCTATGATAAACAACGTGTTTTCAAAAGCTCCTCTTGATTTAGACTACAAGGTGACAAACCTTGAGATAAACCATGCATATCTTGTTTCCTGGTCATTTGCTCTTACTTTGTAGTTTGTTTAGGTTGCTGATTAGCTCCTCCGTGTAATCCTATATCCGTTTCCATTGCTTAGTACTAACACCCCATAATAACAAATTGAATGCGTCTAATGTTGGGATCTTGATTCGCCAGGTATACTCTACTTCCTGCTAATAGCATGATTGCATTCAACGTTTTATCGAGAAAACTTTCCAATGGATAGAGATGGGTACATCGCCGCCAAACTACCACCTTTCCACTACTCTTGTTGTCGCAAATATTTGTCTACCTTGCAGCATGCCACTATTTTCACCAGTTTTCAAGATGTTTGATGGTATAGCCATAATAGAATCGGCTGCTAATGATGTTCCCACATGTGCTGGAGCTTCTCTTGTTACTTGAAAGCGAGAAAATCATAACCAACATACTATATACAAAATAGAAGTGCAGTTTGTAAAAACAAAACCACATGTCCCTCGAGACTGTATTGAACAGTACGAGGAAATTACAAAAATCCAGTAGATGTCTAGTTTGAATTCGAAATACAAACCTTGGTATAAAACCAGTTCTTCAGACAGACATAAGCCTACTTGAACATGCTTCGTTTTCATATTCAGTCATAAATACATCTGTGTGCGTGAAATATAATTAAGCAAGAGTAAAATAAATTTATTTATATCATTAGAAAAGAACAGAGGGATACGCTATATACGCGTTGAATTAAAACTCTGTATAGTTCCTATTTCCACAATTGATTTCCGAAATTATGATACATAACTTAATCTGGATTGATGTTCGAATTCACTCTCAAGACAACTAATGTAAGCAATGCATTTAAATCAGCTGAACACGTTGAATTCTATGATTTCCAGTATCAGCAATATAAAGAAATGTTTCATCGTCATTCAGAGCGATTCCATATGGGGAAGAGAGCATAGTAGCACTATTACCTGAAGACCCACTTGGGTCGCCAATCATAGTGACACCCGATTGTGCACCTTGACTCCAGCGTTGAATTCGATGATTGACGCTGTCTGCGATATACAAGGCTTTTGTCTTTGTCGACACATATACGGCAAAAGGCGTATTCAGTTTGTTGTTCGATGCGCCTTGGCCATTTCCACCAGCCACTGTCGTGCCATTATTCGGATATCCCCCAAACAATGAAAACCGTTGTATTCGATGATTATTCGAGTCACTTACATAAATATAAGAATTATTTTCATCCAAAAATACGCCACGTGGTGTATAAAGAGAAAACGAATTGCTACCAGCAACATTCGAGCCGGCTATAATAGTTCCATTGGGATTTCCTGGTTTCCACTTCAAAATACGATTGTTGCTGGAGTCGGCAATATAAAGAGTGCCATTACTGTCAATTGCGATTTCTCCTGGCGTATTCAGTGCATTCGTTCCAGTTCCACTAGTACCACATATACCCACCACAACTGAAGGCATTGGGGTTGTAACTTGCATACTAGTGAATTTTATTACACAATGTTTATTATAATCACTAACGTATAAATTCGATCTTTGATTTGGATCAATCGCTATACCAAAGGGTAAGCCAAGATAATTTCCACCACTCCAAGTTTGCGCAACAAGTGACACATTGTTTGTAGTTATATTATAATCATAAAGGCGAATCACTTGACTTCCACCTGAGTTAGCCACGATTATAGAATTATCTGTGGTTTTGTTAACAATAATGCTGTAAGGATAATTCAAACCGGTCGTAGGGCTATTTGCGATTTGTGTAGTACTGCTTGCGATTGTTGTGCCCATTGACAATGAGAGTGCTTGAATAAAAATAGCTAATAGTTAAACATGGGAAAAACAAACGTGCACACTTACGTCCACATTGATTAAACTGTAAACAGGTGAAAGTAAGATCTGCTCGGCACATACTCAAGTTTTGTTGACAAGTTGAGCCAAGTATAGGTGATTGGGCCGAACACATTGATATCGTTGGATTCCAGTACGTATTTTGAGGACATGTCCATGTGAAATTTCCTCCACAAACCAGATAGCGGTCTTCTGGAAGAGTTGAAGAGCATGGTTGGCCATAAGCGGCATACAAATCATTTGAAAATTGTATCACACCCACTTGTGAGTTGTTTATTGATGATGAAATGATTGTTCCATGAAGATTAATATCACCTTGGAAAATTCGGCATTGGTTTGGCAGAACGCCATTAATGTCAAATATCCGACATAAAATATTTTGATTGCATATTTTGACACATGACATCAATAAATTGTTCTCATCGATGAATGTTGAAAGAATTTGACCAGGGTAATTACCCGGTGAAAATCGCAAATTAGTATTGGATAATGTTATACGTGATTCATGAATACTTTGATTTTCTTTCCAAAGCGTTGAGAGAATTGCGAAGTAGAGGCAGATATGTTTTGTTGAAAACATATTGAACAGGAAAAGGATGTGTGTGCTGTGTGAACTTTGTTTATTAGAAAGAATGAGACGGGATGCATTTCGAGTTCTTTTATTTATAGCCGAATCTTCTAGTACTGATGCTGCCGTCACATGAGTGAAATTAGTTCATAATGGAAGTAGAAAGCAACTCTTAGAATCCTTTTTAAATGACTGTCACTTAACGCAAAGCATTGATTCGAATTCTCTTTTGCTTATTGAACCTCTTACAAACAAAACTTATAAGCAACAAGAGTAGTGTAGAGCTGAAACTAAATTCAATTTCAGTTTTTTTTGACGAAAGAGAGAACGCTAGGGCAAAAATAATCATTCTGGATTAATAAAAAAAAAGAGACAGTACAGGAAAAGATTCGATTTTCTTTGTTCACTTTTTAAATGGCAAGCAATTATTGCAAATGCTCTTTATAGTTCACGAGGAATGCAACGCTTTCCCTACTAGACAATGACACCGTAAATTTAGGACGTCGAAACTGATCGATTACATATGGAATCAATGGAAATGTTTGACGAATAGTCTGGAACTCATTAAAATTGACACCATATTTTGTTCGAGTATATATATCAAGGTATCGTAGATGCTTCCATGAGGATAAAAACTGAAGCCAATTTGCATTGTTGAGAAATGATCGATCATGTACAGCTGTATCACAGTCTAATCTTACATGTTCAACATTCTGAGTTGATTGTGCCAGCAAATATAACTGTTCAAATTCAATCGAGTTAATTGTCAATATCAACGTGGAGAGGTCATTCAGATTAGCAATAGGGTCATGTTGAATCTTCGAATGAGCTCGACTACTAGTTACAAACCCACTGAAATATCGAATAGATGGAATATATCGAAGAATATTTGAATAGAGATAGGCAAATGATAGGCAACACTTCGATTCCATCTCGAAATATTCGATTGTAGAAACTAACTTGTCGTTTTTGTTGTCATAATTTACGGGAGTGACTGTAACTCGACCAGAACATTGTAACGAATTCTTTATTTGACAATATTTTAGTTGCGGAATTCTAAAAATAAAGTCAATAATGGATGTGATACTTACATTTGTGGCGTATTTGAATACAGTTAAAGAACGAAGCGTTACAAATTGCTTGGGATCCACTGTTCGTATCAAATCGTAATCATAACATTTCAGAGATCTGAGTTGTTCCAAGCAAATAGCTGATAAAATTATGTCGAGATTGTTTAGATCATTTATCAATGAACAATGTAATAATAAATGATAATCAGTTAACAGTCGATTGAAATAGACATTTAAATTATAAAATGAGTCGAGTAATTCATTAACATTTAAATATTCAAATATGGAAATATGTATTTCGCTGCTCAAGTCTTCGAATGCAGTTGTTTTCGTTTGCGTCATAGGATGAGAGCAACCTTCTTCTGTGACTACACAAATATACTCGTCATTTATTATTCTTTGACGGGCTTGATAAGAAAAAAAAACCGATGTTGATTGTTCTTCTTTCTCTCTGCTTTTCACATTTTGTGTGCGAAAAACCGGTTACATGTGTTTGCAAGCATACTCGCAAGCTATTGCGAAAGACACCTGAACTCTTTATTGCAGAAGCAGTGAAAAAAAAACAAATGAGTTAGATATAGAAATTTTACGCAATTCCTGAGTAAAATCTACGGGTCATTTATGAAGCAGCAGCACCACCGGACACGAGACAAGTGGACAGTCCTAAGATGACATCGAGTGTAATGAATGTGCCTCGAGTGACCTCAGCTAATTGCGGATGACAATAAGTTGAAAGAGTTGCATTTTCATACTGCATAATATTCATTGAATTCGATGCAGAAAATCTTGCATAATTACTGTATATTGTCCAAACTAAGAAGAATAAAGCAAGAATTGTCACAAGAATTATCAAACAGGTAATTAACTTTTTCCATTTGAGTTTACAAAAAAGAAATATCATTGGAACTGCAAGAAATAGTAACATTCCAGTTGAACCAGACACTAAGTTAAGCCATGGAAACATTGGTTGAACAGGACATTTATTAAAATGCATTGCTCCCATAACAAGTTGGATAATAAAAAGAGTTAGAAATCCAAGTGAGAGCATTACTGCAATGGTGATCATCACGATGGTCGAATAGGAATACATGATTGTATTGAAATTAAACTTTGAATGTGCGTCGACCTTTTCTAGTAAAACGTATTTTTATATTGATTGTCATAAAATGTTCTTTGGTTTTTTCCTAGGAAAAAGCGTTGGAGTAAATTAGTCATTTAAGTTTTACAGCTATGATTCAATTCGATCGAACGATGAGTTTCTCCAACTATTTGCTGTCTTACGTTGAAAACATCATGAATACAACAAGTAACAGAGCGAACATCACATATCCGTTTTCAATCATATCATGACGAAAGTATTGCATGAAGGTGAAGCCTCTGCTACTCATCATGAACTTCCACACTAACGTTTTGTTGACAGAAATTGACTTTACATCAAAATTGCGCGTGTTTAATTGTAGTTATATAAAGTCAATAGTATGATGTATTTTGGAATACAGCATTACTGATACAGAGCTTCTTCCGAGCACTTCAACTTGCGATACTATGCGAATATGAATTCAATAAATCTAGGTTTGCTATAGCATGGAAATGTTCATTCAAAATATAAATGTAATTATAACTGCGGAGAATGCACAATTGATACATTTGATTGTTTGGCAATGAGCGCCATCTTTCGATGAAATTTGTTTATAGGCAGTTGACAAAAACCAGTTGTAATGCGATTGATTTTTTCTAACTATCTAACGCGTGCGCTAATATGAATGCATCTACGATACAAATTTATCTGACATAAAGTAGAACGACGGCCTATGATGGGTAGTCGTTATGTAGACAATGCTTCGGAGTTCGAAAGCATCAATCGAAACCCAATATTTGAGTATGAAGATTTACCACTCCAGTCTATAGAAGAAACATTACAATGTATTATATCTGACATTCCTTGCATCATGGATTACGTCAAAACAGCTAAGAATAAATGCAATCGTGCTTCAAACATACTAACACTTGATGAATCCGCAGCCATCTATCTCTATTCAATGTCATCACCAGTTTATAATCAGCTCAACAGTACTCTTCGAGCTCACGATCGTACAACATCAAAACTATGGTTTCCTTTCCTAAAACTCCTCACAACGGCTCTCAAAAGATTACCTTCAATCGAGACTACTGTTTGGCGAGGAGTCAGTTATGATGATACTTTGGCATTCGTTGAAAATGATGTACAATATTGGTGGAGTGTAAACTCATGTTCTAAGGCGCCTAATATTGTCAAACCATTCTTGGGAGAAAAGGGTACTATATTTGCTATTGATGTCATCAATGGCAAAGACATTTCAACGTTTGCCGCAAATTGCGAAGAACTAGAAGTTATTCTTATGCCCGGATCTCGTGTACGCCGCAAAAATGAATCACTTTGTCTGTCCGATCATATCATTCTTCACTTGGAAGAAATAAGTTCTGACAAGTAAATCAACACTTAACTTCTTTGAACATTATTAACAGTATTTTTTAGTGACACACAATTAGGATCGAACTATTTGTTTGATATAGTGAAGCAAAATTATCTGTACAACAGTCGCATCGAACGTTTGATAAATCCGACCAAATCGTTTCCGATCGAACAAAGTTACATCAATTTATCAGTAGTTACTTCTCAAGAACAACACAAACGAGAACAAAAATTGCGCGGCGCTGCATACAGTGACCACATGTTAAGTTCTTATGAAGAAATCTATGGTACGAAGAGTCCAATAGATATCCAAAATATTTTTCAATCTTGTGAGAAAGACATGAATCAAGTTCTTGTATTTGGTCGAGCGGGTATCGGAAAATCAACATTCTGCCGTTACGTCACTTATCAATGGGCAAAAGGTGCATATTGGCCACAGTATGACTTACTTGCTCTGATTCCATTGCGTCGTTTGACCGCCAATCGTTATCCTCCAATGACATCTGGTCAGAATTATTCTCTTATTGACGTGTTGAAAAAAGAAGTATTCTCATGTGAACTTTCCGAAAGAGAAAATGCTTTGTTAGAAAAACAATTCGATGTTAAGAATATCCTTTGGGTGTTAGACGGCTACGATGAAATCATACAAAATGAACCAGGACATTTAGAAGAGTTGTTGGAGAAGTTACTTAAAACTCCTCATCATATTGTTACATCGCGTCCGTATTTAAATACTTTATCATATCATGCACAAATGGAAATCACTGGTTTCACAGATGAAAATATTGGTCAATACATACAACAATTTTTCGATCAAATGAAAAACGAAGTCGAGGATGCGACAGTCAAACATCAAACTTTAATGAAATTTTTGAAATCAAATCCTAGCATATGGGGTGTCGCTCATATTCCAGTCAATTTGGAATTGATTTGTAGTCTCTGTAGCAATCAAGATTGGTCAAAGACAGAACATCTATCGATAACAACATTGTATAGCATGATAACAGAATGGCTATGTCGTCGCTACTTAAAAACATCGAATGACAAGATTTCTCAATTGCCCGACCATGAGCTTTACCAATGTTGTAGAGGTGAGCTGAAATTTTTGGAAAGACTCGCTTTTACTGCAATGGAAAACAATACAATCATTATCCGACCTACTCTACTAAAAAGAACTTTAAGAGATACCAATATTATCACTCAAGATCATCCACACATTCTTAATATTGGCATTCTCAAAAGCTTTGCCAAAGAAGGGGTCGGCACTCAAATTGAAATGAATAAAGAATACTATTTCGTTCATCTCAGCTTTCAAGAATACTTTGCAGCACGCTATTGGACAAATACTCTCAGTGAATCGTCAGCAGAGAATGTCCTTGAATTCGTTCAGCGTCATAAGTATAACCAACGATATGCATTGGTATTTACTTTTATGGCTGGTTTACTGAGTGAAAACGATGAAATGACACTTTTGAATACCTTTTGGAATCGGATTCTACAAGAGCCATTGGATTTAGTGGGATTACGACACATCGAGCTTATTGTCATTTGTCTTGGAGAAATATCTTCAAATTCTAACTTTCCTCGACGACACGATTTCCTCTTGCCGATAGCCGCGTACATGCAGCATAATCTGTTGGCGAAAAACCAAATTATCCTACAGCATCTGGCACACGTATTACGTAAAGCCCCCTTTGTGATATGTGAAGAGATAATGATCACTACGCTGATCGCTTTACTCCAAAGGAACGAAGCAGATGTCAAAACAGAAGTATTACAATTTATATGTTCATTGAACGTGTCCAATATACCGAGTCGTCTTAGCAATTCCATAAATGCTTTACTAACTGATAACAGTGACGAAGTTAAAATCTATGCATGTGACACTATTGGAATACTTGGTGAACAATCAGCAACGTTGGAGATACTAAACAGATTAGTAAATTTACTAGATGATAAGAACGACAGGGTCAGACGAAGTGCGTGCTATTCTTTGGGACGAATGGGTGAAAAAGTAGGGACAGCAGAGTTTGTTAGTAAAATATTACATACAGTAGGAAATGAAAGTTGTAGTATTCATTTAGATAGTTTCTCTATTCTTATCACTATGCCGGAAAAAGTGATTACAGAGGAAATAGTTAACTTACTGGTAAATGCACTTAACAATGAAAACGATTTTATTAGGAGCCATGCGTATGACATTTTGATGAAGATATCTAATCAGTTAGTAGCAACTGAAATGATTAGTAGATTGACGACTTTATTAGAAGATAGACGTGATGATGTCGTACTGCATGCTTGCACACTTCTTGATAAGATCGGTGAAAAGGCAGGTGTACCTGATGTAATCAATAAATTAATGACGAAAGCATTGAAACATGAGAGCTTCCTAATCAGAGTGCTGGCATGCTCCACTCTGAGCCAAATAAGTCAAGGAATACTTCCGAGTGAGACCCTATCCATGGTGTTGGCTGCATTAAAGGAGAAGAGAATGACCTTGAAAGAGAATGCGTTCTATGTTCTCGCACACATGGGTCAGAATGCAGCGACAGCTGAAACAATCAATGAATTAAAGAAGGCAACTAAGCATGAGAACGAATATATTAGAGCAAGCGCGTGCAACGCTTTCATGCATATGAAAGAAAGCGTACCAATAATCGAAATAAACAGTATATTAATGAATGCATTAGATGATGAGAAAGAATGCGTTAGAGCTAGTGCATGTAAAGCTGCCGAGAAAGTACTGGCAAGACAAGAAACTAGTGAGCTGCTGATGAAACTAAAGGGTGCGCTTAACGATGAAAGTTTTACTGTTAAGCTTGCAGCGTTTGATACTCTTTGCACAGCTGGAGAGATAACAGCGGCAACTGAGATAATCGATGCGTTGATAAACCTGTTAGAAGACAAAAATGAACATATCAGAAGAGATGCCCACCAAGCTATTGTCAAAATCAGTGTAAAAGCGACAACGACTGAAGTGATCGACAAACTAGTGAAGTTACTAGAACATAGGGACGCACAGGTTAGAGGGTCGATGTGTCACGCTCTTGAAGGTATGTGTGAGAAAGTGGCAACTAATGAAGTGATTGAAAAAGTTGTAGGATTATTAAAAGATCCAGATACAAATGTTAGAGCAAGCGCATGCACTACATTGTGTCTCTGGAGTCGATTAATACCGATATCATGGGTGGCTGACGATTTCATCCATGTATTAGGAGATGAAGATGAACATGTCAGGCACTTAGCATGCATTGCCATGCAGAATATCTGTGAGCAAGAAACCACATTTGAAGTGATTCCGAAGCTGGTTAATGTACTGGAAGATGAAAATATGCATGTTAGAGATTCAGCATATTTTCTTCTCGGTTGCATGCGAGAAAAAGTCGCAACGACTGAAGTGATTGCCAAACTTGTAAATGCGCTCAATGATGAAAATCGTCATATAAGAAGTAGAGCATGCCAGGCTCTTTTTCAAGTAAATGAAAAGATCCTGGTGACCAAAGGTATTGAAACGATAGCGAATGCGCTGATTGATGATGACATTCAAGTGAGAGCCAATATGTGTTTTCTTCTTCGGCAGTTAAAGGAACAACTACCAAGCGTATCGATTAGTAGATTGATTGTTCCGCTTAATGGAGATGATCGTCATGTTTCACATGATGTTGCAGAATTTATTGGAAAAAATTTAAACTCTTCCGAGATTATTTCCGAACTAGGTTCGAGTAAAATTTTAGAACTTTGTGAGTCGAAATTCGCTTCCATTTGTTTAAAAAATGTGTCTGAGGAGCAGTTAATCCAACAATTTATAGCTGAGGACAATGATTGTTGGTATCGTGCAATAACAAACTTGGCATTAGTAAGAGAAACTGCTATCGTAGATAAAAATGATACCATCGTAGTATACGGCAGAAAAGGACCACTGGAATTGCCTATTTCGTCATCCAGACATGACAAACTAGTTGAAGCTTTTAAGGATCAAAGAGAAAAACTGCATCTATTTTATCCTTGTAATTCTCTTAGTAAATGATAACTGTATCAAGAAAGTATGAATATCGTTTAGTAGAATTAGTGACAGATGATGTTTGTTTGTTTATTGTATGTTTTTCTATAAATATTAAAGTAAAAGCTTTTCTTAACTAACAAGGGACACTCTAAGAAGGCAATTGTGCATAATTCACAATACTCATATTCGTGTACCCACCCTCAAGTCGATTTCTTTTCGACCTACGAAAAGATATCATTCTCCTCTGATTCAGATTTTGTAAAGCATCACTTTCGTTTGGCTTATTTAAACAATAAAAGCATGATATTTTCTTCTATGAAGTATAATGAAGCGGTGACTTCATTGACATTCACTTTCATCCATTAATCATGAAAACCTTGAAATTCGACTCGTATTATAGAAAAGGATCGTTTTTAACAATTACAAATCGGCATACTGTCACAGTTTTGGTTCTCGTTCATATGTTGTTATCGATAGTTATGAGTGTGCTAATGAGATATTGTTGTAAAAAGATCATTGAATAACTATCTTATCTATAATGAATGTTGAAATCTCTATGTGTCGAAAAATCGGCTCGCAAAGTTCATAACAAATATAATGCAAACTTACATATCCCGTTTTTTCTCTTCACGCTTGCTTCAATCTTATAAGAATAAAAATATGATGTTAAATTAGTAACGATTATTACTTAGCATATTTTCATCACAATTTACAAGAGCTGGATTTTAATGTTTCTAAATATCTCTTCTACACCTTTATTTACACCTCCGCTTTTTTTATAGTTTTGATACTGTTAAACTGTGTCGTCTTCTTTAAATTTTCATATCGCTCTACTTTTCAACAGGCAAACAGAAAAGATTCTTTTTCTGATTACCTATCAGAATGCTCTTTTCTCAACTTGAAGTTAAGATCTCTTACATTTCAATTTTCTACTCATTACTTGAAAATTTGTTTACTTAGGGTAATTACTTTTACCTTAAGATAAAAAAAAGCATTCGAATTCAAAATATTAACTCACAGTGCTGATTCAATTTAAACTTTTTATTTCGCTTAATCGAAAGATTTTGTCATCGAATGAATAGAACGGTTTGCGGCAGTTCGACAATTATACAACGTAATGATGAATCACACTTTTGGAGAGCAAAAATTAATATATCATGAAGATACCTCTACCGCTATTTTTAATTGAGTTTTGCCAAATTACACGCTAATTAGAATTTCTTTCTGCAAAGAATTAAAAAGTCAAGCGACTGCTCCATAATACACAATAGATGTTGCCTAGAGTGTATAGCTCACTCGCATAACTCACAGGCAGTTAAACTATAGGCCAATCTTATTTTCATTTATTCGTATCCTTACGTTCGCTACTATTGTTGTTAAAACATTTCGTGTATGGAGGGTTCTTCAAGATTTGATTTGGCTTAAGTAACAACAATATAAATGACCATTAAAAGTCTCTTTTTTTGGCTACTGGAGCATATTTACCATTACAATATTTTCATACCCGATGAAAATGATTACGATGATGATGATAATGACGATGCAGCGAAAGATCCTGCAATCATCCTTAAACATCAATTATATTCCACTCGATTGTACATTCCTCTACTTATCAGTAAGCGTGAAATACATTGTGATTCGTTTGAATATCAATTTTTTCTGTCAATCCCCTAGCAATCTTGTATATTCTGATTTTAATTGCTGTGATCAGTCCACAAGATCGATCGATTACAGTCTCGAACATTACTCCAACACTTTTCAATCAGCTCTCTCTCGAACATGCGGACACACTGTCTTGTCCATGCTCAAATATTGCTATGCCATACAAAGCATTTGTATCGCATATAATCTACTTTCATCCGGTGTGTTCGAGTGTATATGTGAGCAAAGAATGGATACAAGCACTTTATCTCACCTATGCCAGTTCGTTGTTGGTGAATGATTTTCGAACAACTGCTAAATCTCAAGTAAGTCAGCATTATTGAAAGCAAATGATTNATCGCATCAAAAGTCAACGTCGGCAAGGAAATCGGTTGAAAAAAGAAGTAAACAAGTGCAACTAACACTTTTATTTGAAATCATGAAGGAGAAAAACATAACGTCATCATTCCATATCCTTTACATCCAACACCTGCTGTGGTAAACCAAGCACCTTCGATAGCCACAATGAATTTTCCCGTTCCAGTTTTGATGCTCAACAGTGACATCTTGATCAAGATCATAGCGACTGAAAATCGAACCTGTTGTATGATCACTCGTTGGAATAATTCGACCATCCATTGGATAGACATCAAATGACCAAGTACAACCTTCATTCGGTGGATAGATCCTTATCTTTAGAGATATTATCGTTTGTGGAACAAGTAAACTTGCATCGATTCGATGGTGCGATATATTCGACAGATTGGTTTATGCATGAATTCAAAGAAATTCCTGTGATACTCGTCGAATGAGTATATGGAGGCGATGGTGTTGACACTTGCTGGTTTCTCGTCGTTGCATAAAGTATTATTATGGTTAATGCTAAGATAAGAGATACAACTGCAATAGCAACACTAATTATCATAATGAATTTATTTCGGCATTGCTTTTGTCTTTGGTCGACTGAATCAGTCCAAGATGGAGCAGCGCACGAAATACTCATATTAGAAAAATTCATTCTTTATAAATTATATGTTACTATCGATCAATATGTACTACACATTGAATAGAAGTTAACGAAGCGCATCTTCAAATTGGGCGTCACTTTTCTTTTTTAATTTGTACGCTTTACGAGCATAAACAGAATGTTTTTCTCATTTATTTTTCAACCATTCGAATTGTAAAGGAGAATATGGCGACAGGAAAGTACTCGTCAATCATTTGCTACAAAAATTAAGGATCAATAAGAAGCTAGTTTCTAGAAGATCTTCGTCGGCGAACTGATATTCATCGAGGTAATTTCATAGGGAGGACGATGACGGCGAGTGTGCACGACAACACGGAATATCTTGAAGACTAAATTCCGGTGCGCTAAAAGTTGTTAATAGAAGCAATATAAATTGAATCTCTCATGGTAATCAACATTCGCATTGGCCAAAAAGACATTATCAATCTGGTTCCAGTTACGAATGATATTCGCAGTAAATAATCATTTGCAGGAACAGAGTCAGAAAGTGTTCGCAAATCCAGACCAGCTCTATGCTATCATAATTAATACGTCAGATTTAACAGAAGGTCTAACTCTCCAGATACTGTTTGCTTCTAGATAATGAAACTCAGACTGGTGCTCAATTGGCTGCGTGAATACATTCGTTACGACAATCTGTTCATACATGATGAAAATGATGATTGATCAACTTCTTCACTACTCTATTGTCAGCGAACACAACTTCGCCAATTACCATTATTGTACCAATAAGTGGATTCGATCCTCGATCAGTGAATCATGGTAATATGATTATGTCGGCGTACAAAACTTACTTCACATTCATCGATCCATGGTCTGATCTCAAGGTGTCTATTGCAATTACAAAAGCAATGATCTATGATAATAACTTTTCATGCTAATTGAATATGAATTGCACCACTCAAGCTGGATTTGTTCAACCAAATTCAACCACAATTAGAATTGTTGAATTATCCGATGTTCACTGACAACCAGTCGATAGCAATTGACTATAGAGCATACTTCGACCAATTTTTACCTTCTTCATACTCATATAAATACTCTACAGCTGAACTGTCTCGTGGTTGGACTTTTTGGTGGCTTGACATTTGTGCTCAAATTGATATGCCTTAATATTATGTATTTCTTTCACAAAGTCCATCAATACAAGACTAATCGAACGAAAGCGGATGAATTGACCTCGTCAATCTCAATGATAATCGTGTAGAGTATCGCCTTAGCAGTGGGTACTGAATGTGCTGAGAATGTTACTACTTATTCACATCCGCGGCGTCACCAACTTTAGCAAACACGCAAGATACTTTTTTCTGAATTTGAATTGTCATCGGTGTCTTGTTATTGCTGCTAGGGCACAATGTTTGTTCTGATTATTTTACTTTGAAAGAATGCGCAGAAATATTGTATATGATGCATAGATGTTTGAGTACGGAGAATAACGTTTCCAAGGAAAATTCTCTTGTAGAATAAACAGACATAACGACTCTTGCGACAACTAATGCGATCCTTTCGACTACAGCAGTTGAACACTCTTATTCTCATGCAATTCTAAAACGATTGTAGTCAGTTGCAGATTGGAAGATTTTGGAGAGAACGTGAACAATCTTATTCTTTTCTCTCCTATAATATGGCACTGGTCGCTGACATTCGGAAATAAGAATGGAAGCTTCGGCAAAGAAAAAATGACTTGTTCCACTGGAACATTTACTTCACTGACTTCCGTGACGACGGCTGACTTCATTCACGACCGTGCAGTAAATCCTGCCGTTGCCAATGAACATGCCCTTAGTCTAGGTATTTGGCTTGGTGTCGACAATAGAACTTTTTCTGCCATCGATCATGTTCTCAACAGGGATCCGTACTACTTCAGCACGACGGCAACATAGTCATTTTATTAAACGCATGTACACATCGTGCGCATCCAGTTTTGAACAAAAGTTATTCATCAATTGATCTTTGATAATCTGATGCTGAAGATGTACTTGTTAGCAACACTAACACACTAGCGAACGATCTCACAGAATATTGCGTGTCTACTGGTCATTATCAAGTAATTTGGCGGTTTTCATGAAGCTTGAAGCGATGTGAGGCGTAATTTATTGATGAGATAAAAAGTAAAAGTAAAGCTATATGAGATAGTTATTCATCACAGCTATGATTGATGGGACGATCATCAATAACCATTGAAGATTGTGATCAGCAGCAGCAGATGGTATTTGTGCGCTTGTTGTTGTTGCTGATGAACTTGGAATGCTTGTCGAACTGGATAAGCGCGTCGTTGAACCTACATGAAGTCAAAGCTAAAATATTCCAATGAAAGTTTCGTATTTACTTGAAACTATTGTACGAATTGTTGACGACGCTGTTGTTAGGCGAGTAGTGATTATTGTTGTGCTTGTCGCATTCGCTATTGAAGTCAAGTAAATATAGAAGCAGTTTAAATTGAAAACTTACAACAAAGGGCCGAGAATTTTTGAGTTCGATTATTTTTAAAATCAGGAACATAAATTGAATAATCTGGACCAAATTTAAAATTATACGGACTATATAATTGATTTGATGATGATCCAGCTGTTAAAGTGCCAACAATAAGACTGCCAACCGTTGCTCCGACTTGCCATTTCACAATCGAACTAGTTGAAAAACATAAAATATATAAATTTTTGTTTCCATCTCCAATCACTGATATTGGATAATAAAGCACACTTAAACTCGAACCAGCTACACCTGTTTGTCCAGCTACTGTTGTTCCATTCTTTGCTCCTGATAACCATTGTTGAATGCGATGATTATATGTATCAGCAACATATAATGTATTCGCATCCTTTGTATCAACAAATAATCCAAATGGGTAGTTAAACTGGTCAGCATTTGATCCATTACTTCCACCGACAATGATACCTGTTGTGGGTGATTCCCAACGAACAATTCGATGATTATATGTATCAGCTATCCAGATAAACATCGTATTTGGATCAAGAAACATTCCGCAAGGTGCGTTCAACTGATTTGCGCCATAACCCTTTCCATATCCACCTACAACGACCGTTCCATTCATATTCGTAGTTGACCATTTTACGACACGACCAAGGTTCACATCAAGAATGTAAAGATTTCCATTGGTATCACCTTGAATGCCAAGGACTGTAGGAAAAAAAAACAACACTCAAATTTAATTTCTTCTACAAATATAAACGCTCACTATAAGATGACTGATTGAAAACTGGTCCTGTCACTGCATTTATAAACGTCCGTTCGACTGTCGAATTGGGCCATATACGGCGTACACGACCATATCCACTATCTAATACATATACAACATTGTTTTGATCGACATATAAATCTCGAGGTTGGTTAAGATTTGTGCTATCAGTCAGTGTTGTAGCACTCGATGCCCACTGTAATGTGAGACAATTCTCACCGATTGCGAAACATTTTTCCATTGAACATCTGCAAACATCTATTTGTATGGAATTATCATAGACCAGAATAAGAGTAACTTACGTGAACAGAAGAAAAATGATGAAATATAGTTGCTTCATATTCGTCTAAATGAGAATATTCAAGAATGCAAGCGATTTTATACCATCGAGTGCAATGAGAATTTCTAATGAGTAAAAACAAGTAATCATCTTGAAAAGAAAGGAAGTGTTGTTTTCAAATTATTCATTTGAACAACGAGAAGCAAAACAAAAAAAAGAATATCATCTACTGAATAAATCTCCCGAATTGTATCAGAAGACTTACATGAAAGTTTAACCGACGTGAATCGTCACCCTCTATATTTCCTGAATTGTACATTTATGTTTGCTCCTGATAATCATCAAATCATAGTGAATTCAAATTATTGACGTTTCCAGGTAGAAAAACCACGATGTTATATATTATTCTATTCGTGAGGAAGAAAAGCGCTTCACTGAGAAAATTAATTGAAATCAAAGTCATGTCTGTCGAATTCTCTTTGCTCTACTTGTTCTGCTATGATTTCACTCAAAAATACTCTCGGTTTATATTTATGGAAAGTTAGTTATATTACTTTTTAGTATAGACGTGTTTTGCTCATTTCAAATCGAGTGCGGATATCTTCTCATGATGAGAGAATAACAGAAAAGAAAACATTTTTCCTCTGTAAATATCAACTGTTGAAATAGGGCAAATATATCTACACTCGCAAATTCTTAAATGATGATGATGTTTTTGTTTCTCATTTTGAGGAGGATGAGTTGCGACCCCGCAAGTAGCTATTGTTATGTATGGATGAGATACAGAAGAGTTTATTGCACATACTAGTAAGTTGCTTTACTGTTAGCTCTCCAATGAATTCGATATAAGTTGAGTCCAGAATGGAAGTATATGGAGAACGACTTATCATGCTCAAATTTGATTTATCAAGTCCTCATCTAGAGATCATCATAAGATACTGTTAACATTTATTATGAGAGTGCATATTATATTTGGACACCTCGCCTCCAAGAAAATGATTACTGTCGAATCGAAAAAAATTTGTGACAATATTCGAGCGCTTTTGTATAATCACCCATATTCTTATACACGACACCGATGTTGATATAGGATGTAGCCAGATGAGGATGATTTGCAGGAAGTGATTGTTTCCAAATTGAAAGAGCTTTGCGATAGTATTCAAGTGCTTTTGAATGGTCACGAATATTACTATATACACCACCGATGTTGTGGTAAAGGGCCGCCAAATCAGGATGATTTGCAGGAAGTGACTGTTGTCGAATTGAAAGAGCTTTCTCGTAGTATTTAAGTGCTTCTTGATAGTCACTCATATGATGATATACCAAACTGATGTTGCTGTAGGACGTGGCCAGATGAGGATGACTTGCAGGAAGTGATTGTTGGTCGATTGAAAGGGCTTTCTCGTAATGCTCGAGTGCTTTTTGATATTCACCTGTACGACTGTACACACTACCAATGTTATTGTAGAATGTGGCTAGATGAGGATGGTTTGCAGGAAACGCTTGTTCATGAATTAAAAGTGCCTTCTCAAAATATATGAGTGCTTCTGGATAATCACCCATATTCTTATATATCAAACCGATGTTGCTGAAAGATGTGGCTAGATCAGGATGATTTACAGGAAGCGATTGCTGTTGAATTGAAAGAGCGCTCTGAAAATATCTGAGTGCTTTGGGATACTCACCCGTCTGAGTATATACACTACCAATATTGGTGTAGGATGTGGCTAAAACAGGATGATTTGCAGGAAGTGAGTGTTCCCAAATTGAAATAGTACTCTGAAGGTATAAGACTGCTTTTGGATAGTCACCCATATAATGATACACCAAGCCAATGTTATTGTAGGACGTGGCCATATCAGGGTGATTTGTAGGAAGTGATTTTAGTTCAACTGAAAGGGCTTTCTCATAGTATTCGAGTGCTTTTTGGTATTCACCCATATGCTCATACACGCCACCGATGTTGTTGTAGGACGTGGCCAGATGAGAAGGATTTGGAGAAAATGATTTTTCGCAAATTTCGACTGCTCTTTGACAAAGCTCTATTGCTTTCAGATATGCGCCCTGATGGTCCTGGACGGTAGCAAGTTGATAATAGATTAGCCATTTATCATTATCATTCGACGTTTGACTTAACAAGACATTGTAAATTTCTTCAGCTTTCTGATTCTGACTCAGCTTGATTAGCAGTTGACCTAATCTACTCCAACCATCTCCATCTAAATAATTCTCTTGTCGAATATAATGGGTAAGTGTACTCAGTTCTTTGTCAACGTCGCTAGTTAGTAATATATTCACTTCGTAGATTGGGTGATCAGTACAAAGCGGTTTGATCTCATGTATGCGAAATACACTAGGCATGGTAAACAACACTTCAGCTTCAACGCTGAAGTTACTAACATTTTCAATAAAAGCAAATGGTGTGCTTGTTTGAGTAGGATCAACCTGTATGTTAAAAAGAATTCCCACTAGATCAGGATTGTATGCATTACTGTCTGCATAATGATAGGCAAAGTCGCGTTTCGTGGAGGTAGATAAGAAGTAGTTGAATGACATCAAGCCACCTTTAGTCTTGGATAGTTCTTCAAAGTCTTCTCTAGACAATCCTTGTCCACGATAAACGGTGAAGATGTTCGAAAAAGACGTATTAATAATTTGCTCTCTATGCAATTGTTCGATGTGTCGATGAAGATCAGTGATGAAGAATCCCATTCGCACGAGGATTTCACCATCTATTACTCGTAAGGCACGATTGAGCATGGAGTGTAAGATAGTACCTCTAGTATACCACCAAATAGGTTCATTTGCAAGGTAATCATTCACTAATTGATCAACGTCGCTGGATTGTTTACTATTGATAGCTAATGCAGTGGGATAATCATGGATAAATTGTTTTATATGTTCGTCGCCAAAGTTTATGGTTAATAAGACTTCCTTGAAGAGTTGCGTATACATGAACGAGGGATTGAGTTGGTCCAGTCTTCTTTCTGATGCCAAGAAACTCATTGGCATAGCATTCTGTTCGTACCGATTAAATATATTTTTTACTGCTTCATAGAGTGACTTTATGTCTATGAAAACACCCTTTATCTTAGTCGAAATTGTTGTCCATGTTTTATGACGACGTTGGTTTTCACAAAAGATGAAAATCGAATCCACTTGAGGCATATCATGAATACAAGGTACAAGGTATCGTCCAACTAGATCAGAAAGGATTATGTATACTTTATTCTGACTACTATTCAGAATAAACTCGACACATTCGTCATTATCAGTAAACGTATTTACATGACTCACAATGCGTTCAAGTTGACTAATTGTATATTGAAAGTCTTTGTTGTTGTGATCCACAGAATCGTGCAACCATATCGTAACAACGCTAGGCATCTTATGAACAGCAATGAGTCGACTATTGTCGCCCTTCATTTGAAATTGTGACTGTTTCTCGGCTTGCCATTGACACTATATATCGAATCGTTTCAATGTGTAGCTAGTTTTGCAAAAAATTTCTCTCTCCCGGCTCCCTTTTTCCAACGTGAATGAGATGATTTTTTTTCGTCATATTTACGTGTAGTCAGTATATGTTTTGCCAACAACCGAGTGACGATAAGAACGTTACAATCCGTAGTTTGTTATCATCAAACAAGATAGAGTCAAGTAAACTAAAAAAAAACTTTCATAAAGAAGACATCCTTCTCACCAAATACAGCAACATGTAATCTACATTACGTAATCGTGATGATAGATAAAATAACGCGTGCTAAAAAGATTTAGTTCCTATAGAAGTATATTTTTTGTGTTGATCTTCCGAACGCTTAGCTTACAGAAAAAACAGCATAGCCTCATGCTGGTTTCTCCCAACACTAAACATTTTATTGTGCAAAAATGAAACTTGGGATTACTGTATGTCTTTTTTAGATTTCTATAAAAATGAAAAATCCGAACAGGGAATCATGCAAACACCCCCGAATTTTCACAGTGACCGAAAATGCCTGCGGAAAAACGACAGTAAGACCTTTGCAGAAAAAAATACAGACAAGGTAATTCTGGACATGTCGATGAGAATGCAATCGAGAAATAACCAGATTTTACTACCAGCTTCAGTGTAATAGTGACTAAATTTACATAATGGGGTCCATCAATCGCCACAATCTATAACCATAAGCCGAACAAAAGGTAATTGTTCGTTTACTTACTAGATTAAGTCTACTGAAGTTCTGCACACACCAAATGCTTGATCCTCTTTTGATGAAACTCAACATATAGAATATGAAACCAAACATTACATACAATACATTCTTCTTAATCAGAATACTAAAATCACTCACTTAGATCAGAGATGACACTATACTTCACCTCTATAATAAACAACGTGTTTCCAAAAGCTCCTCTTGGTTTAGACTACAAGGTGACAAACCTTGAGATAAACCATGCATATCTTGTTTCCTGGTCATTTGCTCTTACTTTGTAGTTTGTTTAGGTTGCTGATTAGCTCCTCGGTGCAATCCTATATCCGTTTCCATTGCTTAGTACTAACACCCCATAATAACAAATTGAATGCGTCTAATGTTGGAATCTTGATTCGCCAGGTATACTCGAATTCCTACTAATAGCATGATTGCATTCAACGTTTTATCGAGAAAACTTTCCATTGGATAGAGATGGGTACATCGCCGCCAAACTACCACCTTTCCACTACTCTTGTTCTCGCAAATATTTGTCTACCTTGCCGCGTGTCACTATTTTCTCCGGTTTTCAAGATGTTCGATGGTATAGCCATAGTAGAATCGGCTGCTAATGATGTTCCGACATGTGCTGGAGCTTCTCTTGTTACTTGAAAGCGAGACAAGCGTAACTAACATACTATATACAAAATAGAAGTGCAGTTTGTAAAAACAAAACCACATGTCCCTCGAGACTGTATTGAACAGTACGAGGAAATTACAAAAATCCAGTAGATGTCTAGTTTGAATTCGAAATACAAACCTTGGTATAAAACCAGTTCTTCAGACAGACATAAGCCTACTTGAGCATGCTTCGTTTTCATATTCACTCATAAATACATATGTGTGCGTGAAATATAATTAAGCAAGAGTGAAATAAATTTATTTATATCATTAGAAAAGAACAGAGGGATACGCTATATACACGCTGAATTAAAACTGCGTATTTCTCCTGTTCCCACAGTTGATTTTCGAAGTTATGATACAAAACTTAATTTGGATTGATGATCGAATTCACACTAGACAACTAATGTGAGCAATGCATTTAAATCAGCTGAACACGTTGAATTCTATGATTTCCAGTATCAGCAATATAAAGAAATGTTTCATCGTCATTCAGAGCGATTCCATATGGAGAAGAGAGCATAGTAGCACTATTACCCGAAGACCCACTTGGGTCGCCAATCATAGTGACACCCGATTGTGCACCTTGACTCCAGCGTTGAATTCGATGATTGCCGCTGTCTGCGATATACAAGGCTTTTATCTTTGTCGACACATATACGGCAAAAGGCGTATTCAGTTTGTTGTTCGATGTGCCTTGGCCATTTCCACCAGCCACTGTCGTGCCATTATTCGGATATCCACCAAACAATGAAAACCGTTGTATTCGATGATTATTCGAGTCACTTACATAAATATAAGAATTATTCTCATCCAAAAATATGCCACGTGGTGTATAAAGAGAAAACGAATTGCTACCAGCAACATTCGAGCCAGCTATAATAGTTCCATTGGGATTTCCTGGTTTCCACTTCAAAATACGATTGTTATTGGAGTCGGCAATATAAAGAGTGCCATTACTGTCAATTACGATTTCTCCTGGTGTATTCAGTGCATTCGTTCCAGTCCCACTAGTGCCACATATACCCGCCACAACTGAAGGCATTGGGGTTGTAACCTGCATATTAGTGAATTTTATTACACAATGTTTATTATAATCACTAACGTATAAATTCGATCTTTGATTTGGATCAATCGCTACACCAAAAGGTAAACCAAGATAATTTCCACCACTCCAAGTTTGCGCCACAAGTGACACATTGTTCGTAGTTATATTATAATCATAAAGGCGAATCACTTGACCTCTACCTGAGTTAGCCACGATTATGGAATTATCTGTGGTTTTGTTAACAATAATACTGTAAGGATAATTCAAACCGGTTGTAGAGCTATTTGCGATTTGTGTAGTAGTGCTTGCGATTGTTGTGCCCATTGACAATGAGAGTGCTTGAATAAAAATAGCTTATGGTTAAACATGGGAAAAACAAACGTGCACACTTACGTCCACATTGATTAAACTGTAAACAGGTGAAAGTAAGATCTGCTCGGCACATACTCAAGTTTTGTTGGCAAGTGGAGCCAAGTATAGGTGATTGGGCAGAACACATTAATATCGTTGGATTCCAGTACGTATTTTGAGGACATGTCCACGTGAAATTTCCTCCACAAACCAGATAGCGGTCTTCTGGAAGAGTTGAAGAGCATGGGTGGCCATAAGCGGCATACAAATCATTTGAAAACTGTATCACGCCCACTTGTGAGTTGTTTATTGATGATGAAATGATTGTTCCATGAAGATTAATATCACCTTGGAAAATTCGGCATTGGTTTGGCAGAACGCCATTAATGTCAAATATTCGACATAAAGTATTTTGATTGCATATTTTGGCACATGACATCAATAAATTGTTCTCATCGATGAATGTTGAAAGAATTTGACCAGGGTAATTACCCGGTGAAAATCGCACATTAGTATTGGATAATGTTATACGTGATTCATGAATACTTTGATTTTCTTTCCAAAGCGTTGAGAGAATTGCGAGGTATAGGCAGATATGTTTTGTTGAAAACATATTGAACAGGAAAAGGATGTGTGTGCTGTATGAACTTTGTTTATTAGAAAGAATGAGACGGGATGCATTTCGAGTTCTTTTATTTATAGCCGAACCTTCTAGTACTGATGCTGCCGTCACATGAGTGATAATTAGTTCATAATGGAAGTAGGAAGCAACTCTTAGAATCCTTTTTAAATGACTGTCACTTAACGCAAAGCATTGATTCAATGTCTATCTTTTGCTTATTGAACCTCTTACAAACAAAACTTATAAGCAACAGGAGTAGAGTAGAGCTGAAACTGGACTCGATTTCAGTTTTTTTACGAAAGAGAGAACGCTAGGGCAAAAATAATCCTTCTGGATTAATAAAAAAAAGAGACATTACAGGAAAAAATTCGATTTTCTTTGTTCACTTTTTAAATGGCAAGCAATTATTGCAAATGCTCTTTATAGTTCACGAGGAATGCAGCGCGTCCCCTGCTAGACCGTGACACCGTAAATTTAGGACGTCGAAACTGATCGATTACATATGGAATCAATGGAAACGTTTGACGAATAGTCTGGAACTCATTATAATTGACATTATATTTTGTTCGAGTATATATATAAAGATATCGTAGATGCTTCCATGAGGATAAAAACTGAAGCCAACTTGCATTGTTGAGAAATGATCGATCATGTACAGCTGTAACACAGTCTAATCTTACATGTTCAACATTCTGAGTTGATTGTGCCAGCAAATATAACTGTTCGAATTCAATAGAGGTAATTGTCAATATCAAAGTGGAGAGGTCATTCAGATTAGCAATAGGGTCATGTTGAATCTTCGAATGAGTTCGACTACTAGTTACAAACCCGCTGAAATATCGAATAGATGGAGTATATCGAAGAATATTTGAATAGAGATAGGCAAATGATAGGCAAGACTTCGATTCCATCTCGAAATATTCGATTGTAGAAACTAACTTGTCGTTTTTGTTGTCATAATTTACGGGAGTGACTGTAACTCGACCGGAACATTGTGCCGAATTCTTTATTTGACAAAATTTTAGTTGCGGAATTCTAAAAATAAAGTCAATAATGGATGTGATACCTACATTTGTGGCGTATTTGAATACGGTTAGAGAACGAAGCGTTACAAATTGATTGGGATTCACTGTTCGTATCAAATCGTAATCATAACATTTCAGAGATCTGAGTTGCTCCAAGCAAATAGCTGATAAAATTATGTCGAGATTGTTTAGATCATTTATCAATGAACAATGTAATAATAAATGATAATCAGTTAACAGTCGATTGAAATAGACATTTAAGTTATAAAATGAGTCGAGTAATTCATTAACATTTAGATATTCAAATACGGAAATATGTATTTCGCTGCTCAAGTCTTCGAATGCAGTTGTTTTCGTTTGCGCCATAAANATGTCGAGATTGTTTAGATCATTTATCAATGAACAATGTAATAATAAATGATAATCAGTTAACAGTCGATTGAAATAGACATTTAAATTATAAAATGAGTCGAGTAATTCATTAACATTTAGATATTCAAATACGGAAATATGTATTTCGCTGCTCAAGTCTTCGAATGCAGTTGTTTTCGTTTGCGCCATAAAATGAGAACAAACTTCTTCTGTGACTACACAAATATACTCGTTATTTATTATTCTTTGGCAGGCTTGATAAGAAAAAAAAACCCAGTGTTGATTTGTTTTCTTTCTCTCTGCTTTTCACTTTTTGTGTGCGAAAAACCAGTTACATGTGTTTGCAAGCATACTGTCAAGTTATTACGAAAGACACCTGAACTCTTTATTGCAGAAACAGTGAAAAAAAAAACAAATGAGTTAGATATAGAAATTTTATGCAAATCCAGAGTAAAATCTACGTGTCATTTATGAAGCAGCAGCACCACCGGACACGAGACAAGTGGACAGTCCTAAGATGACATCGAGTGTAATGAATGTGCCTCGAGTGACTTCAGCTAATTGCGGATGACAATAAGTTGAAAGAGTTGCATTTTCATACTGCATAATATTCATTGAGTTCGATGCAGAAAATCTTGCATAATTACTGTATATTGTCCAAACTAAGAAGAATAAAGCAAGAATTGTCACAATAATGACCAAACAGATCATTAACTTTTTCCATTGGAGTTTACGAAAAAGAAATATCATTGAAACTGCAAGAAATAGTAACATTCCAGTTGAACCAGACACTAGGTTAAGCCATGGAAACATTGGTTGAACAGGACATTTATTAAAATACATTGCTCCCATAACAAGTTGGATAATAAAAAGACTTAGAAATCCAAGTGAGAGCATTACTGCAATGGTGATCATCACGGTAGTCGAATAGGAATGCATGATTGTATTGAAATTAAACTTTGAATGTGTGTCGACCTTTCCTAGTAAAACGTATTTTTATATTGATTGTCATAAAATGTTCTTTGGTTTTTTCCTAGAAAAAAGCATTGGAGTAAATTAGTCATTTAAGTTTTACAACTATGATTCAAGTCGATCGGGCGATGAATTTCTCCAACTATTTGCTGTCTTTCGCTGAAAACATCACGAATACAACAAGTAACAGAGCGAACGTCACATATCCGTTTTCAATCATATCATGACGAAAGTATTGCGTGGAAGCGAAGCATCTGTTACTCATCATGAACTTTCACACTAACGTTTTGTTGACAAAAATTGACTTACATCAAAATTGCGCGTGTTTAATTGTAGTTATATAAAGTCAATAGTATTACTATGATACAGAACTTCTTCCGAGCACTTCAACTTGTGATACTATACGAATATTAATTCAATAAATCTAGGTTTATTGCCATAGCATGGAAATGTTCATTCAAAATATAAATGTAATTATAACTGCTGAGAATGCGCAATTGATAGATTTGATTGTTTGGCAATGAGCGCCATCTTTCGATGAAATTTGTTTACAGGCAGTTGACGGAAGCCAGTTGTAATGCGATTGATTTTTTCTAACTATGTAACGCGTGCGCAATAATATGAATGCATCTACGATACAAATTCATCTGACATAAAGTAGAACGACGGCCTATCATGGGTAGTCGTTATGTAGACAATGCTTCGGAGTTCGAAAGCATCAATCGAAACCCAATATTCGAGTATGAAGATTTACCACTCCAGTCTATAGAAGAAACATTACAATGTATTATATCTGACATTCCTTGCATCATGGATTACGTCAAAACAGCTAAGAATAAATGCAATCGTGCTTCAAACATACTAACACTCGATGAATCCGCAGCCATCTATCTCTATTCAATGTCATCACCAGTTTATAATCAGCTCAACAGTACTCTTCGAGCTCACGATCGTACGACATCAAAACCATGGTTTCCTTTCCTAAAACTCCTCACAACGGCTCTCAAAAGATTACCTTCAATCGAGACTACTGTTTGGCGAGGAGTCAGTTATGATGATACTTTGACATTCGTTGAAAATGATGTACAATATTGGTGGAGTGTAAACTCATGTTCTAAGGCGCCTAGTATTGTCAAACCATTCTTGGGAGAAAAGGGTACAATATTTGCTATTGATGTCATCAATGGCAAAGACATTTCAACGTTTGCCGCAAATTGTGAAGAACTAGAAGTTATTCTTATGCCCGGATCTCGTGTACGCCGCAAAAATGAATCACTTATTCTGTCCGATCATATCCTTCTTCACTTGGAAGAAATAAGTTCCGACAAGTAAATCAACACTTAACTTCTTTGAACATTATTAACAGTGTTTTTTAGTGACACACAATTAGGATCGAACTATTTGTTTGATATGGTGAAGCAAAATTATCTGTGCAACAGTCGCATCGAACGTTTGATAAATCCGACCAAATCGTTTCCGATCCAACAAAGTTACATAAATTTATCAGTAGTTACTTCTCAAGAACAACACAAACGAGAACAAAAATTGCGCGGCGCTGCATACAGCGACCACATGTTAAGTTCTTATGAAGAAATCTATGGTACGAAGAGTCCAATAGATATCCAAAATATTTTTCAATCTTGTGAGAAAGACATGAATCAAGTTCTTGTATTTGGTCGAGCGGGAATCGGAAAATCAACATTCTGCCGTTACGTCACTTATCAATGGGCAAAAGGTGCATATTGGCCACAGTATGACTTACTTGCTCTGATTCCATTACGTCGTTTGACCGCCAATCGTTATCCTCCAATGACATCTGGTCAGAATTATTCTCTTATTGACGTGTTGAAAAAAGAAGTATTGTAATATGAAGTTTGTGAAAGNGTCTTGGAGAAATATCTTCAAATTCTAACTTTCCTCGACGACACGATTTCCTCTTGCCGATAGCCGCGTACATGCAGCATAATCTGTTGGCGAAAAACCAAATTATCCTACAGCACCTGGCACAGGTATTACGTAAAGCCCCCTTTGTGATATGTGAAGAGATAATGATCAATACACTGATCGCTTTACTCCAAAGCAACGAAGCAGATGTCAAAACAGAAGTATTACAATTTATATGTTCATTGAACGTGTCCAATATACCGAGTCGTCTTATCAATTCCATAAATGTTTTACTAACTGATAACAGTGACGAAGTTAAAATCTATGCATGTGACACTATTGGAATACTTGGTGAGCAATCAGCAACGTTGGAGATACTAAATAGATTAGTAAATTTACTCGAAGATAAAAACGACAGGGTCAGACGAAGTGCGTGCTATTCTTTGGGACGAATGGGTGAAAAAGTAGGGACAGCAGAGTTTGTTAGTAAAATATTACATACAGTAGGAAATGAAAGTTTTAGTATTCGTTTAGATAGTTTCTCTGTTCTTATCACTATGCCGGAAAAAGTGATCACAGAGGAAATAGTCAACTTACTGGTAAATGCACTTAACAGTGAAAACAATTTTATTAGGGGCCACGCGTATGACATTTTGATGAAGACATCTAATCAGTTAGTAACAACTGAAATGATTAGTAGATTGATGACTTTATTAGAAGATAGACATGATGATGTCGTACTGCATGCTTGCACACTTCTTAGTAAGATCGGTGAAAAGGCAGGTGTACCTGATGTAATTAATAAATTAATGACGAAAGCATTGAGACATGAGAGTTTCCTAATCAGAGTGCAGGCATGTTCCACCCTCAAACAAATAAGTCAAGGAATACTTCCGAGTGAGGCCCTATCCATGATGTTGGCTGCGTTGAAGCAGACGATAGTGACCTTGAAAGAGAATGCGATCTGTGTTCTCGCACACATGGGTCAGAATGCAGCGACAACTGAAACAATCAATGAATTAAAGAAGGCAACTAAGCATGAGAACGAATATATTAGAGCAAGCGCGTGCAACGCTTTCATACATATGAAAGAAAGCGTACCAATAATCGAAATAAACAGTATATTAATCGATGCATTAGATGATGAGAAAGAATGCGTTAGAGCTAGTGCATGTAAAGCTGCCGAGAAAGTACTGGCAAGACAAGAAACTAGTGAGTTACTGATGAAACTAAAGGATGCGCTTAACGATGAAAGTTTTACTGTTAAGCTTGCAGCGATTGATACTCTTTGCACAGCAGGACAGATAACAGCGACAAGTGAGATAATCGATGCGTTGATAAACCTGTTAGAAGACAAAAATGAACATATCAGAAGAGATGCCCACCAAGCTATTGTCAAAATCAGTGTAAAAGCGACAACGACTGAAGTAATCGACAAACTAGTGAAGTTACTGGAACATAAGGACGCACAGGTTAGAGGGTTGATGTGTCACGCTCTTGAAGGCATGCGTGAGAAAGTGGCAACTAACGAAGTGATTGAAAAAATTGTAGGATTATTAAAAGATCCCGATGCAAATGTTAGAGCAAGCGCATGCAGTACATTGTGTCTCTGGAGTAGATTAATACCGATATCATGGGTGGCTGACGATCTCATCCATGTATTAGGAGATGAAGATGCACATGTCAGGCACTTAGCATGCATTGCCATGCAGAATATCTGTGAGCAAGAAACCACATTTGAAGTAAGTCCGAAACTGGTTAATGTACTAGAAGATGAAAATATGCATGTTAGGGATTCAGCATATTTTCTGCTCGGTTGCATGCGAGAAAAAGCCGCCACAACTGAAGTGATTGCCAAACTTGTAAATGCGCTCAACGATGAAAATCGTCGTATAAGAAGTAGAGCATGCCAGGCTCTTTCTCAAGTAAATGAAAAGATCCTGGTGACCAAAGGTATTGAAACGATAGCGAATGCGCTGATTGATGATGACATTGAAGTGAGAACCAATATGTGTTTTCTTCTTCAGCACTTAAAGGAACAACTACCAAGCGTATCGATTACCCATGTAACTCTGAAACGCAGGATAAACGCGTGTAAACGCGTTTAGGTGTGCGTTTGAACGCGCTTGACATTTCAAATTCTATTACACCGCGTCCAAACGCATCTCATAAATGCGTTAGAACGCGTTTATATTAAACAATCGTATGCAGATGCGTTTCAAACGCAAACGCGTTTGATTTTGTGTAACGCACGAAACGCGTTTACGAAGATTTTGAAAAATAGGTGCGTTTAGATGCAACTGACAAGCGCGTTCTGGCGCGGCTGAAATAAGGAACGCGTTTGGATGCGATCTTAAAATGCGTTCCGTTGCGTTTGACGTGAAAAACGCATCCACGTGCGTTACGATTATGAACGCGTTCGTACTTAATATACACATTAAACGCGTTTTGATGCGTCTATACAGTGAACGCATCAGAACGCATCTTATTGCCATACGCTATAACGCGCTCAGACTCGAATGTAATGTACGTCTTTTGGTCAAACAACTGAATCCTCATTCGCTTACAGTTAAAACTGCATTTAAACGGATAGTAATAAAGTTTTTTAACATCTTCTCACAGACCTACAATATTGATGATGAAATTGGCACATTTGGTTTAAATGCCATGAATACGAAATACAGACGTGGTCGCTTATCTCGTAGACTCTTTTAGTCTCTTATTAATCTGTAGAAGCGTTCCATTATATGGAACATCTATATCAATATGATTGTAAATCATCGATTCCATCCATTATTTCTCCATGTTTATAAATCCTTAGTCTTCTCTTGATATCACGATTACAATCAATCATTATTAATGTTTTGCTTATCTATTTATTTATTTGTATATATGTGTATATGAAATACATCCAATTAAGAAGATTCGCAGAGGTTAGGAACACGACAAAAGATATAGCATTTTAATTGCGTGTTGTATACGTGTATAATCTTTTCAATGATTGCGTCTGCTTTGATGAATATGCTATTGTTGTTCATGTCAAGATCACCATATANATTTAAACAATAAAAGCATGATATTTTCTTCTATGAAGTATAATGAAGCGGTGACTTCATTGACATTCACTTTCATCCATTAATCATGAAAACCTTGAAATTCGACTCGTATTATAGAAAATGATCGTTTTTAACAATTACAAATCGGCATACTGTCACAGTTTTGGTTCTCGTTCATATGTTGTTATCGATAGTTATGAGTGTGCTAATGAGATACTGTTGTAAAAAGATCTTTGAATAACTATCTTATCTATAATGAATGTTGGAATCTCTGTGTGTTGAAAAATCGGCTCGCAAAGGTCATTAGTCTATATGGCATGTATGTTACAATCAAAATGAGTTTACGATCGATCTGACACGTGTCAGAAACTGTAACTGCAGATTTGGAAAGTTTATAACAAATATAATACAAACTTCAATATCCCATTTTTTCTCTTCACGCTTGCTTCAATCTTATAAGAATAAAAATATGATGTTAAATTAGTAACGATTATTACTTAGCATATTTTCATCACAATTCACAAGAGCTGGATTTTAATGTTTCTAAATATCTCTTCTAAATCTTTATTTACACCTCCGCTTTTTATAGCTTTGATGCTGTTAAATTGTGTCGTCTTCTTTAAATTTTCATATCGCTCTACTTTTCAATAGGCAAACAGAAAAAATTCTTTTTCTGATTACCTATCAGAATGCTCTTTTCTCAACTTGAAGTTAAGATCTCTTACATTTCAATTTTCTACCCATTATACTTGAAGATTTGTTTATTTAGAGTAATTACTTTTTCCTTAAAATAAAAAAGGCATTCGAATTCAGAACATTAACTCATAGCACTGATTCAATTTAAACTTCTTATATCGTGAAGATACCTCTGCCGCTATTTTTAATTCAGTTTTGCCAAATTACACGCTAATTAGAATTTCTTCCTGCAAAGAGTTTAAAAATCAATCGACTGTTTCATAATATACACAGTAGATGTTGCCTAGAGTGTATAGTTCACTCGCATAACTCGCAGGCAGTTAAAATATAGGCCAATCTTATTTTCATTTATTCGTATCCTTACGTTCGTTACTATTGTTTTTAGAACATTTCGTGTATGGATGGCTCTTCAACATTTGATTTGTCTTCAATAACAACAATATAAATGACGATTAAAAGTCTCTTTTTTTGGCTACTGGAACATATTTACCATTACAATGCTTTCATACCCGATGAAATTGATTACGATGATGATGATGATAATGACGATGCAGCGAAAGATCCTGGAATCATCCTTAAACATCAATTATATTCCACTCGATTGTACATTCCTCTACTTATCAGTAAGTGTGAAATACATTGTGACTCGTTTGAATATCAACTTTTTCTGTTACCCTCTAGCAATCTTGTATATTCTGACTTTCATTGCTGTGATCAGTCCACAAGATCGATTGATTACAGTCTCGAACATTACTCCAACACTTTTCAATCAGCTCTCTCTCGAACATGCGGACACACTGTCTTGTCCATGTTCAAATATTACTATGCCATACAAAGCATTTGTATCGCATATAATCTACTTTCATCCGGTGTGTTCGAGTGTATATGTGAGCAAAGAATGGATACAAGCACTTTATCTCACCTATGCCAGTTCGTTGTTGGTGAATGATTTTCGAACAACTGCCAAATCTCAAGTAAGTCAGCATTATTGAAAGCAAATGATTATACGGATATCCGTTTAGTTTGAACTTCTCGCTGCGTTTNCTATGCCATACAAAGCATTTGTATCGCATATAATCTACTTTCATCCGGTGTGTTCGAGTGTATATGTGAGCAAAGAATGGATACAAGCACTTTATCTCACCTATGCCAGTTCGTTGTTGGTGAATGATTTTCGAACAACTGCTAAATCTCAAGTAAGTCAGCATTATTGAAAGCAAATGATTATACGGATATCCGTTTAGTTTGAACTTCTCGCTGCGTTTTGTTCAATATCCCAAGAAACAGTTTATCAATCTCTGGTCGATTTGGAAAATGAGCAGCTGGTGACTTTTCAGTTACTTCCAGATGTTCAAGTTAATTCTCAAGTATCAGCCAATATTGATCTGATTAGAAGTAGTGTACCTGTTCAAGTTGATATTACAGTAGTTCTGTTACAAATAACAACTCGATCAAACTCTCTTGTCTCCGCTCTCAATACCAATATATATGTTAGCATACATCATTTCGACAGCCAGATTACATCCATTACAACATATTTTACTCCTTACTTCGACGAAAACAGCGGTTTGGGCGTAAATTATTTCGGGCACACTTGTGATGTGATAGGTTTCACAACATCTGCCGCTTTTTACCTGATGTCACAGTTTGATAGCGCATATAATCATGGCTCTTGGCCACCAACGTCGCCAGGTTTTACAGCAATTGCCAATGGGACAGTCGATGGATTTTTTAGTGGATGCATTACACTCGATGGTTTACTTGTCAGCACTTTTGATTGTTTATATAATATCAGTTGTCTAAAGAATTTTGCAAACTATTTTCCGAATCTCAGTCAGGTATTAATTATTGTGTTTCTTTTAATCGAATAATTTCTTCTATAACCATTCAGATAAACGTTTCTTGGTCTGACGGTCTTTCACCTCCACTGTCGAATCAGATTGCAGTTAAAGATCTTTTATCTGAATTGTTTGTAGTAAATTGGTCGACTACGATCAATTACTCACAATACTTTCATTCATGTGCTCCGAAGACGTGCACATACACGATTACTGACCACATGAATATTCTCTACACCGGTACACTCTTACTCGCTCTCTACGGAGGCATCGCCGTTCTACTTCGTTCAATCACACCTTACGTAGTTTTGCTTTGGTCAAAACTCAAACGTCGTTCCACTAATCTTAATCTGAGCAACTTTCAACGATCAAAATGTATTATATATAATTTAAGACGACTGAACTTGTTCAAATCAATCAACAGACGTACTCCAGACGATATCAAACTGCAACAAGCAGCCACATGGGTTTATTTGATTTTACTTGCAAGTATGAGTATTCGTATCTAATTGCTTTTAATCTGTATAATGACGCTGTAACTATTTAAGGTGTTGTGTACATACTTTTACTGCACGCATGAGTTGATGAGAAGGCAGTAGATATAATTGTATCAAAACCTTCGTTGGCAGAATACAAACAACTAGACAAACTGTATTCCAATTCGCTGAAGTGTTCTTGTTCAAACATTGTAGTGCCGTTTCAAGCATTTGTCAACTGGACATCAAGATTTCATCAATTGTGCTCAAGCGATTTTGTTAACGAGACGTGGATTCTAACTTTGTCGTAACTTGACGTAACTTTTTCAGGGTTCCGAATTGTAGATTGGTATGGCTTCCGCGGCCGACATTTTCGTTTGTTAGCAACTCTATGTGAACTGGCAAACAGAACTGTGACCGATGCTGTTCATCGATTTGGTACTCAGTCTTTCGTCACACTAAATGTCACTAGTGAAACTAGTTTTAATATTCAGTTGAATACAATTGTGCATGCGTTCGCTCAGTCATTTTCTACGAATTTTGATCTTCTTGTCAAGATTGTGCAGCTGTTCACGCGTGCCGATCAGCCTTATACGCAGAGTAGCAACGACAATTTAGTTAATTCAGGAACACAAGATGATATCAATTACGGCCAAATTCTTAAGGTACGTTGACATAATGAACAGATGAAAATTGACCTAACTGAACTTTGATTTAGTTTGCATTCAACTTTACTGGTCTAATGAACATCGACACAAAGGCAGTAGTATGTATATGTGCTACCAATTCTCATTGTCAAACTCCAGTTCTTGATTCTGTGAATGAAATCTCGTTAGATCATGCTGTAGACTTTTCTCAGGTAGTAGGATCAATCGAAGGTTGCTCTACTTTGGACTCCGTATTGCTGTCAACATTAGAATGCTACTATTTACCTTCTTGTCTATCTATTCTATATAAATATATAAACTACACACGCAGAATAATTGATACAGGTCTCCCGTACCTTGATGTGAAACCTCTTGTTGATGATCCAACGTCCAGTCGGTTTCCTCCAAACACTTCACTTACAATAATAATCAAAGAATTAATGATCGAAGATTGGAATCCAGTCTTTTCATTCGAGAAATATTATGAAGAATGTGCACCGAACAAATGCACTTACTCTCAGATAGTACACACTAACAGCTTTGTTGGAATAATAATGACACTGTTATCGTCCATTGGTGGTCTTATTGTTGCTCTACGACTAATAACACCTCTGCTGGTCAAATTAATTTTTATTCTAGGGCAGACGAAACGACAATCAAAGAGATCACAAGGTAAGTAACGCAGTTTCGAAGGAATAGACGTGTCCTTTACGCATTGCTAATTTTCCTCACACAGATTCTCCGAAATTGATCAGTCGGATGAAAATAAATCTAATTAAACTGATTAATCTATTGACATCTACACTCTTGAATCTAAATATATTTCCAAGACGAAATTTTGGTGGACGGATCACTCATCACAAAGCGAAGTATTTTGGTCAACTGGCAACACGGTTCTATATCGTTCTTCTAATCATCAGCATGAGTATTCTGACATTTTACAATGTCATCCAATCATGAATAATAACAAAAAGCTTTCATAAACCAAGTATTGATGTCTACGAGGATCTTCTACTTAGTCACAGTGACACGCTTCAATGTCATTGCTTATCAATTTCGTCAACATACAATCATTTTGTTCAAATTCAACCGAATTTCCATTCAGTGAGATTCTGAAGGAACATGTCATTTAACCTCTATGTACGTGATTAATCTGTTTTAGATATGCTCAAGTTTTTTTATCTTAGAAGATTGGCAAATGAATATCACGTCCAAGTTAGCTTCAGACTTATTCATCTATGATGCTCGAGATTATCGTCGGTTTCTGTACGCCCATTTACAACTTTTGGCGGGATTATGTTCTGAAGCCATGCAATCAGTGAATAGTTATATTGCCCAACTGCTTTCTTCGTTTTTCCTTACTGATCAACTTGTGTCACCTATCACACTTCAGACACGCATCAATACACTGGTTAATAGTGGTCAATCCAATGCTCCTACTTCCTTCAAAAGTCGTCTATCGCTCTTGCGAGCGATCAATTATGGCAATGCAATTGTATCAGCTTATGGAACAAACTTTGAATTCTTCGATCCTTGGGTAAATGAAACTTACTCTGTTGCAATCACTCAGCCAATCATTTACGATGATGGATGTTCATGTGCAACAAGTATGAACTGTACTACTCAAGCAGGATTTATTGCAAAAGATTCATCAACACTAATACCAGTTACGGGTTTGAAGATGGGTTGCACACCGAGTGAAGCACTGTTATCTTCAACATACAAATAATAATACCTATATATCTTCGAGTCTTTCCACAGATAATAGTCGATATTTGTTAAATGCAACCGTGATGGAATTGGCCACAAATGTTTTCACCGAGAACTGGTCAACATCAATCAACTATTCAGAATATTTTCAACAGTGTTCGCCCAGCTCGTGTTCATATTCATATCGTCAGAGATTTGATTGGTTCTATACTGTTACTGTCTTACTTAGTTCGTTTGGTGGTTTGATATTCATTTTGAAGTGGTTGTGCCCTAAAATTATTCTTGTTCTCAATCAAATATATCAATACTATCGAAAGAAGAGAGGTACCGTTGAACAGATATCTCANTGATTACTGACCACATGAATATTCTCTACACCGGTACACTCTTACTCGCTCTCTACGGAGGCATCGCCGTTCTACTTCGTTCAATCACACCTTACGTAGTTTTTCTTTGGTCAAAGCTCAAACGTCGTTCCACTAATCATAATCTGAGCAACTTTCAACGATCAAAACGTATTTTATCTAATTTAAGACGACTGAACTTGTTCAAATCAATCAACAGACGTACTCCATACGATATCAAACTGCAACAAGCAACCACATGGCTTTATTTGATTTTACTTGCAAGTATGAGTATCCGTATCTAATTGCTTTTAATTTATATATTGACGCTGTAACTATTTAAGGTGTTGTGTACATACTTTTATTGCACGCATCAGTTGATGAGAAGGCAGTAGACATAATTGTATCAAAACCTTAGTTGGCACAATACAAACAACTCGACAAACTATATTCCAGTTCGCTGAAGTGTTCTTGTTCAAACATTGCAGTGCCGTTTCAAGCATTTGTCAACTGGACATCAAGATTTCATCAATTGTGCTCCAGCGATTTTGTTAACGAGACGTGGATTCTAACTTTGTCGTACCTTGACGTAACTTTTATAGGGACCAGACTTGTAGATTGGTACGGTTTCCGAGGCCGACATTTTCGTTTGTTAGCAACTCTATGTGAACTGGCAAACAGAACTGTGACTGATGCTGTTCATCGATTTGGTACTCAGTCTTTCGTTGCACTAAATGTCATTAGTGAAACTAGTTTTAATATTCAGTTGAATACAACTGTGCATGCGTTCGCTCAGTCATTTTCAACGAATTTTGATCTTCTTGTCAAGATTGTGCAGCTGTTCACGCGAACCGACCAACCTTATACGCAGGGTAGCAACGCAAATTTAGTTAATTCAGGAACACAAGATGATATCAATTACGGCCAAATTCTTAAGGTACGTTGACATAATAGACCGGTGAAAATTGACCTAGCTGAACTTTGATTTAGTTTGCATTCAACTTTACTGGTCTAATGAACATCGACACAAAGACAGTAGTGTGTATATGTGCTACAAATTCTCATTGTCAAACTCCAGTTCTCGATTCTGTGAATGAAATCTCCTTAGATCATGCTGTAGACTTTTCTCAGGTAGTAGGATCAATCGAAGGTTGCTCTACTTTGGACTCCGTATTGCTGTCAACATTAGAATGCTACTATTTACCTTCTTGTCTATCTATTCTATATAAATATATAAACTACACACGCAGAATAATTGATACAGGTCTCCCGTACCTTGATGTGAAACCTCTTGTTGATGATCCAACGTCCAGTCGGTNTCAATCAACTATTCAGAATATTTTCAACAGTGTTCGCCCAGCTCGTGTTCATATTCATATCGTCAGAGATTTGATTGGTTCTATACTGTTACTGTCTTACTTAGTTCGTTTGGTGGTTTGATATTCATTTTGAAGTGGTTGTGCCCTAAAATTATTCTTGTTCTCAATCAAATATATCAATACTATCGAAAGAAGAGAGGTACCGTTGAACAGATATCTCAGCAATCACTGGAGGAGAATCCTAATGGTGCTGATGAAGCATTGTCCAGTTCAATTCCATCGTTTAGCACGGAGTTCACTTCGAAAATATATTGTTACATTATTTTTGGGATGATTTTGTTCATTGGTTTGATAGTAGCACTAATATAGTCGTATCTATTTATTTAAACGGAAAGGTCAATGGAATCTCCACGACATCGTTAGGTATTATTGTTTCTTTTGCGACCTACTTTTGCAACATTGAATATTTTTATTTCGATTAGCTTTGTCAACAACTGTAGAATCAGCGTTTGCTACCACCATAATATCTACAACAACAATATTCACAACAGGTTTAAACACATTTCAAAATATCAAATCTTTCTTTATCTTTCTACTTTAGACCCATCCTGCCAATTGACCTTTGACCGATCAAATTTATGTTCATTTTATCCCACCTCTTTGCTTACTTCACTCACCGTCGATGATTTTAACGGCGATACTTATTTAGATCTTGCTTTTATTGATAATATATTTAGTAATCTCTATGTATTGATTGGGAACAACAGTGGAGCTTTTGCAGCGCCATTGATATATAAAATCACAACAACTGATTCACCGTGGGCAATCGTTTCGGACGACTTTGACAACGATGGTAGGAAGGACCTTGCCGTGGCAAATTACGGTTCTAGCACTGTAGATGTGTTCATGGGTAATGGTAATGGCACTTTCCGAACCCAACGAAAGTTTCCGACTGGACTTGTGATGCTCCCGATGGCGATTATAGCTGTTGACTTTGATAGTGACACTCACATAGATCTTATTGTGTATGGCGCCGACGCAGGTATTATGTTTGGCAGAGGTGATGGCTCTTTTAGTACTGCTGTGAGTCTTTACGATGATGACGGTGCTCAACCGAATTTGCTAACTTGTGCTGATATAAACGATGATAGTTATCTAGATCTTTTCATCATTGAAATGAGCCCTGATGTGATACTAATACTGCTTAATAATGGTCATGGATATTGTAAATTGTGGCAAACTTTGAGTTTGGTGGCCTTTTCTGGATCGACTTCGCTATCAGTAGCTGATTTTAATAATGACGATCTATTGGATATAGCCATTACGAATTCGAATAAAGCTAACATAGGCATTTTTATTCAACAGAGCAATGGTTCGTTTGGACAGCAAACAATATATTCAACAGGAATATATAGTAATCCACGCTCAGTTGTCGCTGCCGATTTTAATCATGATGACCAAATTGATCTTGTTGTGAGTCTCTTCTACAAGAGTCAAGTGGGTGTTTGGCCAGGAGTTGGCGATGGTACATTTTTACCACCGACGATGTATTCGACGGGCCCTACCAGTTCTCCGAATGAAATAATTACAGGTGATTTAAATAATGACAACCGATTGGATTTCATTGTATTAGATCGCACATATCCCAACATGACTATTTTTCTCAATTCATGCGCGTGTTGTTTAAAAGAGCCTTCGAAATGAAAGACTTGAACATTTACATAAATAGCTGCTGAGTTTGAACCAAATGGATTTGCTTTGCTTTTCTTGATCGTCATCATTCGCTTATTACATATCTAATAAATATGTTGCATTCTATAGGATTCGGTCTTTAGTATCGTCATCGAACCCATGTAAACGCTAGACGCAGATTAAATGCGTTTGACTGCGTTCTGATTCGGGATACGCGCTCAGACGCGGTTAAAACTGAATTTTGACGCAATTGGACGCAGGTATACTCACAATCGCGTCCAAACGCAAAAAACGAAATAATTTCTGTAGCATGTAGACGCAATCTTGCAATTGATTGCGTGTAGCCGCGGTTTATAGCTATTTCAGACGCGTTTGAAGGCGGTTCTAAGCAAACTCGCATTTGCACGCGATTTATTCAATCCTGTGCGATGCGTCTAAACGCGATCAATCTAGCCACTGCGTCGACACTCATATATTAAGAATTCTTGGACGCATTTAGACGCACTGACGAGCAGACTCGCATTCACATGCGTTTATTGCGAGTCCTTAGAATGCGTTTACATGCGCTTTATCGCGGTACCGCGTGCAAACGCAGGCTAGTACACCTTTTAAGCGCATATGGACGCGGTTAACGTACACAGTTCATCCACGTCGTAATGTGGTTATTCATTGAGTTATGTTCATGTGTAGAAATGTAAACGATTGGAGAAGCTTTGGTTATAGTTCTCGAAAATAGTAAAAGGTATAGATTAACAACGGTACTAAGTGTCATTCTGTTGCGTCATGGGAAGATTGAGACAAGCTGATAGCTTCAATATCTTGTGTTATATGCAAGAAAGAGCACACACAAAGATCTGAGTGTTAATATTCGAAAGCTTCATCTCTGCGAACTAGTGTGCTGAGCAGGGAACTTGCCTTATTGTGTGTCTGATTCAATCAGACTAGATCATTTATCTGCATCTTTCAGCGATGAATAATTTTTTCACAAGTAATGATCAACGATGCTTTCTGACTCATTTAGCTCACCTAGATAACTTTCAAAGTTGAAAGTAGAATAGTTGTAAACACCACCAAAATCTCTAATTGATTCTGATAAATGAAAAATCATGTGTATTGACATAACATTTTGTCGATCGCCATAAAGCAATGGAAATTGATGAATGAATTCGGTTGTCAACATTTTGATTTGTAATAATTGTTCTGGTGTAATAGTCTTTGCTTCACAAAGATGTGTAATAAAGGTAAGCAACAGAAAATGTCGACCATATCTCTTTGGCAGATACATACAAAATGTTGAGAATCCAAATAAAAGAAGAGATCTTAATTCATTTGCCTTGAATTGTTTGTACTTCAGAATCGTCCTAGGCGTTCGGTACATTGTAGAAGGAAATTTATGTGTTGATAAAGCAATATCGATCAGTTCAATTTTTGATCTTAACGACCACGGTTGATGACGATGTTCTGGATCAAACCATAAATCAAGCAGCCTGCTCTATAAATATAAAAGGATTATTTTTGCATTCTAAATTGAAAAGATCTCGAAATTAGATAGTTACATGAAAACCTCAATCTAACCACAATCTATCTATCAACAGACAACAGTTTCATTCTGTCTTTTCAATGTTCTCGTGTGAAAATCGACTAAGTATCAATACAAAGAAGAAGAAATATATGTCGATATGACTACGAAAAAACTACTTAACAAATATACTTACAAATGACCCTCTGTATAGATTATGAAGAGTATCGAATACGAAACAACGGCCAACATCAAAAAAGCGTAAATCTCGTAGATGACATTCGCCCAGATAACCACACATGTAATCACGACGAGCTGTTTTCTCTTTGGGACGAAAGCTTTCAGGTATAGCCATTTTAACATCATAAGAGAAATTGTTTCGTAGCTTCGGTTGAACATCTTGTTTTCGAACTGGAAATACGCGAAGTTTATGTGTATATCCTGGCTTAATTGGTACTGTAATGCCTGAAAAGGTGAAGAAATCAATCTTAATTGTATCTGTTCACAATAAAAGTCGATAGCTACAAATGAAATGAAATTTACCTTTGATCAAGCATTTACCGCAGCCATACGCTCCATTTATTTCCGTAAGATTTTGCACAAGAGCTTGTGCAGGTTTGTCCAGAGATCCAGCGATTAAAAATACTTTAAGAAATGAATGCGTTCCATCCCCCATTGTATAACGATTTTCATTCTCCAAAAGTAACAATTCATTGATAATTGGCTGTAAATATGCAGCCATTTCTTGTCGTGATGGTTTTGATACACCGGCTCCAATACCGCCAACGAGAACATTTTGCATTCGAAACCTGTCTGGTTTCTTTAATTCATTTATAACGAAAGTAATAACCCATAAAGAAGATTTCGAACTTTTTGAAATTTCAATACCGTCTACATTCATCACCAACGAAATAAAACCATCACCTTCCTGTTCTACAATCTTCTTGTAAAATAATCCTTCGGTAATATTAGAGGAGTCAGATATATTGGAACTGGACTGTTGTTGAAAATAAAGTGCAGGAAATCGTGATAATACATCTTGTATTTGAGTTTTTAAAGGCAAACGAACAAAAACAGGTGGTCTTGTAGTGAATCCTTTATTTTCATTGCATTCAACATTCGTACAATTTGTTTCTTTCGCCGATAGCTTNGTATTTGTACAGAAACGATCGAAAATCCATAAAAGATTGTCAAAACTGCTAAATTCTGATCGCGTCACTGGTGCCACCTGAGCCAGCTATGGAACTGAAATTGGTCACGATAACTCAATATGCATTTTCTAACTTTAGCTGTAGATGCCAATGCGGTTTTTTGTATTGTTAAATATAACTTATGAAATAAACTCTTCCTTAAATATTTCGGATATAGGCACAGAGTGATCTTTTAGTGTTTTACTCAACTAAGTTGATACCTTATAGAAAACAATGTCATCATAGGACAGTTTACCACCGATTATAACACAGGTGCCGAAAAATAATGATAAACCGTCTTGCACCGTCAAAATGTTAATCCTGTATGTCTCGAAACATGAGATTTCGATTACGTTATTGTATCATGCAACATTCGTTCTCATTATTATCCTTCAAAATCTCATGTTCTTCCCATGTAAACGCCAGACGCAGATTAAACGCGTTTGACTGCGTTCTGATTCGGGATACGCGTTCAGACGCGGTTAAAACTGAATTTTGCCGCAATTGGACGCAGATATACTCACAATCGCGTCCAAACGCAGAAAACGAAATAATTTCTGTAGCATGTAGACGCAATCTTGCAATCGATTGCATGTAGCCGCGGTTTATAGCTATTTTAGACGCGTTTGAATGCGGTTCTAAGCAAACTCGCATTTGCACGCGATTTATACAATCTTGTGCGATGCGTCTAAACGCGATCAATCTAGCCACTGCGTCGACACTCATATATTAAGAACTCTTGGACGCATTTAGACGCAGTGACGAGCAGACTCGCATTCACATGCGTTTATTACGAGTCCTTAGAATGCGTTTACATGCGCTTTACCACGGCACCGCGTGCAAACGCAGGCTAGTACACCTTTTAAGCGCATATATATGGACGCGGTTATCGTACACAGTTCATGCACGTCGTAATGTGGTTATTCACTGAGTTATGTTCATGTGTAGAAATGCAAACGACTGGAGAAGCTTTGGTTATAGTTCTCGAAAATAGTAAAAGGTATAGATTAACAACGGTACTAAGTGTCATTCTGTTGCGTCATGGGAAGATTGAGACAAGCTGTTAGTTTCAATATTTTGTGTTATATGCAAGAAAGAGCATACACAAAGATCTGTTGAATCATTCCAAAATTACGATCTGAATTGATCCACCAGCCTAGAATAAAAGCCACAATGAGAAATACGAGATTCGATCTCAAATACAGTATAGTCAGTTTAGACGTTTATTTCGAATAATTTGACATGAGTTTTATGATGACTCTAAAAGATTTGGAAAACGAAAAAAAACAAAAGTTTTTGAAGAATTGTCAAAAACGTGTGCTAATTTCTCTACGATATTGGTCGGTTTTACAAAAAACGAACTACTGTTCTGTTCAGCACTACCAAACATAACAGTGGAACAAGTTATTCGAGTGTTATTTAAATTAATTGACAAATATTTGTTGATTGGTACATCACGAATTCGTACAATACAGTTATCTTCTTCCGAATTTTTTCGTATGATGGAAATAATAAATCCGACGCGAATCTTGTTCGCCAATTTGTATAAAACACAAGAATCATCTTCTTGGCCATTGCTCCGTTGTGTAAGGATGGTAAAACGAATGCTATTGAAAATAAGACTATTATAAAGTGTTACGCTACTTCCAAGTATGCTACGTATATCACAATTTCGTCCTTTGTCGTAATCAATATTCTTCAATTGACAAGATTGTTTGAGCTTAGATGAACGACTAGTACGTAAATTCGGAAGAAAACGATCGATGAAAGCACCTAGTTGAAAGTTAAACGATTTGTCATTAATATGTATGCAAGAAGAACGTAAGAGTTTAACATTAGATTGTACTTCCAAAGCATGTCGACGAGTTGAATGGATAGTTGATCTTAACGTTCCTATAACACAATAAAAAACGAATGCTTTGTGTTTCTCTCATATATGTTATCAAAACACACAGATAATGGAAGTTTCTATTAGATAGACGGTGAATAGATTGGAACTTTACTCGAAATCTATCGGTTATTGCCATCAGCTATCGTCGGAATAACTAAAGGACATCATTGTGTGAAATACCATTATTTTCGAACAACTGGTAATGTTAATATTCAAAAGCTTCATCTCTGCGAACTAGTGTGATGAGTAGGGAACTTGCCTTATTGTGTGCCTGATTCAATCAGACTAGATCATTTATCTCTATCTTTCAGTGATGGATAATTTTTTCACAATGAATGATCAACGATGCTTTCTAACTCATTTACCTCACCTAGATAACTTTCAAAGTTGAAAGTAGAATAGTTGTAAACACCACCAAAATCTCTAATTGATTCTGTTAAATGAAAAATCATGTGTATTGACATAACATTTTGTCGATCGCCATAAAGCAATGGAAATTGATGAATGAATTCAGTTGTCAACATTTTGATTTGTAATAATTGTTCTGGCGTAATAGTCTTTGCTTCACAAAGATGTGTAATAAAGGTAAGCAACAGAAAATGTCGACCATATCTCTTTGGCAAATACATACAAAATGTTGAGAATCCAAATAAAAGAAGAGATCTTAATTCATTTGCCTTGAATTGTTTGTACTTCAGAATCGTCCTAGGTGTTCGGTACATTGTAGAAGGAAATTTATGTGTTGATAAAGCGATATCGATCAGTTCAATTTTTGATCTTAACGACCACGGTTGATGACGATGTTCTGGGTCAAACCATAAATCAAGCAGCCTGCTCTACAAATATGAAAGGATTATTTTTGTATTCTGATTTGAAAAGATATCGAAATTAAATAGTTACATGAAAACCTCAATCTAACCACAATCTATCTCATCAACAGACAACAGTTTCATTCTGCCTTTTCAATATTCTCATGTGAAAATCGACTAAGTATCAATACAAAGAAGAAGAAATATATGTTGATATGACTATGAAAAAACTACTTAACAAATATACTTACAAATGACCCTCTGTATAGATTATGAAGAGTATCGAATACGAAACAACGACCAACATCAAAAAAGCGTAAATCTCGTAGATGACATTCGCCCAGATAACCACACATGTAATCACGACGAGCTGTTTTCTCTTTGGGACGAAAGCTTTCAGGTATAGCCATTTTAACATCATAAGAGAAATTGTTTCGTAGCTTCGGTTGAACATCTTGTTTTCGAACTGGAAATACACGAAGTTTATGTGTAGATCCTGGCTTAATTGGTACTGTAATGCCTGAAAAGGTGAAGAAATCAATCTTAATTGTATCTGTTCACAATAAAAGTCGAGAGCTACAAATCAAATGAAGCTTACCTTTGATCAAGCATTTACCGCAGCCATACGCTCCATTTATTTCCGTAAGATTTTGCACAAGAGCTTGTGCAGGCTTGTCCAGAGATCCAGCGATTAAAAATATTTTAAGAAACGAATGCGTTCCATCCCCCATTGTATAACGATTTTCATTCTCCAAAAGTAACAATTCATTGATAATTGGCTGTAAATATGCAGCCATTTCTTGTCGTGATGGCTTTGATACACCGGCTCCAATACCGCCAACGAGAACATTTTGCATTCGAAATCTGTCTCGTTTCTTTAATTCATTTATAACGAAAGTAATAACCCATAAAGAACATTTCGAACTTTTTGAAATTTCAATACCGTCTACATTCATCACCAACGAAATAAAACCATCACCTTCTTGTTCTACAATCTTCTTGTAAAATAATCCTTCGGTAATATTAGAGGAGTCAGATATATTGGAACTGGACTGTTGTTGAAAATAAAGTGCAGGAAATCGTGATAATACATCTTGTATTTGAGTTTTTAAAGGCAAACGAACAAAAACAGGTGGTTTTGTAGTGAATCCTTTATTTTCATTGCATTCAACATTCGTACAATTTGTTTCTTTCGCCGATAGCTTATTACATTTTGCACAAAAATAAGCAGGTGATGTCGCATCAGTTGTTAACGTTGGTGATAGGATACACTTGATATGTGATGAATTTTTGGGTACGTTTTGAACCTTTAACAATCGCATTAATTGGCAAAAGTGGTCCAAGCAACGATTCGACAATTTATGTCTAGTTTTCAGTACAATCAGGACGGCGGCAACTTCATAGACTGACGCCTCAGAAGATCTTTTTTGAAAAAGAAAACAAAAGAAGTGTCAAAATTACGAACATCAATCATAAGTACTCACAAATCGAGAAAGTCCTCTTCTTCCGTATTCGTTTCTTCTTCAGCATTCGGATCAGCCTGGATGTCATGAAGTTTATCAGTATCTGTGTTAACTCCAAGAGAATTTAGAAAATCTTGAAGGTTAATTGATGGAGACGAAGACGGTTTTTCATCAGTAGTATTGCTGGAATTATCATTTGTGTTCAATTGTATTCCACTTGACGAATTGTTATCTTGGTTAAAAGAATGACTTGATCTAGGAACATAATACAAATACATATTGAAGAAAAAGAAACTAAACTGGTTAATTAACATACTCATGATCGTTCGAAAATGCTGGTGCATCAATTAGAAACGGTGTTCTATTGAAAAGATCCTGAACACGCTGTCTGTTACGCCATTTCGTAGATCTAGAAGCCATCTATAATAAAACAAATGATAATCTATCTATTATCTTTTTTTCTCTCTACGAATATCAAAATGCTTGTAACTTCTACGAATAAACAACAAAATCAATCATAAAATTTGAGAAAAAAAAGCTCTTTTTTCATAGTTCATCATCTTCATCACCACTAATCGACAACGTGTTATTACGTGCAGTTGTTGTCGTTTTACTTGGTATCTTTGACTTCTTGGATGAAACCATGTCATCGATCGTCAATTGCTTATCAGAAGTTTTTCGCTTTTCCGAAGTTATTTTCGAAGAACTTCCGTTTTTTTCCTTTTCATCTTTCGCTTGACGAAAAACACCATTAATTGCTTCATTAAATGGACGATCGTTGTCGATCGGACCATGATGCGCTTCTACGAAATCTAAATAACGAATAACACGTTAATACAGTTAGCACATTTTCACAAGTGAAGAATACGAATTAATCAAGGCGAATATCTACACTTTGATTACTTATTCACGTTTTATCCCCACAATATCGATTAAATTCTTAAAATGTGTCGATCAACGATAGACGTTTCTCAAATTCTTGTAACTCAAACCAGTTTAAAATATTCCAATTGAACAACAATCAATCTTTCGGCTTTTTTCTCTAGAAAGCTTTGTATTGAGATAACCAATACTTACCACGAATTTTCTGTCGCAACGGTTTAGAAACAGCTTCTGTTCCGCTATTCTTTAGCAATTCATCAGGTGTAAACAATGCATAGATAATTTTTCGAGTGGTAGCAGTGGCAGTATGTTTAATACAACCGAGAAGTGTGTTTGGATTAATGTTGCTAATTTGTTTAGCGTGTTCGTAGATATCGGTTGCCGATAGTGTCGAACTAATCGCTTTGGCCATTTTTAAAATGTATGGGCGTGCACCGGCATCGGGCAAAGCTAAAATAAATGAAGAACATTGCATTACTTGTATGAAAGAATGCGGTCAATGATGAGATTGAGTTGTAAATAGCTTTTTCCTAAAGAACAAAGTTGCAAAACACAATCACAAAAGTCGCCTTTCAATATGGCCTAAAACAATGTCATTGGAACTGTTCAATCCTTAAAGAAGAAACGACTTGGTATTTTCTCCAAGCTACTATGTGCTTTTCAAATGCAGCTGTGTGAATATTCGCTCGTGCCATTGAAATAAACAATATGAAGTGACAAAGATTCAACATGATTGAGTCCATACGTACGTATGTAATTCTTTTTGTAGTAATTAATCTTCTTTTCGAGTGCTAGAACCTTGTTCTTCTGATTTTGCAATTTCGTTTTCAATTTATTAAACTTTTCTTTCGTAACAAAATCCGAAATATCTCCTTCGTCAGAACTTGTATCGCTTGAATCTATACGCAAATGCATGGATTATGACAACGTATAGTGTGAGAAGAAGACATACCACTCGTAGGATTGACTGGCGTGACGATTGAATCGGATCGGTTTTTATTCGATGAATCATTTGGTGTTAGAATTTTACGAGAAATTGCAAGATTCTTGGATTGTGTTGCTCGCGGAGATGATTTATCGAGAAGAATGGCCTTCGATTTGGATTTGGCTGAACAACATTGAACGTCGGAATCTTCACCTTCTGAAACGATACTATCGGTTAATATCAATTTACATCAAAAGCATCTTTCTACATAAACATGGTACGCAGAAATTGCTTTTCAACGATGAATAAATGGTAAGTACATCTAGTCGAGATAGAAACTGAAGCGATGCAATAGATGAGTATATAGTTTTATCCAAGAGTTCAACGGACGAAATTCATTGAAATTAACGTTCGTTTGCTCACCTTCGAGTGTATTTTTAGTTGTTGACAATAGTTCAGTGTCATCAGCATTTTCATCATCACTATTATCGAACAACTTTCGTTTAACTTGTACTGTTCTTTTTGCCTGACATGTTGATGATTCACTAGGAGTTTTGTTCGTAGCCGAATTCATACATTGTCGTGGTACCGTTTTTGATCGATGGTGATCGAATTCTACAAAAAAGAAATGCAATGAGTGATAGAATGAAAGTCTACATGAATTCATGGAAATCAATACATTTCTGAAAGAAAAGAACAATATTTCACTTGTCCTTACCGTTCGATTTCAATGATCGTTTTGATCCTGTAGAATTACTCATCGCGTGGTTTTCTTTATTTGCCACTTGAATTGGATTACCTATGGAAGACAAATATGAATTCAAATTTACTAATATTTTGATTTACAAACTCACTAGTTTTCTTATGCTTGTTGATCGGATGGTTTTCAATGTCGATATTATTCAAATTCGTAGTTAATAAATCCGTTTTCTCTAAACACATAAAAACAAGCATTTATCTATTGCAATTACAAAATAAAAAAGTGAAAACGTTCTGTTTTGTTTTTAAAATAACAAAACAAGCCTATCAAAATGGCGGCATTTACTTGGTGGTTTTTGCGGAAGATGCTCTCCTTCGATGGTGTCTTCTTGTAAAATTTCAAGCTGCTCGACGCACAAATCCTCGGTACCTTATAAAAAAGTCAGCAAAACCGTTATTCTTGGAAAATATTCAATATTTAGAAGCTCACCAAAAAGTAAAACTTTGCCACGGTCTGATTTACGGGAATCGATAATTCCTTTGTATGTGGCAATTTCGTTGACTTTTACTGTTTTACCAAAGTTAATGAAATTGTTCAATGGAACAAGAACAACCTTCTTGTCCTTTTCTCGTCGAACAATAGCATGAGTATGCTCTTCGGAACAGTCAACATTTGCTGAGTTCGTTTGTGAACGAATACTCGAAGTTGAGTTTCTTCGGGAATGTTGTCGTTCCATCTAGAGATAAATGCAAGAAATTAAGACAGCTATTTTATCAGCAAAGCTTGAGATAAACTCGTTTTGAATTGTTAAAAAATTTAAACGAAAAAGGTTTTCCTTGAGACAAGTTTTCAATGTCATAGGTTTGTTAGCGCGGATGTATAACCGTTCATCAAGACATGAAAGGACAAAATGAACGGTTTTATTGGAGGATTTTTTTATTAAATATTTCCATGTTTGTCATTTCGATTTTGTAAGAGACTGTGCAAGGTTTTACTAATTCAAATGATTAAGATATTTTTACCAAGAAAATGCTAGAAACTTATATAGGTGGCGCTGTTATGCTTTCAAAGCTTTTATTGTCAAAACAATTTCTCGTGTATAAAAATATAAAAATACAAATAAATGAAATTTTCTCTCTTCTAAAGAACCTTTTAAAAATACAATTTGTTTGAATATAAAAGCTTTGGACCCGAATATATAACAAAGGATGAAAAGGATTTCAGATAGATAATAAAGAAATGTATATATTCTCATCATTTGTGTCTGGAAGATATATCTCAAGGGCTTTCAGGATGGATTTTGATGGCATTTCAGCTTTCTGGATTTTCAAGATGTGTTTCTAAGTCGTTTAGATGCTAAAGAAGAAATCAAATGTATAAACTGTGTTGACGTTGACGACTAAGTTCTGTATTGAAATTTCAATGTCAAGTTGTTCTTTATTTGATGGAACATATCAAACCAAGATTCTGCCTCACAACTGAAATAATAAAGTTGTAAATGGAATTGAATATTCTTCTCATCCATTGTTGAGTACTGCAATGGTATTGAATAGACTGGAATTCAGTAGAACTGTTTTTATTTTTCTTTCATCTTGAATTTGAGTATTTGTGTTCATTGTCAAACAAATAGTTCAATGGCTTGCGGATCTTGTTTTTCAAAATAATCAAGAGCTATTTTGATTGCTGTTAGTATCGAAAAAAATATATGAACTTATGATAATAAAATCTGACACATCGATCAGCAATTCAAATTGAGAAAGAATCGTGTGAAAAAGCCCTTGAACACATTAGAGAAATTCTTCTTAATCAGAAACAATTGAGTACATGATGCATTTTAATCTGACTCTTTTACATCAGAATATGAATATTAATAATTGAAAACATAATTTATGTCAGAACTATTCATATAATTGATGTAATCACATGGAAATGAATTCAACGTTCACATATAGGTTGTCGTCCATATGATACTGATTGCAGTCACATGTGACTGAACGGTATGTACGCTTGCTTCTGAATCGCATGTTCACTTGTTCTAATCTAACTTACATCATTCTAGATAAATCAACATATTATCATTCCGTTGACCTACAATGAGGTAAAGACCATCACCAGAGAGTAGTGATTGATGGCAACTCAGATCGAAGCTGAGATGGATATGATATATTTTTCAAATTTTAAAATGTGGCCAAACGCATCTAGACGCGCTCTTGCCACCAGCTGCGCTCAGTTGCGTTTGTTCTTCGAAGCTCATAGATGCGTGCAGTTCTGAACTTGCGTCTGGATGCCATTGTATCTCAAACGCAACTAGCCGCACCTCATTTTCGGCTGCGTCTGTGGTGAAACAATCGGAGCGTTTAGACGCGGCTTCAATCAGATGCGTCTAAATGCGATTATTTTCCAGCTGCATCCAAGTGCTGCGATTGTTTCACCTGGGACGCGCTCGATTACTGTGATCTAGACGCGATTTGGACGCAGTCGAAACGCGTTTTGACCCAAAAAATGGTTACATGGGTTTACATTTTAACTATTAATTGTTAACTTATCCGTTTCTTCTCACTGCTACACGTTACATTGTATGTCATTGAAATGTTCTTTTTGACAAATTCCCATGTACTTCTAATTTCTCTATTAGTAGACAAGGAGATAGAAACATAGTACAAATTGATTTATTCGATTATTTTGTCTTTAATCGTTCCTTTACTGGTTTCCCTTTGATCATATACCATAAATTAAGGTATTGCAGTTAATTGAAATTATTTAATCGAAGAATGTTAATATCGAATAGAGCAGATTGGAAAACAAACATTGAAATTTGATTGAATCTTCGCATTTAGTAGTATTTGCATAAGTCATGATCTGATATAAATGAATTGATCACAAAATTGTATTCTTCATAGCAGATACACATATATTATAGCACAAGTTACTAAAGGAAGTTAATGACCAATCCAACTGTACTGATGTATTATTAATCGTGGATAAAGAAGTGTCCGGTTTTCTTTTGAATCCATATAATTCTTGATTTCGAAGCACAACCTCCAAATTTCATGAAAGTTTCGTTTTTTGCTTACCATCATCGTTTGCATATCTCTTTCAGTGCTCGTTGAATCTTCGATAGAACTCATAACCGAAAAGAAACGTTCTATTTACTGTCATTGAAACACGTACGTATAAACTGTTACGCATGAAACTGGTAGAACGGGTAACTGAGTGTACGAAATTGAGAGAAGCAGGAAAAAANGTGATTGAGTTGTTAATAGCCTTTTCATAAAGAACAAAGTTGCAAAACACAATCACAAAAGTCGCCTGTTAATATGACCTAAAACAATGTCATTGGAACTGTTCAATCCTGAAAGGAGAAACGACTTGGTGTTTTTTCCAAACTACTATGTGCTTTTCAAATGCAGCTGTGTGGATATTCGCTCGTGCCATTGAAATAAACAATATGAAGTGACAAAGATTCAATATGATTGAGTCCATACGTACGTATGTAATTCTTTTTGTAGTAATTAATCTTCTTTTCGAGTGCTAGAACCTTGTTCTTCTGGTTTTGCAACTTCGTTTTCAATTTATTAAACTTTTCTTTCGTAACGAAATCCGAAATATCTCCTTCGTCAGAACTTGTATCGCTTGAATCTATACGCAAATGCATGGATTATGACAACGTATAGTGTGAGAAGAAGACATACCACTCTTAGGATTGACTGGAGTGACGATTGAATCGAATCGGTTTTTATTCGATGAATCATTTGGTGTTAGAATTCTACGAGAAATTACAAGATTCTTGGATTGTGTTGCTCGCGGAGATGATTTATCGAGAAGAATGACCTTCGATTTGGATTTGGCTGAACAATATTGAACGTCGGAATATTCACCTTCTGAAACGATAGTATCGGTTAATATCAATTTTCATCAATTTACATCAAAAGCGTCTTTCTACATAAACATGGTATGCAGAAATTGTTTTTCAATGATAAACAAACGGTAAGTAAATCTAGTCCAGATAGAAACTGAAGCGATGCAATAGATGAGTACATAGTTTTATCAAAGAGTTCAACGGACCAAATTCATTGAAATTAACGTTCGTTTGCTCACCTTCGAATGTATTTTTAGTTGTTGACAATAGTTCAGTATCATCAGCATTCTCATCATCACTATTATCGAACAACTTTCGTTTAACTTGTACTGTTCTTTTCGCCTGACATGTTGGTGATCCACTAGGAGTTTTGCTCGTAGCCGAATTCATACATTTTCGTGGTGCCGTTTTTGATCGATGGTCATCGATTTCTACAAAAAAGAAATGCAACGAGTGATAGAATGAAAATCCACATGAATCCATGGAAATCAATACATTTCTGAAAGGAAAAAACAATATTTCACTTGTCCTTACCGTTCGATTTCAATGATCGTTTTGATCCTGTAGAATTACTCATCGCATGGTTTTCTTTATTTGCCACTTGAATTGGATTACCTATGGAAGACAAATATGAATTCAAATTTACTAATATTTTGATTTACAAACTCACTAGTTTTCTTATGCATCTTGATCGAATGGTTTTCAATGTCGATATTATTCAAATTCGTAGTTAATGAATCCGTTTTCTCTGAACACATAAAAACAAGCATTTATCTATTGCAATTACAAAAAAAAAACTGAAAACGTTCTGTTTTGTTTTCAAAATAACAAAACCGCCCAAGCGTATCAAAATTGCGGCATTTACTTGGTGGTTTTTGCGGAAGATGCTCTTCTTCGATGGTGTCTTCTTGTAAAATTTCAAGCTGCTCAACGCATAAATCCTCGGTACCTTATAAAAAAAAGTCAGCAAAACCATTATTCTTGGAAAATGTTCAATATTTAGGAGCTCACCAAAAAGTAAAACTTTGCCACGATCTGATTTACGAGAATCGATAATTCCTTTGTATGTGGCAATTTCGTTGACTTTTACTGTTTTACCAAAGTTAATGAAATTGTTCAATGGAACAAGAACCACCTTCTTGTCCTTTTCTCGTCGAACAATAGCATGAGTATGCTCTTCGGAACAGTCAACATTTGCTGAATTCGTTTGTGAACGAATACTCGAAGTTTAGTTTCTTCGGGAATGTTGTCGTTCCATCTAGAGATAAATGCAAGAAATTAAGACAGATATTTTATTGGCAAAGCTTGAGATAAACTCGTTTTGAATTGTTAAAAAATTTAATCGAAAAAGGTTTCCCTTGAGACGAGTTTTCAATCTCATGGGTTTGTTAGCGCGGTTGTATAACCGTTCAAGACATGAAAGGACAAAATGAACGGTTTTATTGGAGGATTTTTTTATTAAATATTTCCATGTTTGTCATTTCAATTTTGTTAGAGACTGTACAAGGTTTTACTAATTCAAATCATTAAGATATTTTTACCAGGGAAATGCTAGAAACTTTTATAGGTGGCGCTGTTATGCTTTCAAAGCTTTTATTGTCAAAGCAATTTCTCGTGTATAAAAATACAAATAGATGAAATTTTCTCTCTTCTAAAGAACTTTTTAAAAATATAATTTGTTTGAATATAAAAACTTTGGACCCGAATATATAACAAAGGATGAAAAGGATTTCAGATAGATAATAAAGAAATATATTCTCATCATTTGTGGCTGGAAGATATATCTGAAGGACTTTTAGGATGGATTTTGATGGCATTTCAGCTTTCTCAATTTTCAAGATGTGTTTCTAAGTCGTTTAGATGCTAAAGAAGAAATCAAATGTATAAACTGCGTGTTGACGTTGACGACTAAGTTCTGTATTGAAATTTCAACGTCAAGTTGTTCTTTATTTGATGGAACATATCAAACCAAGATTCTGCCTCACAACTGAAATAATAAAGTTGTAAATGGAATTGAATATTCTTCTCATCCATTGTTGAGTACTGCAATGGTATTGAATAGACTGGAATTCAGTAGAACTGTTTTTATCTTTTTTCATCTTAAATCTGAGTATTTGTGTTCATTGTCAAACGAATAGTTCAACGGATTGCGGATCTTGTTTTTCAAAATAATCAAAAGCTATTTTGATCGCTGTTAGTATCGAAAAAAAGATATGAACTTATGATAATAAAGTCTGACACACCGATCAGCAATTCAAATTGAGAAAGAATCGTGTGAAAAAGTCCTTGAACCCATTAGAGAAATTCTTCTTAATCAGAAACAATTGAATACATGATTCATTTTAATCTGGCTCTTTTACGTTGGAATATGAATATTAATAATTGAAAACATAATTTATGTCAGAACTATTCATATAATTGATGTAATCACATGGAAATGAATTCAACGTTCACATATAGGCTGTCGTTCATATGATACTGGTTGCAGTCAAATGTGACTGAACGGTATGTACGCTTGCTTCTAAATCGCATGTTCACTTGTTCTAATCTAACTTACATCATTCTAGATAAATCAACATATCATCATTCCGTTGACCTACAATGAGGTAAAGACCATCACCAGAGGGTATTGATTGATGGCAGCTCAGATCAAAGCTGAGACGGATATGATATATTTTTCAAATTTTAAATTTGGCCAAACGCATCTAGACGCGCTCTTGCCATCAGCTGCGCTCAGTTGCGTTTGTTCTTTGAAGCTCATAGATGCGTGCAGTTCTAGACTTGCGTCTGAATGCCATTGTACCTCAAGCGCAACTAGCCGCAGCTCATATTCGGCTGCGTCTGTGGTGAAACAATCGGAGCGTTTAGACGCGGCTTCAATCAGATGCGTCTAAATGCGATTATTTTCCAGCTGCATCCAAGTGCTGCGATTGTTTCACCTGGGACGCGCT